CATATACACACAACTGTGGGAAAAGAAATGCTATATTGTGAAGGTAAGTTATGATGCCTGCACCGCTGCTGAGGTGCAAAAATAAAAGATTTGCTGAGAAGGCAGAATGGACTCCACCCTGCTCTTCAGCTCTTATTTCTTCGGAGTACAGTTCGTGTGTATGTGGCATTTGAGGCTTGTAGGAGCATGTGTGTGCAGGCAATAAGGAGGATTTTGTGTGTGTGATTGTACTGTGTGTGTGTGAGTGTACTGTGTGTGTGAGTGTGTGGCATCTCCTCTCTGCACAGTGTTGGCAGATGAGGCAGTCAGACTGTGGGTATAGAAGGACGGATAAAGTTTGGTTAAGCCTGCAACTCAAGCCACACTGGAACCGAAAAGCCACGCATGCAGTCCTTTCTCTTTAAATCTCTGTTCCCTATTCCTTCTTCTTTCATTATTTCTCCCTTTCCTTTTCTTTCTGCAGTTGTCTTTACTTTTGTTACAAAAAAAAATCTTAGGATTTTCTTCATATCTTAGAAATCTCGTCTTGTGTTTTTTAAGCCTCCCTCAGGTCAACACAGTCCACCAGATCTGTTGTGTATGAGATGCTGTTGTTTTTGTTAAATCTAAATGTATAGATTGAGAATCCGCTTCCAGGAACTAAGGCTGTTATGAATGACTTTGTAACATGTGTCACATTGAAATGTGCAAATGAAATGATAAGCAAGCAGTGAAATGCTAACAAATTGAATGATTATAATACAAACTTGACTGAACCTACTGAAAAAGAAAAAATACTACGCCCTGCCCTTTCTGTTGGCATTGTAGCAATATCTGCTTGTACTGGAAGAGCAGTTAGACATGGGAAATATGCATATATATTTGCCTTATTACTGAGAATAAATGACTGAACGATGACGCAGCAAGCAGCCAGTTAGCCTAGCTTAAGAAGATACATCTTACAGATTACAGTCAATATGTAACTAAATCTGCCTACCAGGAACACTAAAGCTCTTAAACCTCCTCAGTAATTTAAACTAATATATAATCAACAAATATTTATCTTGTTGTTTGTTTGATATACAATGTTAAGCTGAATTTAAAATGTTAAGACAAAAGCTAGACTAGCCGTTTCCACTTATCTGGTGTTTAGCATAAACTAAGCTAAAGTGTTAGCTCATGATGTGATGTGATTTTTTTATGAATCATTTCACAAATCACAAATCCTCTGCTCATTTGTAGGGATGCCAATAAGCTTTTGTTTGCCTGTAAAAAAAAATATCACATAGTTTATCTCAGATGTGTATGTGGTCAATTCAAAGTAGGCCTATCTTTATTGGTTATTTTTTGCGAACACTTTTGTTCTCTAAAAATTAAAATTAAGTGTATTAATCATAAAGAGCAGATGTAGACAATGCTTCACTCAAATACAGAATACTTTTATGGGCTCGAGCAGTCAGTTAGAGGACTGTGATTAATGTGGCGGGTTATGAAATCATGGCAGTGACATTTGTTTTTTTTATCCCCCTTGAAAAACAGTCGTGTATTTATACAAAGCAGCTTTAAGGTCATTGAGGTGGTTTATACGATTGGCAGTTAAAATCCTCGTGTGGAACGCATCCCCCTCCTTTTATTGGTCACACTCGTGACCGAGAGCCCACTGACTGTCCCAGAGGAGCCGTTCAGTGGAAGAGTGCGGTTTTACTGAGCAGTTCCAACACATGTGCCTTGGCTGAAACAATTGAGGACAACAATTGAAACGGAGGAACCGAAAAACTAACAGAGAGGGTTTTGGTTTGCTCATGGCCTTGAAAAAAAAACTGAAGTCAAGTTGCAGGGCTAACAGAACAGTTCATGTCATCTGTCTCACACTTGAAGGATTTGTTGTGGATTTAGTTTAAAAATCAATGAAACAAATGTGACAATGTCAATGCTTTAATGATTGCGAAACTCTCCTGTAAGAGGAGGAACCGTCTGTTCATCTTTCTTTTTAAAGACACATAAATCATCCAGAACAGCTTTTAATTAATTCATGCAAAACTAAGAGCAGGCATACAAGTGCAGTTTTTAATATTTCAACCACTCTAAAAGTCACTGAGTTCAAACGCAGAAACAATGGCCTCATTTTAACTGTTTGAGATTTCCTTCCAGCTTCTCTCTGGCAGGCTGGTAAGACGCTCATATGTTTCCCACAGCAGCTATTAGTCTGATCGAAAGCGGAGTCCAGCGAGAAATCATCAGTTGGCTATTCACAATTCTCTTACTCCGAATTAGACTCACCAAAGCTATCTGGCAGTATTCACAAAGTTGTATAATTAGATCAGCGGCTTTGGTCTGCAGTGGAAATATTCGCAGCATAATGTAATGACAGAGAAAGAGGAGACGAGACAGCTGGAAGAGAAACATGGCAAACAGCACACTAAGAAGCAGCTCATACCACATATTTAAAGATATTAAAAGCCTTTTTATACATCCCTATCCATGTCTCTCTCGACATGCCTTCTGAAACTAATGATTCATTTAGAGTTCAGGAATGTGTGTTCGCTTGTTTAGTCTTCAGCATTTTTGAGTTGTAACCTCTGACCCGACCAGATCCCCAGAACCCCTCTGAAAACCATCAAACTTCTGCTTATCTAAACCCAACAGCACACAAGTACCAGGAGCAGCCTCCTCATCGTTCAAACTCCATCCACCCTCCGCTCCAACAGAAGCCAAACTTACACTAGCAGGAGACTTCTTTTTTAACTTTTCTGTCAGACTCAAACAAGCCGGACAGGCATTTCCTGTGGGTGGGACCTGGGAGCAGAGACATTCTTGGGCCAGGCACCTCCACTTCCTGTCTCTGTTAACGCCGGGCTGAAAGACGTACTGTCTGAACCTGATCTCACTTTACACTTCACTTAAAGCTCTTCTCCAGCTGTAGATTGAGATTACTCATGTTGCATGTAAACAAAAGTGAGAAGTGCAAGGTCAAAGTTTCAGCCCCCTCCTGATTAGGGACTAAAGCTGTACCCTGTTTTATTATGTGAGACAAAAACATATGTTTTGAAAAAGTATGGAATCGACTAGTATGTCTAATAAGAGTGGTGGAAACTATTCAAATAGTCAAGCCAGTCCGATATGTAATCAGAAACCCGGAGGAACTTCAGAAACCTGCCCTCAAATCCAACATGGCTGCTCCGTGCACCAACAGTAAAGTTAAGCTGTACATTATAGTATTTATTTGAAACTTAGTCTTGTTTTGGGGTAATTGAGAGTATCATACAATTTCTATCTGTAGACATGTTGTCATGTTGTGTTCACGTGCAAACTGTCACGTATTGTGTTGTCACCTGGTAGTAGGCTACTCCTGAAGGCGTCCATGTTGCTTTTCCGATTGTTGCCAACTCTTGACGTCATTCCCAGCTCCGACATCCGACTTTAGAGATAAATGGAACGCACCCTAAGATGTCTGTGTACAGTCAGTCTAACCACTCATTGTATTTCTTTACTGTGGAAATAAACAAAGTCTGTTTCTGCAGCATGCTGTTACACACCTTCGTCTGTCACCTACCTGTGGTCACAAACATTCAAAATAATTGTATTAGAAATGTTGAATCTTGTTGCTGATGGTCTCGTTTGCTTTTTGGAGCTCAAAGAGAGAAATCAGTATTAATCACGAGCTGTTTAATAACCATTTAAAAACTGCTCACGGGGGCTTTAAAGACTTCTCTGTAACAGCTGTATCACATGTCTACCTTCAAACTAACAGTGTTGTCTTCATAATGAACATTCATAACTGGTGGGCTTCTGTCTTTCTTTCAAATAAACACAAGGACAGAATGTTTGAAGTGTTATGAGTTTCATAATCACAGTGAAGAAAACACAAATCCATTGTTTAAACCCCCCACCACCCCTTCTTTTCTCTCATATATTTAAGTTGTATTCACACTAAGAAGCTGTTTCCGATCCTCAGCTGTAAAGGAATGTGTGCGTGTGTGTGAGTGAGTATGCATGTTTATGTGCACTGTGGGGTGTTTAAATAGGTGTGATTATCAGTTACTGTCCTTGCAGGGGTCAACAGCTGCACCAGTGTTGCTATTCAACAGCTGGGGCGTTTAACTGAAGAACTGTGATGATGTTTAGTACATGTAAGAGTGCTGACTGTCACTGTGATGCAGAGGGCGTTTATAAATGTATATATAAATGTACATATAAGAGCATGTGTGACGCCTATTGGGTATAGATGTATTTGAGATTAAGCTTAGATGGCAGCAGAATATCCCAGCTAATTCATTGATCATTTTCAGATTGACTTGATTTGAATTCTTACAATATATCATATTACTGACATAATAATGATGTCAGAATCAGAATTCTGACATGATTATTATTTTTGCTTCCTGTACATTTTTTATTTTAACAGAAAAGTGATATACAAAGATGTTCTTCTTAGCTTGTGGTTATTTTCTTGTTTCTAATTGTTTAAATGTTTGGTCTGAGAAAAACTTCCATTTAAATCTCTTTTGATTTCATTCAAAACAAGCATTATTCGTGCTTTTTATTGTTGAAGACATCAACTTGGACGTGTCATTACATGATATGATGTGCATGATATGTGTGCAGCAGAGATGTAAGTTTGTCTGAAGGTGCCTGGGTTATTATGAGTTATTATGTTGCCCGAATTCCAATGATGTACGGGTTGGGATGTTTTTCAGGTTTTTGTTTGGGTCCTTGTCCTGTCGAGGTTTTGTTGTTGTTGGTTGGGTGTCTCATCTATGTGTTACGTTGTTGAAAATTGCTATACTAATGAAGTTATTACTATCATTATTATATAAGGATTTAAAATGATCAAACTAAATAAAGAAAAAGAGGAATATAAAACAATAAATACATTATATCTGATGAACTAAACTCTCAATGTGTACATCTGCTTGCAGACACTCTAAAGCTCTCAGGATCCTCACATCAGGTTCGTATTTGTGTGTCCATGCTGCCCTCTAATGGCTCACTGTTAACAAGACAGCTTCTCACAAGTCACATTAAAACTTAGAAAACACATTTATTCAACTCCTGTTCAATCAGAGACAAAACCTACATAAACCATTCAAACTGTGACTGACGGAAACAACATGTCAAACTTTGACTGTGTTTAAAAAGAAGAACGGGTTCAGCCAGCCGTCCACTTTGGTCCTCCACAAACACTTCTATTCTCCCACAGATGTGCGAGCTGTGGCTTGGCTGGTTTCGGTTAAGCAGTGCTTATCGATGTGTGATGTTACTTTCTATTTTGTCTCACAGAGGGAATAGAGAAGTTCGATCTGCTCAGCATACTCGAATCCGGGTCTGTTGGGAAAGATAAAACTTGAATGTTTAAGATGTATCTCAGCAGTAAGAAAGCTAGTGGTACATAACAGCCTCTTTAAATTATATTTTTTTACTTAGATATCAAAGAATCACAACTCCTTTAGAAAAGTACTGCACTCCTTTCGATTATAATTTACATTTGTGAATGAATAAATACATGTAATACAAGTTTTCAAAGTTGGATATTTGTCCTTTTTAACCATCATCTCTCTAATCTGCCGTCTTCTCACCGTCCGGGTGTCTCCAGTATCAACGGGATGTTGTCCAGTCTGGGCTCATTGACAACGTCTCGGAAAGCAGAGATTCCAATTTGACCTTTACCGATGTCTTCATGTCGGTCGAGGTTGCAGCCTAGCTTACCTGCAAAACAAGAAGAAAATTTAGACAACAAAGTTAAACGGCACGAGTCAGAATGATTGTACATATAATCAAATAGCTGATATTCTTGTGAGACAGGCCTGGCTTTACCTTTGGAGTCATTGAGATGTACAGCTTTGAGATAGTGGAGCCCCACTTCTTTATCAAACTCATCGAGCACGGCCTTCACTCCTCCCTCTGCAGAGAGGTCATATCCTGACAGGGGCAAGGAGAATACGCTTCAACATGGAGAGACATAAGACTGCAGTGATGGTTAGAGCTGCTCTTTAACAGGCGGGAGCTGTCTCTCTCTTGCTTCTTTCCATGGAGGTGTATATATTCCTGCTCACTGTTTTGGTTGCTTGTTTGTTTCATGTAAATGAGGTTAACATCAGGGTTAGTGGGTAAACAGTTTGCATATTAGGATGATTTTTCTATTTTTTTGGTAGATTTTGTTGATTTGCTGGTTCTCATCGTCAATCATAAAGTGTAATCATTTTATTTTTTAACTTGCAGCTGGAAAAACAGTTTAGATGGGAATTACTGCTAATGCCACCAACTGGCATGAGTAGGTAGGAACAAGAACAATCCTTTTCTCCATCCTCTTTGAGGCATGTTCCCGGTGAGTCAGTGAGTGCTAAGTGCTGTCCCATTGTCAAATCATCAGATTACGTACTTTCCCTGAGTCCTCATTTCTGCAGTCTTTTTTTTTGTGGGACTAGGTTTATTGCAAACTTGGTGATGTGAAGGACATGAACGTCCAGTCCCCCGGTTTAATGTGAACAAATGTTCGTATACTGCTCTACCAATAAGGTTGGGAAAAAAACAAAACTAAATGGAAACAAGACAAGCACAGACGTGATGGGAGAAAAATTCAAACAAGCTTATTCTTTAGACAACATGAGGTGAATCACTGTTGAATATTTACACATGATTAACATTAGCTCTTTTTCTGAATTTTCATAGATTGCTACAATACAAATGTAATGGAAGAAAACAAAATACATACAGAAGGTAGGCTTTTTTCCCCCTTATTGTTTAATGCCACATTTTGTTTTCAAGCCTAAAAGTGGGTCCCATTCCTCATTTTATACCATCTCAAGCCCTAACGGACTCACACACTGCATGCATGACATCAGTCAAGTTGACCTATTATGCTGACCCCAATTTTAAAACTCTGGATGTCCATACTTCATTTGGACAAAGTTTCAGCTCGAGGTAAACGTGTGTCGGAGTAATCCCAAGAGAAGTCTGAAGAGACCGGTAAAAGGATTGTCCACTGATTTCACGAGAAGGCTTCAATCCTTTACGTACAGGTGTTGTTCTCTGAGCACTGGAGAGCAGCTCTCCCCTGGCAGCCCTGCAGCATTCTGCCCGTTCTGCCCCTGGAAGGCTTTCAGAGAGCTGGCCAATCAGAAGGCAGTGACCACATGGGGCCTTATAGAGACAGCAGCTGAAAGAAACCTTTCAGACAGAGGCTGTAATAAGAGTTTTTACTGATGTCAGTATAAAATAAGTATGAGGTGACTGTGGCTCAGTTTAGGGCTAATGCTGTCTGCAGTTCGATCCCCAGTTCAATGAGTCCTTGGGCAAGAAACTTAAGCCCAAGTTGCTCCCGCTGCTTTCCCGTGTCTGTCCAATTGTCCATCCATTTACCATAAATAAGAAAAAATGTTCTCTCTGTAAATGATGCAAAGCTACTCTATAGGTACTCTCAAAGGCTGACAACATGAAAGGTGAAAATGGATAACATTTTCACCTTGTTATCCATTTTCCAAGGATAACATAAGGTCTTTAAAAAGGTACAGTGCTCAGGCTTTAGGGTGGATACTGGGATTGGGCAATGGAAAGAAAAGAGCTGTTCAAAAGAATCCGATCGTTTATGAATGTAGCGTCACAGCCCCGGTGGCAGTATTAACATTTTGAGCCTTTACAGGGTTCAGCTCCACATCAGTAGTGACATTTTCAGCTTAGACATCAGGCAGATTTAAGATTTATAGAGTGGAGGATTCGAGCAAAATATATACCAATGCAAAATGTTTCTCTGTTAAACTCAAGCTCCACTATTAAAATGTGGACTGTGTTAAATTAAAGGATGGTGCTGGATGTTGATTTCTGTTGTTTCTGTGGGACAAAAAGATCAAGCTCAGGTTTGACTCACCTGCAGCGAAGGCATGACAGGTATCCAGACACACGCCCACTCTGCTCTGGTCTCTCACTCGGTCTATGATGCTCCTCAGCTCAGAGAACTTGCCACCCACGGTGCTGCCCTGCCCACTCATGTTCTCCAACACTGACCCCATGGAGGCAAAAAAAAAAAAGAGAAGAGAAGAAAGCATTATTAGTTTGATATCCCAACTCATCTCCAATATTTCCCCAACCACACAATACATGTCAGACATTGTTCTAGCTGCTGTGCATTCCTGAGGCACAGCCTGAGGGAAGGTTTCACTTCTGCCTCTGTGTGTTTTTGCGAGCAGTGTATTCTTGTCACTACAGCAGCATTAAGGGAAAGGCAGTCAAAGGGACTGTGATGTGTGCCATGAATCACAAGTAATGTAACACCAGTGAAAAGCCTGCAGACAAGTTCCTGCAAATTGAAAGTTATGCATTAGAACAGAAGTCAGTCTGAGGTCAAGTGGTTAAGTATACGATAATTAAACTCACTTTCTTCTTTTCTTGTGGTAGTTAAATTTTTCTGAATGGGGTCAAACATATTAAAGTAGAGTTTTATTAATTAAATTCAAAGTGATTAACCCACCAATTATGATTTTTAATGACATCAGATTGAATGTTTTTGTGCAATGGGTTTCAGTGTGACTGCTGAGTGTTCTCACGACACTAGAATAAAAACCACCAGCTCATCATCGTCTCTCAGTTAGAGTTTCTCTACATTGAACCAATGGCACTGATAAAGCCTTTAAAAGGAATGAACTGAAACATTTATAATTCCAGGCGTATTGTAGTATTGTAATGGAACTTTAAGGCTATAGGTGAAACACCCACGTATGTGTCCTTTAGCTGGTCAGTTTTAATTTCCTAAAGCAGTTTTCCTGTGTTTAGCCTCTAAAATTGGGTTTTCCACACGTCATTCCTACGTTGCTACATGCCATAATTTTCATTGACAATTTACCCCGTTTCCACCAAGCAGTCCGGTTTGGTTCAGTACAGTTCGGTACGGTAAACCCTGAACTTGCTTGCGTTTCCACAGCCAACCGTACTATTATTTGGTAAATGGAGTGTAAGCCAGATGGAGATCTTCACCGTAATGATACATAGGTCGGCTGTGGTTCAGTTGGTAGAGTTGTTGCCTCTCAACCGGAAGGTCGAGGGTTCGATCCCCAGATGAACATGTCTGTTGTGTCCTTGGGCAAGACACTTAACCCTGAATTGCTCCCGCTGCTTCAGTGGTGGTGTATGAATGGATTAGTTACTTCTGATGGATGATATTACATAGTGATCACTACCATCAGGGTATGAATAGGTGTGAATGTGTAGGTGTGACCTGCTGTGTCAAAGTGCTTTGAGTAGTCAGAAGACTAGAAAAGTGCTATATAAGCTCAAGTCTATTTACCATTACCATAGGTGAAGAGGAAGCTGACCCTACACATCACAGTCATCATATATATAATATTTCATCATTTAAATAGCTTCTAAGCTGATTCCTGCAATTTGTGAATAGTATAACCTTAGTACCAGGGTGTTATTGATATTTTGTCCACCCCCACCTGTAACCACAGCGGGTGTTTGATTGTGAGCATGGTTGATTGCTCCTGCTATCTTGTCAACACACTGCTCAGTGGTGATGGAGCCCAGGGAGGAGCCGGGGTGGAAGTTGTAGAGGCTGAGACCGAGGAGGCTGCAGCGGCTGAGCTCATCCAGCAGCAGGGCCTGGCTCTTCTCAAACACATCTGCATTCAAAAACACAAACCATAGTAGATTATTGAACGAAAACAATGGAGTGGGACAATTCAAATGATTAAATCTTGTAAAACGAGGGCAGGTCACACAGAGCAGAAGAGAAGTCAAAGACCGGACGTAAAGGAGACATCAATCAGAGTGTCTCACAGACCCTCTTTAGGAGATCCACAGTTCATCAGGTAGGACCCATGGGGCAGGATGTGAGCTGGATCATAACCCTGAAGGGAACATTGCTCCTGGAATTTGGCTGCTGCTGCATGATCCAGTGCGGGTCTCTTCCATGAGCGCTGGGAGCCCAGGAAGAGGGCGAAGCTGCTGCCACCCATCTCCGTGCATGACTCCACCGCTTTCCATATCCCACCTACAGGAAACAGAAAAACGGCCTCACAAGAACTGAGAGTGTGAGTTAGGCACAGCTGCGTTTCCCCAGGACTTTTTGTTCCAGGAGCTACTTTTCAATTGATTCAAAGTCTCTTCCAGCCTTTTGTTATCTCGAGCTGTGATGATAAAGCTCATTATTCTGCTGACTTGTGGCAAGGTCTTGTTAATGCGGCAAGTAGGTCTACTCCACCAATCAGAACTGTTCAGTGCAGAGTGTGCCTGTATTGTCCTAAGTTTAGCTTTTGAAACAGGAACTTGTATTAGTGTGTGTGTGTGTGTGTGTGTGTGTGTGTGTGTGTGTGTGTGTGTGTGTGTGTGTGTGTGTGTGTGTGTGTGTGTGTGTGTGTGTGTGTGTGTGTGTGTGTGTGTGTGTGTGTTCCCTGGGGAAAGTTCTTTAGTTGAAAATGCATCTTAAATGATTGCATTGAGCCTTACCTTGAATGCCAACATGACATCCTATGTACTTCTTATTTCCTCGCTCCTTCCTCCTCCTGTCACCTCTTTCCTCAGCCTCCTTATCCTTGGTGTCCTCTTCCTCCCTTCCTTCCTCCAGGGCCTCTTCGGTTTTCCTTTTCCTTGATCCTCTCTTTTTCGGACCCATTGCTATCAAGGCAAAGTTGTGATTATGAATTTACAAATCTGACAGTTTTCAGTCATTGACTTCCAGTGGGTGAGGTGACAATGTGCCTCCAGGTAGTCTGAACAGATATGCTTAGGGCGACTGTCAAAAGTTTCTGAAGGTCAAAATGTGTGTTTTATGCATCCCTCCGGTAGGAAGCAGCCAGTCAGAGAGCTTCCACGCAGCTGCTCATTGGAGACGCTTCATGCTGAGCACCAAAATGGCCGCCCGTCAACCGACTGACTCCACAGCGCTTTGAAATTTAAAATCTTCTGCACATTAAGGTTTACACTATTACAACGTCAGTACTTACTTACACACCAGTAGCTAACTTCGCGTGTATTTTACATCATCTGCCACTTACTTGACTCTCCGCTCAGCCTCGACGAATGCCTCTAAAAGATAAAAAAAAAAAAAAAATCGCACTGAAGCACTTTAGCAGAGCTAGCTTAGCACGCTAGCTTTTCGTCATATGTGATTCCTGAGGTGAGTAAACACAATCCTAAGATATTTGAATATTGCACGGTATTTACATTGTCACGGTGTGTGTGCATGCAAAAAGTGGAAGCTACATCTGTTGGTGGTTAAATGCAACGCTACTGCGTAATGCTGAAGCTAACATGGTTAGCCTTGGCTACTTGTAGCTCCAGGTAACTTCGCTTATCTAGTTAGCTAGCGTTAGCATTAGCTTTAGCAGAGCTGGATGTGTGGCTCGGTGTATGAGATGGTAAAGACCGTAAGGGTACTCAGACCACATTATTAACCCGTCTTAGGTTAGTGAACAGCTGTTTGATATCTTGTTTTTGTGCGTGCTGTTCTGCTTTATGCGTTTTTTTTACGACTATGGGTGGACACCACTCCTACATATTATAAACGTCCTCTCAGGAGCTGCTGTGTAAGTTGTCACTTTTATGTTTTACACTTCTATGGATGTGGTGTACGTGTTGTCTGTAACATGTTTGTGCAGGTTTGAAACACCTGTCTTGGATACTGGAGGCCGCTTCATCAGTTTTAGCGGTAGAAAGCATATCTTCTGATGCAGGATTGGGACCTTTAGCTTCTGCAGCTAAATGCGGACGAGGCTGAAATAATGTTGACAGGGCAACAGGGACACGGCATCATTAGGTGTTGTAGTTTACCTGCGTGTTGTAAGAGTACCTGGAGAGCTGAATGCATAACTGAACAGCTCGTATCAGCAGCTCTGATCCGTCAGGCCTGAAGAGAGATGTCAGCCATGATCCTGCACACTGAAAGCAAACATAGTATTTATGCAAAAACGAAACTAAACTACATTCTTCAGGGATTATCTGTTCAGTACGGTTATGTAGAACAACTGTCGGCTCTCTAATATGTAAATAATCCAATACGACCTTTAACATGGTAATATAAGCTAATAGATCCAGTGGGATATAAAGCTCTGTTATATAAACAGTAAATAGCTTTAACTCTTGGGCCATGTTATCTGCACTATTAATTGTTTTCTTATAAAACCTCCACATGTGTCAAACATCAAACTATTCTTACTTTAGGCTTTCTTATCAATAGGTGGATTTGTAAACCAGCTTGCTCTATATATGTCTTCTTGTATATTTCTCTTAGAGACTAATCTGAAAGAGTTGTCAAGCTCCATTTTAGAAAACATTAAGCACAAGCATGCAGTTGGTCACTAGCTTTGGTTTCTATAGCAACATGAAGATTCTGTCAGTCTGCGAACATGATGAGTTCACTGACTGTCAAACCTCTCCAACCATCTACATTTGTCTAACCTGCCAGTGTGATTGGCTTACAATATTCTGTATGCTTACGATAGGGATCATTTCTAGAGATGGGTCAATTCAACTCTTTGAGGTCAGATACCGATCTGATACCTGGGCTGTGGGTATCCGCTGATTAAGTTACTGCCACAATCTGACCCACAGTTTATGTACCACATGCAATAGTAGCTCTAACCCACTGTTGTCACATTGAACCCTTGTTGAGCATCATCATCTGTGCAAAGCAGCAGAAGCTGGGCACTCCTTTGTTGTCCTTGGCCTTTTCATGTTGCTAGCATTGTCTCTACAAATGTCATGCACTTAAAGTGAACTGATAAAGCGTTTCCTGGATGGCAGTTGAAATCAAATCGCTGGTGTTGTGATCCATGGAAGTTTTTAGCTTGTAGCCTTTAGCACTGCACTGTGCGGTAATGTCAAAGCTCCAGGTACCTGCAGTGAAGTTCAAAGCTTTTACATCCATTAACCTCGCTGCTAAACCTTCTCGTGCGTTCCTGGAGAAGCCAGGCAGAATGCTGTTAGAAATTACTTACGTGATGGCAAACTGTACTGGGATCTTAAGTGTTCTTGTTTCTTTTCCATGCCGCCTACAAACTAAACTGCTTAGTTTCGTCTGCCTTCTTTGTTTTTTAAACTTTTCGTTAAGTCGACACCCTTCCCAACGTGAGCCATGCAGATATTGTTTATAGGGTTTGTTAGCTTAGCATACTCTGTGCTTTGTTAGCTCCGCCTAGCAAAATACACAGGCCTACCAGTGACGTTGTGCACACACGTACTTGCCTTAATCAAAGAATAGCACAGAACTGGGTTGTGTAGATTGGCCTCGAGAATCGGCCCAATCAAGCTATCGGTATCAGACCAATATGCAAAACCAGGATCCGATCGGTGCCATTCCTAATAATTAGTGTTATTTACCTACAGGTTGAGCTGTATCCTTAACCAAGCATTTGATGGCTGATTAATTCTTTCAAACTTGTGATCTACTTTCGCTCACACACATTGATGGAGGCTTGCGGTACATAGCCTTGAAACGACTGTGATGTTGTCTCCCTTGTTTAATGCTGCAATAATTATGAACTTTGTCTCCTTTTTTGTTAAGCAATAATTCAATTAAGTTTGAGGTAAAACAAATGTGCACCATGTTTGTTTGTTTTAAATTATACATTTGTAAAGTCTTTTTTTCTTTTTATCAGAAAGGAGTATCAGGACAGGAGCAGTAGTTCATGGAAGACAAGAAAAGGAAGAAAGACGACAAAAGGAAAAGGGAAGCCTCTCAGAAGGTGAGCATATTCACTATGACTTGCAGGCTTCGGTAAGGCATTAAGTATGCACTTTACTGTTTTTAGTTGTTTTTTATCAGTATTTTGGTATGCTGAGGTTTCACTTTTGAATGTTTAAAATGATTTTTATTTCATGGTGTCCTTACTGTGATTAACTAATGTCTTTGTTTTGTTAACTTTAGGGGACAGAACAAAAAAACAAAGGTAAGACCACAGTGAATTGTGTAAATACCAAGAAAAAATGTCAAGGGTTGGAAATATTTAGCAAAGCTCATCTGTATTGTCACTGTATTAAAGTGTGCTTAGAAGAAAAGGTAAAAGCCATGTTCATGAAGCTGATGTCTCATCATCAGGAAAGTCTTTGTAGTATAATATGCTGATTATGCTCTATTCAGAACATGAGCGTAGATCCTTCATTTTATGAAATTTATTTTATGTTCTTGATCTTTATGTTTTTTTTAAATGCTTAATATCTTTCTCATCTGTTTTTCTTTTCACCTTAATTTTGCAGTGCCAGACTTGTCTAAACCGGTGTCTGCCCAGTCTCCTGCCATTCAGAGCAGCTCTGCCTCCCCCAGCCCTGGACCCACCCCCTCTGCCTCTCCATCCCCCGCCACCTTGGGCCCTGGCAGTGCTGCCAACCCGTCTCAGGGCGGCAACAATGCCAAGCGCCTGGCGGTGGCCAACGGACAACCAACCTCCAACACCATTTCTTCTTCCACCGCTGGCGGCGCCAGTGCTGCTGGAAACAGCAGTACCAGTAGCGGAGGCGGTGCCCAGGCACCTCAGCAGCAACCGCGCTACATGCCGAGAGAAGTGCCGCCACGATTCCGCTGCCAGCAGGACCATAAAGTGCTACTGAAGAGGGGTCAGCCGCCACTGTCCTCCATGCTGCTGGGAGGAGGAGGAGGGGGAGGAGGGGATGGCCCCAATGCAAACATGGCTGCTGTCTCAGGTAAATGTTTGCAATGCTGTCGAAAATAGAACAAAATTCACTTTTTGTAAAGGTTATACAGAAAAAGTCTCAAAAACTTCTAAAGTTTCTTGTTGGATCCACTTTTCAGATTCGGGTGCAGCTGCCTCCTCATTGGCCCTAACCTCATCATCAGTTGCTGCTTCTACTACTACTTCTAATTATGCAAATTCCATGTGGGGGACGAGCTCAGGCAGCCAGGCCTCTTCTCAGGGTAGGGAGAAGGTTATTGTCGATGGCAACGACCTGGAGGAGTGGCCTAGCATCGCTGGCAATGATGGGGGAGGAGCTTCTTTCACTGGGACTGGGGGGGGCAGCAGCAGCAACAACGTAATGCCTGTGAACAGCGTCAGTGCCTCTGGCAACCAATCCTCATCTACTTCCTCGTTCTCTTTGCCCAATGAATGTATGCAGTCGTCCAATGGCGTGGCGTGGGGAATGGCTGCCTCCCAGGGTCATCTTGGAGGAGGGAATGCAGTAGCTGGCCCTCTGCTACAACAGCCCTCCTCACTTTCCAAAGCCTCCACTGTGCCAGGAAGCCATGATGCCAGTGGCCCCGTCGATGGCAGCAGTGGTCTTACAGGTGCCAATTTCAATCCAAATGCCAACCCTTCGGCCTGGCCTGCCCTGGTGCAGCAGGATGGGCCCGCTGCTGTAGGGGAAGGAGGTTCTCCTTCCTTCCACCACCAGGGCCCTGGAGGGTCTTCGTCTGCCAACAGCTCTGCTTCCCTGGGCCTGGGAGGCGGGGCAGTCGTGGTGCCGGGGGGTCACCCACCTTTATCTGTGAATCAATCAAGCCCCCATCAGCGCCAACTTCACCAAATGCAATCCAGAGACAGAGAAATTGGAGCGGGGAAGTGGGACAGCGAATCAGTGGGACCAAAAATTGTAGGGGGGGAAGGCATTGGGGGAGGAATGGACCGAAGTGTAGGAGGAGGTGAGATGAGTGTGGGGGACCACAACCTTGTCTCCACATGGAGAGGCCAGCCTTCTTTCCCTGCAGCTAACTCCAAAACGGGTGCCTCAAGGACTGATGGTTGGGGTGATGGAGGAGGTGGGGCAGGGGGCTTCGGAGCTGCTGAAGGAGATAATGGAACCACGGGTTGGGGATATCCGAATTCCACTAGTGGGGTTAATGCGTGGGGCAGTGCTGGAACTGGGGGAAACAGTAGTCAAACCTCCGGGGTATCTCAGGGAGGATGGGGGTCATCAGGACTAGGAGTGGACAGAGGGGTTTCCGGTAGTGATTGGGGTGGTAAATCCACCGTTGTTGGTGGAGCTAATCCTGGAGGAGAGGGAATGGGTGGAGCATGCAGTAGTAACAGCAGCAGTAGTGGGGGCAGCACAGCAGGTAACCCCCCTGCGGCCCCCACTTCTTCCTCAACTGCCACTACTACAACCAGAGCCTGGGACAATCAGAAGGGAGAGGGTGAAACAGGGGAGTGGGGTGGGAGTGTAGAAGGACAGGGAACACAGGGAGGATCTTCATCCAGTGGCGGAAATTCCAGGAGCGGGAGCGGCAGCAGTCATAGTCGTCCGCGTCGCACATCACCTAACGCTGAAGCTGCCTTACAGAACCTGCTCAGTCGGTCTGATCTGGACCCTCGGGTTCTGTCCAACACCGGCTGGGGCCAAACACAGATCCGGCAAAACACAGCCTGGGAATATGGAGATCATGGAGGACAGAGTAAAGTTGGAATGCCATCAGCTACATCAAAACAACCATCTTCCCTTGGTGGTTCTTCTCAGTATTCTGGTGGACCCAGGACCCAAATCACTGATTCCATGGGTCCAGGGGCCGGTCCTTCCCTTGTTCCCTCTGCTGGGTCCTCCGGAGAAGGCTGGGAGAGCAGCAGCAACAGTAGCAGTAGTGGGGGCCTCTTTGTCCGGGAGAGCCCCACCACCTTCAGGCCCAAACATGAGGAATCTTGGCGTTTCACAATCTGGGCCAGTGACCACAACAGGACCTGGTATGGGGTCTGGGGTTATTCCAGGACACAGCCAGCAGGGGAAAACTACAGGCTGGGGTGGAGGTGGGATGGGGGCAGGAGATGGCCAGGAGTCCAAGGGTTGGGGGAATGAGGAATGGAGAGACAGTAGTAGAGGAGGAAATGGAGATGGATGGGGTGATCTTGGTCAACAAAGTGAACCAGTGAGGGGAGGCTGGGGGGGGACTCAGGAAGAGAAAGGGACAGGGAGCTGGAAAGAAATGGGAGGGAATGGAGGAGGAAGTGGGTGGGGATCAGGACAGAAGGCTGGAGTAGGTAGGGACTGGGGAGAGCAACAGTCCAAATCAAATAGTGGAGGAGGTGGATGGGAGGAAGAGAGGAACAATGGAGGAAACTCAGGTGGGGATTCAGGTGCGGGTGGTTGGGGAAGTTGGGATGATGGTACACCCCGGAGGACCTGGGGAGCAGGGGGCACAGGGGGAGGAGGTAGTGGTGGTGGGGGGGTGGGTGTTGTTGGAGGCATGGGGTCCAAACCCAATCAAAGTTGGAGTGGAGGAAACAAAATGCACCAGATGCCAAACAGCCAGCCGGGCTCCATCACAGGCCCGCAGGCACAACTGCAACAGCAACAATCACAGCCCCGCAATCAGCATCCACAGCGACAGCAAACGATGGACCAAGGGGCTATGCAAGGGGGCGGTGGGAGGAAACCAATCTCTCAAGCCCAGAATCAGAACCAAAGCTCAGGCTGGACCTCAGGGCCTATTCCTGGTGGTTCTGGAGGAAGTGGAAGTGGATCTGAACCAAGCGGATGGGAGGAACCCTCGCCGCAGTCTATAAGCAGGAAGAACGAGATAGATGATGGAACATCAGCATGGGGAGACCCAACCAATTACAACTACAAGCCTGTCAACCTGTGGGACAAGAACAGTGCCCCTGCTGGCCAGCAGTCTCATGGCCAGGGTCTGGCTCAACAGCAACAGCAGCAGCAGCAACAACAACAACAACAACAACAGCAACAACAAGAACAACAGCAGCAGCAGCAGCAGCAGCAGCAACAGCAGGGACCTCCAATACAGCAGCAGCCTAGCAGGCAGGCTGCAGCGCTTGGAGGTAGCAGAGACTTCAACACTGGCCATGGACCTACAAAAACTTCCTCTGTTGGTAAGAAGCTACAAACAGTCGAATAGAATAGAAAGTAAGGTTGTAAAAATGCAAATGATATGAGATGATATAGGCTTATTTTACACAATCAGTTTTTTTCTTCAAATTTATATCAGTTTAAATGGATATCAAAAAACAAATTATATTTTGACAAGTTGCTACTTAAATTCTATTTAATTTGACATATTAATTACAATCTCTCTATCCTTGTTATTACACTCTTTCAAACCGTTAACTGATCAACCCCAGAAAGAAAGTTTTTACCATAGTAAAAAATAATGGGGATCCTATGAAAATAAATAAACACCTTGTGCTTACATCAATCGTCATTACGATTCCGTTAAAACCTCACAGCCAGCTACTGTTTTTGAACTGTAAGGTTCAGAGGGATGCAGACATTCCATTAAGGCTTATTGTGGAGCAGAAGTTTGTCATTTGAAGGTTGTTGTTGGATTCCAGTTGTCTCAGATTCAGTTGCTACAGTTTGATAGTAAAGGAGATGAAGTGTTTTGAAAATCTTAAAAGAAGTTCAACTCAAAACTTCAATATTACAGTTTCTGCATTTGCAGTAACATTTGATTTTTTTGGAGGTTCAAGATTTGCTTTGAGGTTAAATGTTTTTTTGTATTACTGAGTCATGGTTGCTGATGTTTTTAAGTCCGCAACCTGCTTGTTGTCTCAGCACTTTCAGCACATTACACTTACAGTAGCCGGCCATGCTTCTTTGGCTTCAGTGCCTTGTTTCCTTTGACTTCTGTGCACAGCTTTAACCATGCAGCAACCTGCAGACTAGTCTAGACTCTGACTAAGTGAGAAAAATAGGTTTGTCCTTTCGCAAAAGGTCTCTATGAGACTACTCCATCTTGACCTGTGTTGTCTGTGTGTCTGAAGGTCCTTCAGGTTGGGGTGGTGCCTCTCCAACCAGTCCTACAGTGGACAATGGCACGGCAGCTTGGGGAAAGCCTACTGAAGCCCCCACTGGCTGGGGAGATCATGAAGATGCTGGAGGGAAGACTACAAGCTGGGGAAACCCTTCTCCAAACCCCATCAAATCTGGTTAGGGATCAAATAAAGACTAATATATTTTTATATATATATATATGTGTGTGTGTGTGTGTGTGTGTGTGTGTGTGTGTTTGGGGAATACTGCACAAATTAGTTAAATTTAACATGACTGTTTTCATTAGATGTCCATACAAACTTATTTTGATGTTTGTGCTGGATTGACCAATTGATATTGTCTTTTTATAGATTTGTGATGTTTGCATGCTTAGCCGTCAACTTGCACTAAGAAATTAAGATCTGTACCACATCTGTAAATTGCCTTTTCAAGAAGAGAATGTGCCATTAAGTATTGCCCCTTTTCACTTTCAGGTTCAAAGTCTATGCAAGATGGCTGGGGTGACAAAGAGAGCTCTGTTGCTGCCTCACGTCACTCAAGTTGGGAGGATGAGGAGGAGGGAGGTGGCATGTGGAACAGCGCCGGCTCCCAGGGAAGCAGCTCATCTTGGGGACAGGGAAGCAACGGGGGCTGGGGACAGAGCCAGGCTGGGAAGAAGCCCGGCAACAAGGTAGGTTACTGGTTCGAAAAATAAATATTGATTTAAGAACATTTGTAGAATGTTGATTATTATTCACCACACAATGTCTTGGGTCATTAGTCTTATTTTGGGTAAGGCAAAGGTAATCAAAAATGTCACTGTTAACAATTAGTCGGTTAACAAAGACGTTAACTTTGATATCAGTTAATTCTGTTAATAAACTGAAGTTAAAGTGAACGTTAACTGGTATTATTAAAAAAACATCTGCTTATTGCAATGTCAATAGATCCCAGTTCTTAAAGAGGCCATGATGACTTAGAAAACTTAAAATTATATTGCATTGGTTTTGAAAATGTACAAATAATATAAACTATTCTGATATATCATCTCCTTTGACTACCCGCCTACGGCTGTAAGTGTGTTTTCTTTTCACCCCCATTTAACAATGTTCTGTCACTCATGCTGTACGTAGTTAAAAGATGCAACCAACACAGCAGCCACAATCTACGCATATGTCAGACCACAAACTAACAAACAAGTCTTCCTGATTAATTTTTCTTACTGTCGGAGAGTCTACTGTACTCTTTCCGTCAAAATATTTCAACAAAAACAATCCTGCTGCATCAGCAACTGTCCCTATAATCCAAATCCAGAAAAATATTACATTACATCCATAAAGATCAAAGGATTGCCCAAGAATAATCTGTTCACGATTTTCAGCTGACTTGAGATGGCGAAAGGGAATTCAAGTAACAAATTTGGTCACATTAGAAATATATTCCACTACTTGATTTCAATGAATCTTTGGACAGTTTGAAATCAAAGTCTAAATTAATCTTTGGAAAGCTTAAAGTGAAAGTCTAAATTACTCAGTTGGTTGCTTCAGTTTCTCTTGATCTTAGAAAGCAGAGAAAAAAAATCATTTCTTTTTTAGACATTACAAATTATTAATGTTTCTCTGATTAAACCCTTCATGACATCATTCCTCTGCTAAGTTTGTTATTTGTCTTTCAGGGTCCTCTGAAGCCTGGGGGAGACTCATGGATGAGCCCCATCAACAGACAGTTCTCTAACATGGGACTTCTGGTAAGATAGATGAGTTATCTTCTCATGTGCATGGTGTTAATATGGTCTGGCATCCTAAAACACGCTTATCCACCTAGACATTCAGGCATGTAGTATTTCATTTACAGCATGATTATGATGTTAATGAAGATGGTTGTCTGTTTCCCCCCCAAGAATGACGATCCCAGTGGCCCAAACATGGACCTGGCTCCGGGTTCGCTCCAGGAGAAGAAGATGGATGTGGATAAAAGAGGCATGTTGATGAACGATTACAATGGAGATCTGAGGAAAGGAGGAAGAGGAGGAGGGGGGATGTCTTATCGTCCACCTGGTTCCAAAGAGGCAGTACCTGGGGATCCTGGGTCCTACTATGACAAGGTGACGCCTCGCTGCTATCTTACCACTCTCTGTCTCTTATGTCTTTCTCATGTCTTGCTAACACTTTGTCGTTTCTCACTATTCTTTATTTCCCCTTGTAATCCTACCTTTTCTTCCCGGCCTCTGCCGTTCCTCCCTGTTTCAACCGTCCTCTATCCCCCCCCCCCCCTTCACCAACACTCAAATTGGTCCTCTATTGGCTGTCCCTGTGACAGACCTTGCCTTTGACCAATCAGGATTGGTGCCTTGGGGAGGAGGGTCCTTACTCTCTGTACTCACCACCCACTGTCTTCAAGCCCCATTCCCTCTTCAACCACACTGTCCCTTTTAGACAAGTAAGATAACCTATCCTCCTGTTTCTGTCCCACCATTTTAACACTGTGTTCTTGTAGTATTCCATTTCCAAAAGATAACCACGCAATTATACCTCCGATTCCTCATGGTCAAGTCTGTCATGCTCTGATTGATCTGCATGTTTATAAAAATCTCCCCTGTTATGGATCCTGTGATGTTAAATTTTACATGCTCAATTACAGGGTGGTCACAGTATTTTCGGCAGTGGAGGAGGAATGGCTCCGTCAAGACACCAGCCAAGTGTCCCACCCTTAAACCAGTCCCAAGGGATGCGAGCGCAAGTGCCTCATCAGTTCCTGTCACCTCAGGTACAAATGCTTCTTTTTTTTTCTCTGAACAGTATTCAATGAGGCTGTCTACATGTTTCACACTTATTCAGACACAGGAAGTGTTTGGTTTGACAGTCTGTCTGTCTGTGTGTGTCATCTTAACTGTTTGTTTTTGTTGCAAAGTAACACATTTAATGCAGTACAATTTCAACTCTGAGATTTGTTTAAGTTTTGGCAAAGCCCACCTCCACATTTTTAGCTCTTATAGCCAATTTCTGTCTTTTCTTGTTATGATATGCTGTTGTTATAGAAGCTCATAACTAAAACATTGTTTGAAAGTTCATTACACATCTGCTTAGATGACTCTTGCAGCTTTGTGCACTTTACATATTTGATTTTAAGATGAAAGGTGGCAGTTAAGGGGAGTTGGAGAACTATTATTACCATTAACTCCAATGGAATCCAAACTTTATTAAATGATCTGCTTGTTGTCAATAAGGTGTCTGTCAGTCAGAGTTGTCCCTAGAAAGCATAATCACATTTCAGAACAACACTGATCATGTTTCCATGCTTTAATCTGAAGAATACAAAGTAAAATGTGTCTTTCAGTCACTCATTCAGGGTGGAGTAACTTTTTAACTCTAGCTAATGAGAACATGGAAGACAATGGAAGTTAACTGGGGTGGAGCAGCAAGCTAACATGGTTGCTAGTGGTTACTGCACCAAAGCGTTTCTGTGGTAACAGGTGTGCTTGCCTGCCGTTGTGTCTGTCTGCAGGTGCCAGGCTCCGTGCTGAAGCAGATGCCCCCTCCCAGCGGGAGTGTGGGGGGTGTCGGCAGCGTGGGAGGGGTGGCAGGACTGGGGGGAGGTGTGTTCCCTCCACAGCTGTCCCCTCAGCATATTGCCATGCTAAGCAGCATCTACCCACCTCACATCCAGTTTCAGCTGGTGAGAAGCAAATATACACCGCTACACATCAGTGCATGGTTTAATCACATCCTGCTGAGTCTGGAAACATGAAATGATCTTATCAAAGTTTTCAACATTTTTAAAATTCAGAACTTAAGAAAATAGAGAAATGTGGAAAAAATATGTGCACTTACTGGGTTATCTCTAGAGTGACATAGTATGCTGAGATAAAGAATGACTCGTCGAAATCCTACCTCAAAACTCAGGAAATAATTCAGATTAATTCAAGTAAGAATTAAGACAATATGTGGACACAACAGTTTTTCAAATAGCAAGTTTACAAAGCACTTTGTGACAGATATTTTCAGGACAACAAGCTTTTGCGAAATCTCTTACCAACTGACCAGGCACGATGATGATGATGATTCACTTCACTGAAGAGCTCAAATACTCACACTCAGGCTGATAATCATTCAGTTGACAAATGGTTTCATGTGCAAACCTTGCACTGCATTTTTGTCTGCGTTGGCTTCTCACTCCTCTTTTGTTTCTTTTTCTGTTTCACCCTGCCTGTGTTTGCTCAGGCTTGTCAGCTCCTCCTGCAGCAGCAGCAGCAGCAGCCCCAACAGCAGCCACAGCAGCTCCTGCAAAACCAGAGAAAGTTCACACCTAATGTGCGGCAGCAGGCGGACCCTCAGCAGGTACACGCATACACACGCATACACCCACTATCTCACTCACCTTATACTTCTAGACTTCGTCCTCTCAGCTGCTGACCCTTGTTCTATGTTGTTTGTCTTCAGCTGGCAAGGATCATGGCGGTGCTTCGACAGCAGCAGCAGCAGCAACAGGTTGGGGGGTTAGGTGGCAGCTCCAAACTTTCCCCCTCCCACCATAGTGGAGGTGTCGGAGGGGGTCCCAAACTGCCTGGGGCTGAATCCCTGCCTCATCCAGGCCTGGCAGCATCTATGGCTGACCTGCACCAAAAAACTCTTGGACACTATTCTGGTGAGGGACTGTTTCTGTGCTGGTTTAGAGCCCATTTCTGGTTGTGTGGTTTGCATGAGCAACATTTCAAATGGAAATAAATGTTTTTCACCTTTTATTTTTTCTTTAATTTATTCACAGTTGGATGCCATGTTACTCTGGTAGCACTGAAGTTTTATTTTAAGCAGATGAAAGTTGGCAAATAATAAACCTCTTGATTCTCTGGGTCTCTTCTTGTACGCAGGTTTTAGTTCTGGGGTGAACCTTCAAGGTCTTGACCTGGGTGGCTCTGTGGTGGGGGGGCCTGGGGGCATGAAAGACCTAGGGGGTCAGAAGTCTCGATTCAAATGGATGATGGAGGGACACTCTTCTCCAGATGCCTCCTCACCAGAGAACGCATTCCACAAAAATGGTGAGATGATCCGTGGGGTTTTTGTATAAAGGGTTTGATGAGACATGAAAGGGAAAGGTGTCCAGGCAGAAAGTGTTCATGGGAGATTGTAAAGTCATAGATTACAGTCATTATTGAATCCATCTCTTGTTCAGTGATGTAACATTCATCCTTGACCTTCCAGGTCCTGTCACCCCAATGAAGATGCCCGGGGGCTCGCCCTACTCTCAGTATGACATGATGGTTGGAGACGGGCTTGGAGACAACTGGCATCGCACCCCTGGCAACAAGATGGGAAATAAGCCTACCCCTACGCCCAGCTGGCCCCCTGGTAATTAACATGTTAGAATCAAAGTGATTACCATAAAATTCTGTGTGTAAGACCCACTCTTAATATCGATTTTTGCATCGTAAGTTGGCTGCGTAAAGTACACCGACGCGTCTAAAATACCAGTATATAACGCTGAGACATGTGCCGTCATGGCAGCAACTGCAGCCTCCGCCAGCAAAGTAGCACCGCCAGCATGACGAGAACATGCTGGCGGTGCTACTTTTATATATGGATATCACAACTATCAATGTTTCCATAGACTGAGAGCTCAACTACTGTAGCAGTAGGTTGTAGAACTCCACATGGTGAAAACAGATGGTACTAAAAAGAGCTTCACAGCTGTGCAGAAACTGCATGTTGTGGACTCTGCTGAACACGGAGCAAACCGTCACACAGAAAGACATTTATTTAAGTTTTAACTAGTTTTATTTCTCATGTTTAAATATTGTTTGCCGTTGAACGTGTCTACTGTTGAAGAGGGTTTCATATTTATTTCATCTTCTGTCTGCCTCTTCAAAACTCTCCTCATCCGACCACGTGTGTGTCTTCTCTTTAGAGTTCCAGCCTGGCGTGCCCTGGAAGGGAATCGACCGTGTCGACCCTGAATCTGACCCCTACATGACCCCGGGGAGCATGATGGGAAATGCAGTGTCCCCCAACCTCAATGATACTGAGCACCAGTTGTTACAAGATAATACTGGTAAGAATTGTAACCGCTGTGAGGACACCGCTTTAATTATTTCTATCCTGCTGATGTGAAGATTTGTCAATGTTTAATTTCTTGTCATGTTGTGACAAGAAATATTTTTGTCTTTGCTTATTTAAGTTGATATATTTGTTATTAAACACTTATGTTCATCTTATAATTTGAAATGAGCTATTGAACAGTCAATAAAAGCTGCTTATGAGAATGTCTCCGTAAATAAAGATTCTCTCTGTTGGGATAGTTGTTATCATTCATGATGAAAAACAATCTTACACACTTTCTCTGGGTATTTGTTTGCAGATCCTACCCCTCCCCTCAACACCTTGCTGCCTTCACCTGGTGCCTGGCCCTACAGTGCCTCAGACAGTCCCCTAAACAACGCACACAACTCAGGTAACAGCAGGCAACCACACGCCACCACATTCCTGGGCTCATTTTAAATTGGGCTTTAGAGGATTGACACTTTGAGAAATCTTTATTTTAATATTTTTTTTTTTTCCAAGTACATATATCAATTTATACAAAAATAGATCAATGGATTCATACAAACTTTCCCAGTGAGTCATATAACTGATTATCTCTGATATTTAATACTTTTAACTTATTTTATGAACAAAACACATTGATAGAAGTCCTTATTTACCATGTTCCCATTTTTCATACCCTATCTGTGTCAGAAGCTTAAGATTTGCATACATGGTTTGTTAATATGTTGTTTTTTTTATTGCTTCTTTGTCCCTATGCAGCAAAGTACACAGACTACAAGACCAGCTGGCCCCCAGAGCCCATTGGACACAAGTCCTGGAAAGCCAGCCGTGGCAGCAGCCAGAACCAGCTGTCCCGCCCACCTCCAGGATTAGCCAGTCAAAAGCAGCCGTCACCTTCCCCCTGGTCAGGAGGAGCCCCTCGATTGGCCGGCAGGAGCTGGGGTGGGGGCTCAAGCTCCTCTGGTAATGTCCCAACACATTTCTCATATTGCTTTGGTATGAGGGTTGTTCCTTTCCCTCATACAGGTTCAGTTAGTATTGAACTACAATTAAACTACACACAGCTTATTTAAATGTACACTGCTGATGAAACAACTGGTTGTGATTGCTGAGATAAACAGATTGTCTTTTTTTTCCGACTTAATAATCCATTTATATTTGATTTTGAAGTGCAGCCAAGCGTCAGTGTAGGCAGCAGGGAAAGTCATTCATCATTTATCCGAGGGGCAAAACAGAGTGGGATTGTTTTTTAAGTGAATGTGAAAAAATCTCACTCTGGATTTTTTGTTTTTTTTTGTGTCTGTTTACTCTCTGAAGGCTCGACCTGGAGTGACGGCAGCTCTCGGGAAAGCTGCTGGTTGGTGCTCAGCAACCTCACACCACAGGTAAACAAACAGATGCATTATGCAAAAACTACTGAAACTACCTAAGGGAAACACACAGCACTTTTAAAGCTGTAACCATTTTGTTACTGCCATGCACCAATCAGAGGCGCACACAAATATTAATCCACATGGGAACAGTGCAACTTATTTTTGTACCTCAACCCACGAGTCTTCTATTTGTTTTACCATCATCTTTCTTGCATATTTCTCCAGATTGATGGCTCCACTCTGAGGACCATCTGCATGCAGCATGGCCCTCTGCTGACTTTCCACCTTGGCCTGACCCAAGGCACTGCTCTGATTCGCTACAGCTCTAAACAGGAAGCAGCCAAGGCTCAGAGTGCACTCCACATGTAAGTCTGTTGTTCTTCTACCATCACATGGGGGCCATAACTCCTGAACTCAAATGAAAACATGTTCTGCAGAAGAAAAAAAAAGAGTAACTGACAAACCTTTTTTGTCATACCAGGTGTGTTCTGGGTAACACAACCATTTTGGCCGAGTTTGTGAGTGAGGAGGATGTAGCTCGCTACATTGCACATTCCCAGGCAGGAGGAGCAGGGAGCGCTGGAGGTACAGCTGGCTCTGCAGGCTCTGGGCCTACATCCGCCTCCGCAGTAGCAGCCAGTGGTAACGGAGGGAGCTGCGAGAGAGTGGGAGCAGGAGGCAGCGGCGTGGGAGGAGGAGTAGAAGGAGGATCCACTGCTGGAGGAGGAGGAAGTGGAGGAGCCGGGCATTCCAGCTCTGGGTGGCAGAGTCTGGACAGCACAGGCAGCTCATCGGACCAGCCTGCCACCCAGGGGTCTGGGCTGGGCATCTTCGCCCAGTGGAGCAACAATGGTGCTGGGATGGGAGGGGCCGGAGGCGTGGAGGCAGGAAGGCAGGGTCTGTGGGGGGGCATGGGGGGGATGAGCGGGTCGGGATACCCCGGCAGTAGCCTCTGGGGTTCCCCGGCACTTGAAGATTGTCACCAGATGGGAAGCCCTGCCTCATTGCTGCCAGGGGACCTGCTGGGAGGGGGGGCAGACTCCATTTGAAAGGGCCGACTCACACTCTCACACACACACACACACACACACACACACACACACACACACACACACACACACACGCACACAAAAACAACACGTTTTACTCTTAAGTTGTAATACATATTTCACACTGTATTTATTTACACATAGTGATTACATTAAATTAAAGCTACACTGGTTAGCCAAAAAGCAGACACTCAACAATCATGCCCCACCCAGGCTACATGCAAATACATGCACACGTACACACACACACACACACACACATTAAGCCGCTTAACTTTAAATGAAGACAACAGTAAAACTTGAACCGGGGAAAAAGGTGAAATCCATTAAACTCTTAGGACTCAACTGGATAGCTCTTTCTCTCTACTCCAAATCCCACCATCTGCATCCAGAGACCCAATCACTCAGGCATGCACTGTAGACAGGCTCGGCCAGAGTTGAACACATCAACAAGTTTAGCTATTGCTGTTTTTAGTGTGCCACAGTTATTTTTTTTTCTCTCCCTTTTTTATTACTATTTAATGGTTGAATCTCAAAATTCCGACTTGCAGACTGAGCCCTCATAGACCTGGCCGGCTCACTTCTGAGTTCTCATGTTTGGAAGCTTGAGAGTTGGGAAGGAGCTGAAGTTTGTTGAAATTTTTGGGACAGCGCCACACTACTGAGTCAACCGGACGATCAGCAACCTTGAGGTTTGGAGAAGGAAGAGGGTTTTTAGTAGGTACTAACACACCTCTACCTTGGTGGAAATATGCCATCAACATGGGACCCAGGGTAAAAAAAAACCAACAACAATTGAACAAATACAACATTAGCCAAACTTGCACTATATGCCTCTGGGGTTGTTGTTGACACATCCTCCACAAATCCCTCCATGTTTTAAAACAGAGCTACAACACAACAACTACACAGACCTTACAGGACGACTTAATGTTACAACAGCAGTGGCCTTGGCTAACACCCAGCGGCCGCCCGCCTGCCATGTCAGCAGCATCACACCTTCTCATCAGTTACACTCTGCTCTTATATTTGACAAGCAAAATTGTAACTCCTCGTTGATGTATGTCGGTTGTTTATCATTTCTTTCTGTTTTAAAAGAAAAGAGAAATGTGTGAAACTTTGTGAAAATCCAGAGATGTCCTTTTTTTGCCCTTCAAACACTGACCTCGCTATTGTATTTTTTCTTACTCGAGAAAATTAAGTTGGTTATTATATATTGTCATGATGTTAATGATGACTATGGTCACTTATTTACTCGCTGTACAAGGTGCCCTCCTGCCTGCCTGTGTGTGCATGAAAGGAGCGATGACAGTATGACCGAATGGAGATGTGATGAAGATAATGACGAAGATATCGGGAGTGTCTGTGTTATTGCTACAATGTTGAATGTTTCTTTCTTTCTTGTCCATGAGAGATTCATCAGAATCGTTTGTGTGTGTGTGTGTTTGTTCATGTGTGATTGCGTGTGTGGTTGCTTTTGAACACTTATCTGCTCTAGTCAGGGAAGTGAATAGATGTTAATCTGACAACTTGCATTTGAGTGAACGAGTTTGTGTGGTTGTGTTATGTTTGCGTGCTTCTCTGTGTGTGATAGCTAATAAGTTCAAAAACATTGGCACTATTGCATATGTCTCTTAAGTTGTGTTTTTTAACAGCATTTTGTTCTTGTTTTGGGTTTTTTTTTTCTGCCAAATGCAATAAGAGAATATTTTGTTTTTAAGACGAAGCAACCAACTGAAGGCGTCTCTATTAAAGATGCCAAATCCTACCATACCAAGCTGAGCTGGAACAGTGTTTTACAGACACGTTAAAGACATTACCTGTTATATTTTACAGTTTTTTTTGTTTTGTTTTTTGTTATGGTGTATCAATTTAAATTAAGTCAGTCTTTATTATCACTCCTTTTCAGGTTGTTTTCATTTGTTTCAGATGTTACAAAGAGAAGAGGAAATTAATTTAAAGCAGAAAAGAACAAGATAATAAAGGTTGAATTGAAGTCTAGTGTTTTGTTGTTTGATTTGTGAGACTGAGTTGTGAACAGTTGACGTGGATGTCAGGAATCCGTTGCTCACGTCTGTAGCGTTTCCTTCAATGCAGTAATGTTCCTCACGCTGTCAGCAGAGCTGTCATTTGTTTAGTAAAGTTTTTGCTCCCAGAGGTGATTTTGAATCTACTCTATATTAATGAGCAGTGCAGGAAGACAAAATGCTGTATTCATTTAAGGAATAGTTCTTGATGTTTTTCTTGCCCATCTCATTGTGTTGTTTCTTTTTGGTATTCTTAACTTAAATTATAATAAAGGAAAGAAACCTCTCAGTTCAAAGATTTATGAAAGGATTCTTTTGTTATCATGACTAAATTCCTGAAACTCAACCAACTATTTACAGAAAGGCGAACTAATTCCATCAAGGATGATGAAAACAACGTTTTCTGTTGATCGTCTTAAGGGCCATTCAGAGAGGATGCAGTGGATGCTGCACGACGCTCAAACACATTCATTGTAAAGGTCACACCTGCCTCCCTGCAGGCTGCACATCAGTGAGAAAAAAAAATCTATTTGGATGCAGCGCTTCATGAAGACACCTCAATGAGTCCAATATGAGGGTAGATCAGACCACATCTATGACCCTGAGTATTTCATGACCACACCCTCTTCTTCTTTGCCGCTCATCTTCCTCTCCTCAGCAGGTCAAAGGCCTCAAGAATGCCTAACAGATTATTGCTTTGACTTACTTTCCAGCAAAAGCACCAGCATTTTTTTATTTTTTTTAAGCTTTATTTTTGGGCTTTTTGGGCCTTTAATCGAGAGACAGGACAGTGTATAGAGTCGAAATCAGGGAGAGAGAGAGAGAGGGAAACGACATGCTGGAAAGGAGCCACAGGCTGGATTCAAATCTGGACCGCTTACTTGGAAGACCATAGCCTCCATACATGGGGCGCGCGCACTAACCACTGTGCCACCAGCACCCCAGCACTGAATATTTCCTGACACAAACAGATGAAGCCACCAGATCAGTTGTTGATAGAGTCCTTGTTACCCCAACTTTGTGCAGTTTGTTTTTTTACTTTGACATTTTCATGTATTTTACAGGCACATGGTTCTCAGTCCATCACTGTTGGTTTCACAATCCAGAATCCTGTGCTTAAAAAAGCTGGGGAGTGGGAGATCTTCAGGGTAGAGTAGGGTTCTCTGTAGAGTTTCTTGTACAGATTGTCCATCATATCTGTGAGGAACCTCTTCCTCTAAATCACCCCCTGCCTTTCTGACCTCCCCAGATTTGCCATTGAATTCTATTGAGACATTATCTCTGTGCAGGAAGACTTCGACCTGATCATGCATCATCCTCCTCTTTTTATTTCTCTCACGCTGTTTCAAACGGCTCTCTCTCTTCTTATTGGCTGGACATGTAAGCAGCATTGAAGAACTATTTGAGCATCTTTTGTGTCTTCCTCAGTTTGTATGATTATTTCCTCTTCGTTGTTAATGTTTGTGTGTGACTGATTATTGTTTGCAGAACCCTATTGGATGGTTGGGGTTGGGGTGGGGGCGGAGGTTATTAATGGGTTTACTTCATCCACATCTACTGTGGGTGAGGTCTTCGTTTATAATATTATGGAATGCTCTTTTCTTTTTGATATCTCTGTAAGAATTTCCTCTCCATTTTTCTTTGTTCTTGTAGCTGTCTAGGTGTCAGGTCTGCTCCTGCCTGTAGCAACCCTTTTACCTCATGCTTTTGATATCTGTTAAAATATGAGAAGCAGCAGTATTAAAACCTACGATGATAAAACAGACAACTTCTGAAACAGGAACTTCTTCAGCCTACCACATCAGCTTTACTGGCACTGGAATGACCTTTCACGGCCTATACAGCAAAAAGTAGTATGTTTATGTCTTGACACCAATAAAGCATTCAGGGGTGAGTGAGTTAACAAATGGGTTAGTGAGTAAATGAGTGAGTGTCTCAGTGAATGAGTTAGTGGATGCATGTGATTAAGTGAGTGAATGAACCAATGAGTTAGTGATTGAGTGAGTAAATGTGTGTGATTGAGTGCTCTTCTCATTTAGGCCTATACCTTTCTCTTTCCTGTCTCCTTTACTCCTGTAGAAGTTCTGGGTTGTTGTAGGTTATAGGCCTATCTTCTGTCTATGTTTCTCCACTCTAGTTCTCGATATGTTTTTATTTTACAATTTTAAAAATAAATAATAAAAATAAATTCTACAAAATCCAAATTGAAGGCCAATGTGTATGTGCATGTAATTTATAGCATTTTTACAATTAAAGTCTTTTTTTTAGCTATTCTTGCAATACCTACGCTTTCTTAATTCTTTTTAACTTGCTAGTAGAGGGATTCAATTATCTTGGGAAAATGTTTTTTTGCCTAAATGGTTTCATGTCAAACTAGATGATGTCATGCAGGCTGTTCAATATTGACAGTCATTAGCTTATTAGCCTCAGCCATGGCATCAGCTCAAGATTTGCATGCTACCTTTTTTTTTTAACAGATACTTTTTCCTTACACTCATTAAGCAGTTTGTATTAATCAAACAGTCACAAAACAAAAAGTAGACCCACAACAACAAACAACAACAATAAAGTCGGCACTGGTGAAACTGCTTGCCTAAATAAACTCAACTTCTTCAAATACTTTTTGGATTTGATTCCTCTTTCATTCAATTAAAACCCCTGGCTATGACAATATATATTAATCTCTTTGCACAAAATGTCACCCCCCCCTCCCCTAAAGGTAGGTTAAAGGTTATGGTGGGTAAATAGCCTACTTAATAAGAAAAGTGTGCAACTTCCCCTAGAGGGGGTTTATACTTCTGCCAGACTGGTAATCAAATATAATAATAATAATAAATATAATAATAATAATTTATAATAATAATAAATATAATAATAATAATTTATAATAATAATAAATATAATAATAATAATTTATAATAATAATAATTTATAACAATAATTTATAATAAATAATAGGCTAAATACAGTTAGCATTTCATAGGAATACAAAAAGAGCAAATCCCATAATTATGGCTGTGCTATTGAAAGACTAGGCTACAGGCCTACTTTAGACTAACCTTTCTACATTATAATTTAAGCATTTTAAAGTCTTGTATTAGTGAACATACATGAAGAAGCTGTTTGTGAGGGCTGTGTTTGCTTTGCTTCATTCATGTCTGCTAAAAACCAGCAGCAAGCAGCTGCGCGGCGGCTTTAAGACAATCCGGGCATCTCTTCCAGTCTGCGGATGACATCATCGATATTGTCAATGGTGTAAAGTGAGAGAGGGCTGGGTGAGGGAGTTGTGAGGAGAGAGAGAGAGAGAGAGAGAGAGAGAGAGAGAGAGAGAGAGATAGAGAGAGAGAGAGAGAGAGAAACACGGCCACAGAAGAGAGACGAGAGAAGAACCTCAGTGTCTGGTTTTTGGCGTTTTTTCTGAAAACATCGTGACGCTGATAATCTCCCAGAGTCACAGGACCAGGCTCGGTTCGGATCAGTTGTGTATTTTGGAGTCTTTTTTTTTTTTTCGTGCGTGGAAGGGGACCGGTCACAGGAGTCGGGGGGTTATGAGCCGTCCGAAGCCGCGTCGGTGCGTCGCTGTCCAGGGTCCTGAGTGAGACAGAGCCAGCGGAGCAACCACGGAGCCTGACATCACCCGGCGAGGAGGAGGGTAAGGTGGGGGATGTATGTTGGCTAGTCAAGGTGTCTGGAGGCGTGTGTGTGTGTGTGTGTGTGTGTGTGTGTGTGAGGTGGTTTGGGTTACACGAATAGAGCCAAAACAGAGTCGTGTTTGGGCGGGGGTGCGCTTTTTCATAGGTGCTATCTGTATATGGAGGGTGCGGTTTTGGGATTTATCACCATGTTTGGTGGTCAGTGATGGATGATTTGTGTGTTTTTGGACACAGCACCGTCGCCGCTTCTATTCTCTATTGGTATCTGGGGCAACGGCATGAACTGCTCTCTCTTAAAATGTAACATCTCGCCTGTTTTTTTTTTTTGCAGTCCTTTTGCAGCGCTAGTGGGTCCCAGTTTTATACGATGACAGTGTAGAAGCTCTCAGGATCCTGAGAGGAGAGATGAGCTGGATAGACCTGAGGTAATGTGCAGCAGAGGCTTGCTCTGCTTTATTTTTTTCCTGCACAGTAAACGTAGTTGGGGTGTTTTTGTAGGTCTATGATGCTGCCAAGCCTAAAACGAATGAGCTCGGTCAGTGTTTAGTGCAATGTCAAACAGGCTTGTAAAGCCCAACCTACGGCAGGAAAAAGCCTTAAGTCACTTCCCGCTTTGAGTCATTATATCATTAGGCTTGGGTGAGGAAAACATGACTCATTCGAATTTCACCAGGGGACTCCAGTCAGAAAATTTGGAGTTTATGCAAATCTCTTGTACACAGGGCCAGACTCCCTTGAAGTGCTTTTGGGAAAAGAGTGTGTGAGATGCTGATCCAGCTCCCCCCCCTCCCCCCTGCAGCCCTGAATAAATCATGTTACACAACTCCACACTCTGTTCTTCTGTGCTCTCACTTTTTCCCCATGCACTTTATAAACACTTCATCGGCCTACATAGTTGTCCTCCGAGATACCAGTTTATTACCACGTCCTCTGAAGGTGTAATTACTCCAACTGCAGAGAACATGGTCGCTAGCAGCACAGAGGTCACATTAGTTTGTGTGTAATGAATAATGGTATTCTTCCACTGTGCGTTTTTGTGAAATCAAGTCACTTGAGCAGCAGCAGCAGCAGCTGGAAGTGAGCAACATTTTCCTTTCTGCTCTGAGGGATTCCAAGCAGGCTGCAACCACGTCACTGTTGTGGCTCAGTTATTCGCACTTCTTATTCTTTCTCATGTCTCCTGATGATTCTTCCCAATCTCCCACTTTCAGTTTCTTTTATGATACCGTGATCCCATCCCAGGGCTCATAGATTTGAATTTAGAATCTGCAGCTTTGCGCCACTGTCCTTTTACACTATTGATCACAAGTGATTGATGACAGCTTGTGTGTGTGTGTGTGTGTGTGTGTATGTGTGTGTGTGTGTGTGTGTGTGTGTGTGTGTGTGTGTGTGTGTGTGTGTGTGTGTGTGTGTGTCCTTTTAGAGAGTTGAAAAGCTCGGGAGCCATGGAGTTGAGGGTGGGGAACAAATACCGCCTCGGGAGGAAGATAGGGAGCGGATCCTTTGGAGACATTTACCTCGGTGAGAATTCGTCCAACCTTCACTTTTTATTATGTTCACCTAAAATGTGTCCCCTGTCGCCTTAAACTTCCAAATAGCTTTTACGAAACACCTGTTTCAATCGTTGAAGCGTTTTAAAAAGATCTCAACTTTAAATTGAATCCTAATCAGAAATGTGGTGATATATGATAAATCGGGATCTGTGTCTTTCTCTCCCCAGGTTCTAACATCGCTACAGGAGAGGAAGTAGCAATCAAACTAGAATGTGTGAAAACCAAACATCCACAGCTCCACATAGAGAGCAAGTTCTACAAGATGATGCAGGGCGGAGGTAAGACTCACCAAGGAGAGAGAGAGAGAGAGAGAGAGTGTTTTTAAACGTTTTTTTAAGGGGCAGTGAAAGGCAGTGAAGACCTTAAGGGGCACTGAGGGGTATTTGAGGGGGGTTTACTAATTGTGATGCTGTAGATCATAAAGAGGCATTGCTGTTGATTCAGAGACCTTGAACTGCTATTCTGGACATTATGGGGCATTTGAGGTGCATTCAGGGTCATTCAGGGACAAGAAAGATATCTTTACTGGATTTTAGAAGCGTGAGTCTGCTTGTTGAGACTTGTGTATTATAGTCATGGTGATTATTTTTAAGGATCTGAGGCTTTGTGTGTTACAATGCAAAATAAGAAAAAGAATATGACATGGCTTTGATCGTTTGGAGAATTCACACGTAACAGCAAAACAGAGAAAGGTTGGACAATAACAAGGACAATAAGAACTAAATAAATCCAGTTATGCCACTATAAATGATCTTAAACTACAAGCATACATCAAAATAGAGTATCATAGAGGAGTTGTTCAGTATAAAGATGAAGTGATAAAAGTTATATAAGGCATCTTTAGTCATGATGTAGCATATGATAACAGTTAGGGTGCAGACGTTTCATTGTAATTTGTTTTGATAAGGTTTTAGTTTGAAAACGAAAGTAGTAAGCTTTACGTTATGGTAACACTTGACTGCAGCTTACAGGAACATAGTTAAAGTGGTTCACTTCAAGAAATGAACAAACTGGTGAAACATTTAGCTTCAAGTCATTCAAACATGGTTGAAATATTCAGCTTTAAGTTAAGGTCACATTTGAAATAGTAGAAGTAAGAAGTACATAGATGACATAGCTTGATGAAATGGACAAACTGATGAACCATTTAGCTTAAACTAAAGCAATAAAGAAATGGTTTAAATAGTAAACTAACAGCTATGGGGACATGGTTGAGTTGGTACAGATAAATGTTATAGATAAATGGTTAAGCTATAAGTAAAGACAACATGGTTGAACTAGTTATCTAAAATGAAGGGGTACAAGGCCGAGATATTGAGCTCAATGATCGGATAAATGGTTGAAATACTTCACTTCAGCAGATATCTTAAATAGTTAGCTTACAGTGATGGATGCTATAGCTAATTGCTCACTTGTTTATAATAATTTGAAATAGTAAGATTGAAATTATGTAAACATGGTGTAAATGGCGCTTTAAGTCATTACAGCATGTAGTAAATAGTAAGATCAATGTAATGAAAAGATAGTTTCAATACAGAGAAGTGGTTGAAATAGAATAGATCATTTGAATGGGTACGGTCGATATAGCTAACAGTCATTGATGAATTGTTAAAAGGTGAGCTTGAAGATATGTAAACATGGATAAGCAGCAGTTTGCTTTTTACAAATGGAGTAGATAACAACCAGTAGTCAAAGTGTTATTCTGAACAATTCTGTTTCCTAACTTCTGATCCCCCCCCTGCCCACACTTCTCCCCACACCCTCCACCTTGACCCCCCCCCCCCCCCCCCCCGACAGTGGGAATCCCGTCTATCAAATGGTGTGGAGCAGAAGGCGACTACAACGTCATGGTTATGGAGCTGCTGGGCCCCAGTCTGGAAGACCTGTTCAACTTCTGCTCCCGCAAGTTCAGCCTCAAAACAGTCCTGCTGCTGGCCGATCAAATGGTAAGGAGAACCTTACCGCCTTTGAAACGAGGTTTGTTAAGGCAGAGGTCAGTAATGATACAGACACACTAATGGTCATAGCTATGGGAAACGTGTGCAGCGTCACAATATGAGGAAAGGCTGGTGTAGTTGTGTCCAACCTCCCAGCAGAGGCGCTGCGTGTCAACAGGCAAAAGAAGTTGCTGGCCCAAGATGTGCAAATTTTGCAACGACATTAGGAAACCTCCCTAAAGGGGCGTCATCTGACAGCACTCACTTCCGTTGCCCGGCTAAGCATTGCATGCACTATTACTGTGAAAAGCAAAAGTTTGCCAATGAAAGTCAACAAAGAAAAATGAAGAGGAATTATCCTTCTATAGGAGAGATAAAGAAACAGGAACATGGAGGGAGAGGATAAGGGTCAGGACGCTGGAGGACATAATGGTGATGAGTGCTGGTTTTGAGGGCCCCCCTTGATTTTTGCCTAGGGCCTCTAGAATTGCCACTGCCTCCCATCATGCCCTCAAGCCAACCTGAGGCTGGGAAGTCACACAGATTTCAATAAATGGATGCTGCTATTTTTAGACTGGGACTAAATGGATCATTTGAAATCGGAGAATAATTCTCATCTAAACCTACGAAGCTTGTTTCCTAGCTCGAGATGAAGTTTATCCCCTCACTATCTTCAACCATTCAGTTCTGCCATAGAAGTCGCTTTATATCTAGGACGCGAGAAAGCCTAATCCTTGTCTTAGGGGTTTGGTCTGCGATGTCTTTTATGAGTCTCTTTAATCCCTCATTTGTCATTCTTAAGTCTACAACTGGCACGTTTGTTCTTTTTGTCCCATTTTCTCTTTGCTACTTTAACCTATTTTTCTCATAACTTCCTCTGGTGTCCTTTTAATATCTCTCCTCTCCTCTCTTTTCCTCCTCGCTCATGAAGACTTTTAACTAACCCATAACACGTAACAACCTCTATATACCAATATGTGCAGACAGGATTTACTGATACTAAAGTTTTATTTGACTCGGCATGACACTTAAAGTCACTTTCTGCTTTAGACTGAACGCTGTATAACTTTGTAAACTTAAACAGCCCCAGCATTGCGAGTGTAGATGTTTGATTTTGATCATTTTCAACGTGTATATTTTGTTGGTCATCCACCTTTTTGAAAGTGAAGTGCTGAAATGCTGCTGTGCTCCTTTAAGTTAGAAACAAATCATTCTGATTAATTGTGTGGCCTAAGCCAGGTTCAATAAGCTCACTGACATAAAATCAGACGAGGCTTCTTGGAAGACTTGATCAAACCCTTTTTTTATAGGCTACAAAATTCACCACTGCATACTTTCTAATCAAACTAAACCCTGCTTTTTTTGAAATCTCTGCTCACCAGATCAGCAGGATTGAATACATCCACTCCAAGAACTTCATCCACAGAGACGTGAAGCCTGACAACTTCCTGATGGGGCTTGGCAAGAAAGGCAACCTGGTCTACATTATTGACTTCGGCCTGGCCAAGAAATACCGCGACGCCCGAACGCACCAGCACATCCCCTACCGCGAGAATAAGAACTTGACCGGCACCGCCCGCTACGCCTCCATTAACACCCACCTGGGCATTGGTAAGACACTTCACACACTGAGGTCGGTCTAGATGCCTGTGTGGGTGTGAATGTGTGTGTTCTTCTAACCCTCTGCGTACTATGTGTGTGTGTTCTCAGCAGAGTGTCAGTGGAACATGTTGAAATATGCATGTTTATTGATCAGGTGTCTCAGAAAAAATGCCTCATGTCTCATGAAATGCAACCTCCTTTCATTTCCTCTTCTTACATCCTACCCTTCATTGTCTCCTCTTCTACTTTTTATTTTTCTTCTATTTACAATTTTTTTGTGATCTCATACTCTCCTCTTTCCTCTTTCTCTGTCTCCTCAGAGCAATCGAGACGAGACGACCTGGAGTCTCTGGGCTATGTTCTCATGTACTTCAACCTGGGCTCTCTGCCCTGGCAGGGGCTCAAGGCCGCCACCAAGAGGCAGAAGTATGAACGCATCAGTGAGAAGAAAATGTCCACCCCCATAGAGGTGCTCTGCAAGGGATACCCCTGTGAGTAAAGAGAAAGTGTAGGCAGCAGAGAGCCAAACATTTTGAGATTTTGTTTCCAATATTTCTGACATATCTTTTGTGGTTCCAGCGGAGTTCTCCACCTACCTGAATTTGTGTCGCTCATTGCGGTTCGACGACAAGCCAGACTACTCATATCTGAGGCAGCTCTTCAGGAACCTTTTCCACAGACAGGGCTTCTCCTACGACTACGTCTTTGATTGGAACATGCTGAAGTTTGTGAGTGGATCGCCCCAGTATTCAAACCTCAGAGTTAGCAGAAGCATGTGACGCAACATGCCCCAACAAGACCCAAAAACATGTTTCATTGTCTTTGTGTTTTTCTCTCTCTCTCTCCACTGTTCCTCTGTGTTTCAGGGAGCCAGCAGAACAACAGAAGATGGAGATAGGGAGAGGAGGGAGGGAAAAGAGGGGGAGGAGCGGGCAGGAGGGGGCCAAAGAGGGGCTGGAGGTCGAGCTTTGCCACCTAATCCGAACCCGTCAGGAGCCAACAGAGTCAGGAACGAGGCGGACGCAGCCCCTTCAAACCCAGCCACACGAGGGGTCCAGCAGTCAGGTAAGGATTTTTGCTTTTGTTTGTGTTAGTGGACAATCTGGATCTCATTGTGAGATAACGCTGTTTTCATATCCGTTTATGTCTCGACATGTAAGCAGGTAACCGCTCCCCTCAGGCCGGCAGAGCGGAGCGGGCCGAGCGAGAGAGGAAGGTGGCCATGAGGCTTCACCGCGGGGCCCCCGCCAACGTCTCCTCCTCTGACCTCACCGCACGCCTTGACCAGTCGCGCATCACTGCATCACAGGTGGGAATATTTGGGCATTACAGGGGAAGGAGACTCTCTTCTCAAGGGACAAACGATAGGACCTTAGATTTGAGGCAGCATTCACATCATCATTTCAGAAGGTTGTCAAATCTGCAGCATGTGAGGAAGTTTGTGTTTCCTGTTTCTCTTTTGGTAACGCCAGGGGCCAGCGTCTGTTTCCAAGGAAGATGAATTAGTATGCTTTTTTAGCACAGACATACAGGTTCCCATAGGATGTATCTTACTCAGTGGCATGTCCAGACTTTTTGGACTGGGGTGGCCCAACTGGGGCACTGACTTGTGCAGGGGTGGCATGAAGTTAGTGTGCACGCATGAATGAGGAACATTTATTAATCCCTTCTGTCTGCACTAATCACATCAGCTCTTAGGAACACAAGATCATGGCAACATATACATCACTAAAGCTTAATTCTTCAAGGACAAGATGTATCCAAAGTCACATTTTAAAGAATTTTAACAATTGCAAAGAAACATCTGCACATTGAAATCTATGAGCTGCCTGTTGCAACACCTCTGGCAAGCCAAATAACCAAGGATTTTGGGGCGGCACCTAGGGTGGCCGATAAGATATCAAGGGGGGCCCATGCCAGTCCTGACAACCTCTCTGGAAACGTCCCCGATCCTACTTTATTTAACCACGATCTGACTTTTACTGTTGCAGCATGAGCAGTTTAAAGTTTTCTGTAAAATATTTTAATGTCACTTTATCGATTGTTGCAAAAATGTTGCTTGTCTGTAACTAAATGGCCTTGGGGATCCCCTGACTTCTCTTGTAGTGCCTCACTGTAGTTCACCCTCATGTTTAAGTTGGTCCTGTATATCTACTGAGGGACCGCAGATTTAAACCAGCTCCAAGCTAACTCTGGTACAATGCATCACATGGCCACATTCTTGTTTAATATTGTACGTGGTCCCTTTACAAATAACATAAATTAAAAAAAATAATAATAGTTTTGTTTATTTGGCAGGGACATGGAGAACTGAACAACAATTTCCCAATGCGCCACAGCATTTATATCTGAAGCTAATTTCCAATGCCTATCCCTGAAAAGGCCTTCAATATAAAATACAAATATGATAAAAATATATGGAGAGCATGCTTACAGAATGAGCTAATCTAATTAAAGATATGATCATGGCCAAATAACCTGCAAAACATATGACAGCACTATCATCCTCAGCTGTACTTTGTGCTTGTTTATAATTAGGAAATTAGCGCGCTAAAGGCTAAAATAAGAAGATAAAGACAGTAAATGTTATACCTGTTCAGAATTTTCTCTTACCACTTCACCATAAACACAGCAATGAACGATCTCACAGTGTCTGCCACCTGAAGCCTGACTGCTCCCAAACACCGCACAGACCACACAGAGCACAGTTAATGCAGAGTAAGCACAATTTAAAAAAAACATTTCTTACATCGAGACAGCCACATAATGTCGCTGGGTTAGCTCAGTGGATAGGCTGTAGCAGGCTGCCCACAGAAGCCACAATCCTTGTTGAGCTGGTCGCAGGTTCGATTCCCAATCCGGACACTGTTTGGTGCATGTGATCCCCCGCTCTCTCTCCTTCCTGTCACTCAACTGCTTTCCTATCCTAATCGTGGCAAAAGCCTCAAAAAAGAAAGTCTGCTATCTATCTATCTATCATTTATCTACATTTGTTTAACCTGCATGCTGCCGGGCCTCCAGCTCTCTTCAGCATGAATCCAGATCATATGTAACTGCGCACACACATAAACAGCATCCACATTTTAAAAACTTTACTCACTTTTAAATTCTTATTATCTGAATCTTATCTTACATAAAATGTTTTATACTTGAATAGATCGTTTTTAAAGGAGGCAGGTATCCACAAGATTTCTACAACCACCCCCAGAAGAGGGGCAGGGGGGGGATGCAGTTTTGCAAGAATTAGTTCCATGTTGCTGGTTCCAAGATGTAAAAGCATGCTTCGTCCTGTTATTTTAGAAAAGAAGCAATCAACTGAGGCAGACTTGCTCCCACTTTTCCAACAAACTAATAGTGACTTCATTTTAAACAAAACAGACGGGAAGTTTTCCTTTAACGTTTGACTGCTGACACTCCTGGATTGTCTGTTGTGACTCCCCTCGATGTTACTATGAATTCATTATACATGATTCAGTTTTTACAACATTAGAGCAGCTGGGGAGATATTCAAAGAATCTGTTTGTAATTACCACCAACGAGATATTAATGCCAAGAGTTTTTGTGACTGTGCAAGTTTAAGTCGGACATGATATAAGCACAGAACAGACTAATCCACCAAGACAGGCTCCTAAAGCCTCTTTTTCATTTGTAATTGGACTCTCTCCACTGCTTCCTCATTTATTGGGGATCATGTCTGCAGTAATGAATGCACAGTTTGTAAGTATCCAGGCTCGTTGTGCTGTGTCTTTACATCAGTATTCAAACAATCCTTTCATGCAATTTAAACATTATGTTGGAGCAGATGCTTCAAATTTGAAGGCATGCATTCTGGATTTACGCAACGTGCAGGCCTGAATTTGCATAAATTAACACTGATGTGGACAAATGAAGAACATTTGCATTTGATCCTCTTGTTGTAGAGACTCAGTGAGAGTTCAGTTGTGTCTGGTATTGGCCGCAGAATGCTCGACTGAATAAAATGACTTTGTAGTGGTTTTCTGATTGGTCACTGTTGTGATGTCAAAACCTGTTCACCCTGCTCCAAAGACTCAGTGTGTGGGTTTCTGTTCTTTATGGAGCCACCTTTCATGTTTGTTTTCATGCTAGCAGAACATATTCATCCCTATGCTGACCAAATGTTCAGGAGGTAAATCCAGAACTAAGACTGGTTAGGACAGTAGAGAACAGACATTGCAGACGTTTCTTCTGTTGTCTTTTTCCCCTTCAAACTTTGATGTGTTTCTCTTCCACTCAGGTCAGTGTGCCGTTTGAACATCTGGCAAAGTGAGTTTCTACTGGCTGGCCTGCAGGTCAGTGACAGGTATGGACACGTCACCCACACACACACACACACACACACACACACACACACACACACACACACACACACACACACACACACACACACACATACACACACACACTCTCACAGAGCAGCTATCTGTTTCCTTTGTTCTTTACTTCCCTCCTAACCCCCTGAAAAACCAACATCACTACTGTCCATGTCTAGAAAGATAAAGAAATGTTGATTTTTAGCAAAAGCCAATAATCAACATCAATATGCAAAAGGAATAACAGACAGCACAGTAGATCATCATCAACATATATCACTTTGAATTCAGACTAATATTACAGATTATTGAGAAGTCACAGTTGTAATAAAACTTCAAGTAGGAGTTGTTTAATTTCAAATAGGTATTAATAATAAAGGATTTACAGTATTTGTTCTTCTAATCTCTTTTTAGTTCTTAAACTTTAAAAGTTATGATGATGAGTTTTTCTTTAATAACAAGAGCTACATAGTGTATCTTAATATCTGTAGTTTAACTGATTTGTTTGCACGTTTCCTGACGTGTGTGTTTGCTGCTTTTTCAGCCTAAAGAATGCAGCAGTATTTATTATTGTTGGTTACTTTAAAGCTCCTGTGAGGATTATTCACTGGTTATGAAACAGATTGAAATGAATACTGATGCCTCTCCATGACTTATAAAAGCAAATGAGACCATTATGGACAAGATTGGTATTTTCTTTACAGTTATTTGTAATGCCTGGTAATGTTTGCTGCAATTTACATAGATTCACAGCAAACGTTAAGTTTGACCTTTACAAAGGAAGCAAGCTTGGAATAATTTTGTCAAAAAACTCTACTTACACATGTACAGGACAAGACCAGCTAAGAGATAAGATGTATCACTTTGTCCAAAAACAATATAAAACAAAGTTCCTCACGGGAGCTTTAAGAATTGCATTTGTTATCATAAGATTTCAAGTTTACAAAGTTGATGACAATAAATGTTTTGTTATTACCTTTTTAAAATGTAGAAAATCAAATATAGAAAATTACCAAAGTAACTGAACCTATCAGCGTCAAAGTGAGAGTACAGTGCTCCGTCACTTTGACATCTCAGGATAGATGCAGCAGTGATGTCATTAAAAACACAAATCTTGTAACAACCTGTTTTTCACAGGTTGATCTGATGAAAGTATGTATTATTCTTTTAGTGAAAATTATTGTTCCGGGACGCCAGTAGCCTATTGGTTAGTGCACACACCCCATGTCCTATAGTCTTCCATGCGGGCTGCCCGGGTTCGATTCCGACCTGTAGCTCCTTTCCCTTATGTCATTTCCCACTCTCTCTCTCTCCCTGGTTTCTGACTCTATCCACTGTCTTGTCTCTACAATAAAGGCCCAAAAGTAAATCTTAAAAAAATATACATTTATTCAAAAAGTAATGTCTGAGTATGGAACGCCTTACACAGTTTATCTTACTCCTCTGTGTCACATAGTTTCCAGCTGTTGTCCAAAAACGATTTACAACATTAAGAAGCTACAATAATAAGTTATTGCACAGGCAGACAGGTAAGATACACTGGAATCTATTTGGAGTCAATTTAAGGGGTACACATTTCCACTTTTCCCCCACTGTAATGCAAGTGTTAGCACCACAGGCGGAGGCTGAATGGGGGGGGGGGACTTTGGTCCACCATTCAGCCTCCGCCTGTTAAACATTGCAGATGAGGCTTAACATCCCGCCTTGAACTGTCAATATGTATGTGACATGTAATACATCCTAATGCTGCTGTAAAGTAATCCCAAAAAAAATCACAATGTTCTCTTGTTGGAGATTGCCAACATGTACATTCTGTTTTAATCTTTTAAATGATGACAGTATGTGTGTCATGTTGTTGAAGCTGACTGTACTCCTCTGTAGAAACCACAGGGTGACAGAGAAAGACTTGGTTTACATTTGGTAAATCCTTTCAGTAGTTCAAACATTGACTCTTCTCTTCCTTGTTTTTGTTTCTTGTGGTTCAGCAGCTGCAGGGTATGAAATACCCCTTACTTTTCAAGCATATGAATGAAAACATAAGTGATGGAAGGAGGACAAGTGGAGCAGGAGGAGGCGTTGCGGGCCCTCACAGCGGGGAAACGAGGCCAATTGTGTGTCTGTCAGTATGCTGTGTGAACACTGAGGAGAAACCAGCCGGACAAACGGACTTGTTAGCTAGAACTGGTTTGTATGACTTTTTTGTGGATGCGGCGTGAAAAAAGTGGGGGAAACAACACACAGGCCCCGCCCGTTCTTCATTCATATCCACCTGTCCATCGACTCAGAGGTTCAACTTGCAAAAAAAAAAAAAAAAAAAAAAAAGACAAAATGCACAAAATGAACTGCATTTCAGTTATTCTGTGATTTCCACCTGTGATTTAAGAATAAGTCATCAACCTGCTAACGTCTGAGAGCTTCATCTGCTGCTTATGGTGTTCTTGATTATATATAAATATGTAAACAGCTAGGGAGGCGAACCCAAAACAACAGAGTTTTTAAGAAGAGAAAAGAATCACAGACTGAATGTGAGGAGTGTGGAGTGACTCTCTGGATGGGAATGAGGCTGCTCGTCAGTAAATGTCAATGTCAACGTGTTATTGTCCTAAGTGTTCGTTTTGCTGATATCTTTGCTTTAGATGAAAGGAAGAATGAAGTGTCAGAGGAGTCGGGTGTTCATAAATTATCCTTGAATATAAGAAATGATAAGTCAACAATTAGAACTTGTTGTTTTTCAGCACCTTGTAACTAACTTATATGAAATGCTGACAGGGAAAACGTAATCACTGAATATGGAAATTAAAGGAAGAGGAGGAAGACCACGATGAGTCGAGGACAGAACAAAAGGGAGCGGCATGTGGATTGTATGATAAGATAAAGCCTTATAGTCCCGCTTTTAAGTCAAGGTGTGAATAGAGAAAGTTATAAGATCTTGGTGATGAACCAGTCTGGTGTAACTTCTTTATTTTTTGTCCTTTACTTTTCTTTGATAAAACATGTAAAAATGTGTACATACCTATTGCCAGAATGTGAAATATTGTGAAAAGATGGAGCTGGAGAGAAGAGTACTTCTTGACAGCCTGGGGGCAATAGCGAAAGAGAAAAAAACTTTTACCTTGAGAGTCAGCCACAAGTGTGTTTTTCATTTCTCCTGTGGCAGGCAATGACAGAGAGGTTTAACATGAATGAATGTGAAGGATTGCTTTGACCCCGGGCCAGTCAGGAAGAACGGATGTCAGGGATGAGCAGTCTGATGTCCTGTACATTTCTTTACCATGCTTCAACTTTATAACTATGATAATTGTGTATATTTTCGGAATCAATAAAGATATACACATCATACAGACTTCTCAATGTAAGTTTTAACTCTTATTTTACCCTCCTTGTTGTGTTGGATTGACGAGCCAAGTTCAATTTATCTTGTCTTCAAATATTTTTAAATCCCCGACATAATGTATGAGAGAAAGGCAGTAAGAGAGTTAGAAAATAGGGGGTTACAAAAGGTTATAAAATGTTGTTTTTTTTAAGTTTTTTTGAAGACAAAGAAAGGTGTAGACTTAATGAGTAAAGCAGAATGAAATAAATATAATGATAGATAAGTTTGGCTACGACAATTTAATCTGTAAAAAATAAAACGCTATGACTGTTCTTTTGTTAAACATGTTTGTTTCTTGTTGCTTAATCTTTTATTGTCATCAAAGCACTAAATAATCCTCAAGAAGCAGCAGCATCAAAGATAAAAGCTCACATTGAGGCCTTCAGTGCACCTGGGGAAAAATAAAAGTTAACTCAAAGAAGACTTTGAAGTAACAGAATAAATGTATAAAAGAACCAGGAGTTTATTAGTTCATTATCTGTTGCCCACACTCTGACAACACATATGACGACATGAAGTGGTAAACAAATGATTAATCATCGAGTGAGGGGGCAGTGTTCAACTTGTTCAGTACATCACCCACATCTCATTTCCCCTGCCATCCAGGAGGACCGAGAATAGACCCCGCGCACGCTCAGTGTCGAACAAACAAACCCCGCCCTCTTCCGGGTTGTTAATGGTAGTCTGTGTCTGATTGGCTGAACAGGCTCGTCCCTCGCGGAGTGGGCGGAGCTCATCTGATCTACAGTTAATCCGACAGGGATTGGTTTGAAATCAGCGGAGTGAAGGAAGGAGAAGGAGTGAAGCGACCGAGTTTGCTGCTTAAACTCTCGAAACACTGACTTTCAGGCGATGTTATTGCGAAGACATTAGCGTTACAGGATTAATTTAGGTAGAGTTTAGCATGAGAAACAAACTTTAGAGGTGAGTTGTCGGGGGGGTGCGCAGAGGTTGACGGGACGGTCCGCTGAGGGCTCAACATGGATGTCGGGGCTCTGAGGAGGAATTAAGGCCATTTCGAGGTTATTTCTGGTTTGACTGGCGGAGCCGAGGAGGAGTTTAAGGAAACAACCTATCTACCAGGTGAGCCTTTAAAACAGGCTGGAAACACTTTGTCCTTACATTACAATAATTTACACGACTAATGTCATGTCTCTTTCTCTATTCCAGCCTTAAAGAAATCCTCCGTTTGTTGTTTTGGCTGCAAGCAGAGGTAAGTCTTTTCAAGCTCTGCTGCTAATGCAAAATGCTACTTTATGTTGAATGTGAGCGTCCAAACTTGTTAAATCAGATTCACCTGCTGCTTTAAATCTGAGCTGCAACAAATCTAATCACTGCTATGGAAACAATTGTAAACAAAGACAGCAGTGCATAATGTTAACGTTGCTCTCAGCTCACTAAAACACACTGTTGTTGTTGTTGTTGTTGTTGTTGTTGTTGTTGTTGTTGTTACAGCTGCAGCGTGATAATCTAGTCAGCTGTCAACCATATATCATTACTTATTATAAATTATAAGCACACCCTGCCTGCCTCCCAACACCCCCTTTCCATCTGTTGCTTTCTTTACTCCTGACCTTCATTGATGTTATTCCTTTGTGTGTGTGCTCGCCTTTGAAATGAAACACACAGATGTCCCTTTTGCTCCAGCGTAGCATTTCACTGTCACTGGTATTGTGTGTGCATGTGTTGCTGCTGATGCCTTCACTTCTCCTTGTTGACATGTGGATCTGCTGATCTCTGGCAAACCAATACAAATGACCTCTCCTACTACCATAGTGCATACACACACACACAAACAAACTATAACTCTTCTCAGTCCTGCGTATAGAAGCGTGTAAGCAGGTTAATCCATTTTATCCATCTATTAAATTAGATCACAGGAGTTTAAAGTAATTAGTGTGTAAATAAACTAAACAGAGTGTGTTGTGTGTGTTGTGTGTGTAATTGCGTTATGTCAGCCTGTCATTGTCTGTGCTGTTTGTATGATGGCAGCGTGACCATTGGTTGTCACGTTCCCCTTAAAGTTAAAGTCCCTCTTGCTCATTCGGTGAACAATTTGTGCACATGCGCTGCCCATTTTTAAAAATTATTTTCCATCCCTTTTTTGAATCTGAAACGATGTGAGTGTGTTTGCGTCAGCCCACTCTCCACCTCCACATCATCAAGGTCATCGTCATCTCCCCCCAGCTCAGTCCTCTTCTATATGACAACTGTCCGTCGGTATAAGAGAACAAACGCACCCTGAGAACATGTCAGTGTCACCATGAAGACAGCGACAGCCCTGCTGCTTATGTAACGTGTCTTCTGGCCACTTCAAGTCCAGTCAGCTCCAGGAGCTGGAAAAGGATCAGCAGCAGATTTAACATCTTTTGTTTTTCTCCTCATTTTCGTCTGCCTTCTTATATCATGTTCCAGTCACTATGGTAACAAATCATTGGATTGTATGTGAATGTCAGAGGATGGGAGGATAGTTTTTACACAATTATGGAACACGATAGGGCCATTTTAGATGTTGATTATTTCTAGGGTACGGTTTTAAGGGTTGATGCTTTTAACTTTTCAGTGATTAAAAACTACTGCTTTAAATGATAGCGCTCCAATTTATATTTTGGAAAACCTTGTTTTCTTAGTACCTGTTTGATAGGGTTTTTTATTTAAGAGACATATACATAGAATTAAACAGACATATCATTTTCCACCATAAAATGAAGGAAAAACAACACAGTAATTGGTTGTATTAGTTTGTTTTCAAACATGCGACATGAAGCAATCAAAGCCTAAAGTCATCTCACTTTACAAATGTAACGTTTGTGCTCGACCAGCTGTGCAGTTTGAAAATCTGCTTTGGGCTACAAGCTGCAGCACTCTGTTTTATTTGTGTGACTTGCCACAGAGCTGGCAAATGACTATTTATGTATGCGAGTAAATTAAAGAGCATTTTCTGACACACCTCATCATTTTATCCCGGTGTGTCAGATAATCCAAGGAGGAATCAGTGAAGACTCAAATTACAACAATGCCTTGCAGCTAAATGACATGTTGCCTTCCGTTACCTCAGAAGATACAAACAAGCTGGAGAGTAGATGTTGGGGCATGTCATTTGGCTGCAGTAATGTGGCATTCTGTGAAATGTAGGCTATAACTGAAACCTGTTTTCATTCCTTTTAAGGACAACAAAGATACTATTGTGTTCATGACACAGACACATATTGACTCACTGTGAAAGCTTGACCTACAGTTTATCTGTGTTTATCTTCTATCCGCCTTCCTATCTCGGATAACACGTTACATCCATAGCAAAGAATGTGAAGTCACAGTTAAGCAAGAGTTTCAGTATTCAGAAATCTGTCCTCATCGTCCCCTCTGTGTCTCTTCAGATGTCGAGGCTTTGGAGACGAGATGTGCCGCTCTCGGAGAGGCTCGGTGAGGACTCTCCCCTGGTGGCAGCACCCAGTCTCCCCTTAACAGCAGTCCCGGCGGGTCCAAACATTTCATGGCTCCCTGAAGCCCCTCTGCTGACACCAGACCAGCCCATCTTTCTCATGACCCCGGCGGCTCAGGCTGTGTCTGGCTTCTTCGTCTGGACTGCACTCCTCCTCACCTGTCACCAGGTAACTGCCTCCAAACAGTCTATGAGGAGAGTAAATAAGTCTTGGTATGATTTTTATTTTCACACCTGGAGATACAGATTTAGAGATTTGACTAAGCTCTGCTGAAGTCCTTTATCACAAAAAAAGTGAAGTGTATAATGCAGGAAGGTGTGCATGTTTGTCTAATGCTCAGGTGACCTGATCTTGCAAACACACATCTGCTCAGGCCCAGAGAAGGGCAGGGGTTGCTTGGCAACATCCCCAGGCAGGTGTTTGTGATACTGAGCATGAATACACACAAAAACAGAAGCACATAGCACACAGAGGTGAAACTTGATCCAGGTGGATGAAGCGGCTGTATGAAGTCTGACTGTAATACAAAAGGAACGACAAAAGGCTGAATGGATTTAGAGGTGTTTTTTTTCTTTTTGGCCTTTTTTGACTTTATTAGAAAGGCAAAAGGCCGAGATCAGATTCGAACCCACGGCTGCTGCAACAAGGACTACAGCCTCTGCACATGGGATGCTCGACATGTCCGCTAGGTTATTGCCGCCCCAAGAGTTTTTACCTTTAAAAAACTCTCTCACACATTCTTGTCAAATCACGTCAGGTTGTGTATTGATTGTAGAGGCCAATGACATTTACACACTGACAAGGCAGCACATAGATATTGATGATACACAGTGTAAGGGGCGGCTGTCGGTGCCGAGGTAGAGTCGGTCATCTCTTAAACAGAAGGTCAGGTCGAAACAGTTTGATCCCCAGCTCCTGCAGTCACATGTTAAAGTATCCTTGGACAAGAAAATAGAACCCCAATTGCTCCTGCTGCTGTGTCAGTGGCGTGTGAAGGTGTATGAATGGACACTTTATAAAGCAGCCTCTGCCATCAGCATGTGAATGTGGTGTTAATGGGTTAACGTGACATGCGGTACTAGCTCAAATTTTTCCATTTACCATTTAAGGAATTTAACATATCATTATTTCAGTTTCCAACTCTCTTTATCCTTTTTAAAGTCTCTCCTGTCGATCTTCCTACACAAATGTTGAAGCCCTTTTATTCGGGATTAAAAGTCTACATCAGAAAAGCCGCTTTTCATACTTATGCCACAAAGCTTTGGAATCTATTTTTGTATGAATCAAGATTGTTTCATATACTTTAATTATTCCATCATAGTGCTGATGTTTGAACTTACATTTCCATATTGTAAAGTTTAAATCTAAAAAGTTTAATCTGCTGGAAGAAGTCTCATTTTAAATATTTAATGTGTCCCTGGTGTCTGTCCCAGATCTACATGCACCTGCGTTTCTACAGCTCACCCAGGGAGCAGCGCCACATCGTCAGGATTCTCTTCATTGTTCCGATCTACGCCTTTGACTCTTGGCTCAGCCTCCTCTTCTTCACCAACGACCAGTACTACGTGTACTTTGACACGGTCAGGGACTGCTACGAGGGTAAGGATGGTGCTTTTGTCTTTATTCCGCAGAGCTTTGTCCATTATTTACCTTACTCAATGATAACAATTATACTTAATATTTGTCAAGCACTTTTTAGATGATTTAAAAAAATGTTTTACATATAATAAAAACCAATAGCTGCAAAAATAAAAACCAGCAGAGGAAGAGCTTTCTCTTAAAAACTAATGTTTTAAAAACATTTTTTTAAATATCATAAGTGAGTTGTGCCGGACCGATTCATTGCATTATAGCATTTGAGGGATCAACGTAATAAATGTGTTTCTATATCTATCTCTTCAGATTGAAGATATTAGTCAATATGTGGGTATCTGATTTGTTCCCTTCCTAATGTCAATATCTATATCGGCCCCAAAATCCCATACCAGTCTAAAGTCCTGATAAGTAATTTTATGTTAGTTAGATGTGAAGAAAAAGCACTGATATTGAAGTATTGATGGGCCTATTTCCAAGTCATCTTGGAAAACAAAACATTTACACCTTTGATAGATTGAGGTTTGTGGTTGGAATCCTTTCAGTCTGATTTAGGGCAACTTTTCCAGTTGATTTGTTGAAACACGGAGATGAACAGTCTGTCTTTCTATCATCAGATCAGATTATTCTACTAACACAATAAGTTTTTATTCTGCAAAGTTCTCTCTCCTGCTAATTAGATTCCTGCCTTTCTCTGATCCTGTATCTAGCTGTGTACTTCTTTAAACAGTGTTCTTATGTAATGGACAGGAGGAGTGGTACTTCCTGCCCATTTTGACATTTTATTGACAAATCTCTTCAGGAATGTGGTTTGTATAGGATGTTGATTTGATTGACTCTAGCAGGAACGACTGTGGAACAGTTGAACGCTGCGTCTTTAGAGGAGGGATTTCATGGACGTTACTTGTTGTCAGATCAGAAACGTTTGGCTGAGCTGGCAGCTTTACTGAGTGAATGGATGACGCAAACAAAACAAGTCTCTGATTTTTTTCCATTCTTGAAATAGCAGAAATTTGGGAATCCGATTCTGTGGAGGCTAGAAATAGTCTGCTTAGTGGTGTCACTTCCTGTGTTGCTGTATTGATGATGTCACATAAAATGAGATTAACTTTTATTGATCCCCGCAAGGGGAAATTTCAGTTTTTAAATGTGGATGTAAATGTAAATGTGGATAGAAGCGTTCTATGTTTGGTTCTGCTTTTGGCAAGAAATGTCGTCAGTCTGGTGTTTGTCATATTGCTTCCTCTGACAGAAGGCTCTCCTCCTCCGTTTACTTCTACTCATCCCTTGGCTTGATCTTCCCTTACTTGACTAACGTGTGTACTTCTTCCCCATGATCAAACAAATCTTCTTCACTACTCTTCAAACCTCTCCTTCCCTTCTTTTTGTCTTCTTCTCACTTCCTGTACCCACACTGCTGCTGTGAGCTGTGCTCTGATCTTTCCCTCGACGAGGTTGACCGACCTGTTGCATAGCAACTGCGCTCACAAATCTTCCTCATCCCAGAATGGCTGCGTCGGATAATGAGTTTCCCTCAACCGGACTTGCTGCAAACTTACTTTTCTCATTGTATACAGGGCTAATGTATCACCGTGGCAACAAGCAATGCTGACAGGGATCCTTGGGGAGAGGGGAAAGGGCGTAATGGTAAACAGCTGAGATGAGAGAGAGCTGCTCACAGCAGATGAAGCAGTTCTTTTCTGCTCACTCAGTCAGACAGATAAATGGTGTACATGACATATTATTACCCAAGTATAGTCTGACAGGCGTTTTGACGTATGGCGGGAGACCGCGGAAGGCAGTGACGAAGCTGCGCGAAGCTCTTTTGCGTATTTGGGAGGAGTTGAAGTTGAGTCAAAGGAGAATTTATTATCTCAGCAGCAGACAGCTGATGTAACCAGAATCTTTTCCAGCAGTGCAGCTGCTTTCAGATCAGTGTTGTGACACACACACACACACACACACACACACACACACACACACACACACACACACACACACACACACACACACACACACATACACCCTCTTGAACCCTACACGATATGGCACACACACAAGATATGCCCGACTTTCACAGTTAACTGATATACACCCATCGGGCTCACCCTAATTTACCTCACATGCACAGTCACACCAATACGCCCCCCCCATGAGAGTGCATGCTAACAGGCTAACAGGATTAGCCCGGCTGTGTTTTTGATGAGCCTCTTGGTCGTCATCGCGCTCTCAGTGAAGCAGCACAGAGCAGAGATAATCCACTGGTCACAAGAGACACTCTGGTGAATATAATCACATAGGGAGGTGTGTGAGTGGTTGTTGGTGTGTGTGTGAGGAGCATTTGATCTCTTAGCCTCGTGAGGAGCAGCTTGACAGTCTTGCCGACAAAGTTAGGAGGAATCTGCGGCCTGAGCTCACACGTGTTTATTGTAAAGGGAAGGTTTATGGTCACTGGTCAGGCTTAAGCTTGAGTAAGCCAGGTCCTCAGAACGATATAAAGACAAGTGTGTGTGTGTGTGTCTGCCTTTATGTTTGATTGTCATTTTACTCGCTTTGCTGCTCTTTATGATCTTTTTCTACCATATTTGAATGATCAACATTCTAACTTTTTACACTTAAAAGTACATGTAGCTAACGTATAAGTTCATACTTAAAACTTAAACTCTGAGGAGGAATATTCAAAGAATACTCTGTGGTATTTCATCAGGTTGTGTGTGTGCAGCTTAGCCATGTACAGTGGTGTAACAACAACAGGTGGGCTGTGAGCATATGCACTCTCTGAGCACAAGCAGGCCTCTTCCCCTTGAATAAAGTCCGCACCTTCTAAATCTCAGCATATTTCAGACCTCTTCAGTGTCTCTTTGAGCCTTTTAATGGGAGGACTTTGAACATTATTCCTCTCTGTAATAGAGCTAGAGCCGGGCAGCCAGCACTGCAGTTTACAGACTCAGAGACCACATATTGATTGCCTCAGTTAAAAGAATATACGGGATGACTTTGTGGTGCTCTGTGCGCAGACACCACGCTGAACTGCTGACACCGGACACACAGAGCCAAAGTCAATACAGTTGATGTTGAACGGTTCACAGCTGGAGGGTTGAAGTTTGCGAGTGCAATTCTGACGGACACTATGGGGGCTAGAGCTGTGGTAATCTGATGCATGATGGGATGCAGTTTTGTCATTGGAAGACCCTGGTCCTGTTTTTCCAGTATTTACTTTCTACTTAGCTCCTTGTTGATGTCCACCTACTCCTGGAATAAAAATGTCTCCCTAAAATGCATCACTATATTCACCGGCAGGTCTGGCAGAGCTGACTTGACATTGTGTAGACTCCATGTGTTCTGTTTACGAAATTCCTCCTCAGACAAGTTCTATAAACTTTTCCAACTAAAGCCATCAGGGTCCTCTGAGTCGTCTTTCTCACCTGGTTTGTTTCATGAAAGTCCTCTAATGCTAGCTGAGTTTGCTGCAGGTGAGCAGGGTTTCTCTCCCCCCCCCCCCCCCCTCTGAAAACTGCTGAGAAGAAGATCTTTTCTGACACTCGTCATCCTGAGAAAATACATTTCAAATGTTTTAACGGTGAATCATTTGGTGGAGTGTAAACTGAGTCAGGACTTTGGGATCTTGCCTGGACTCAAACCTGCTGACGTGTGTGCTAATGTGTGAAATGTTTCAGACATGTAACTTGTTCTGACTTCTTATTGATTTTCTCAAATATTTTACATCAAATATTTTACATCTGTATTAAGTTACATCTGGTTTTCAATCACAGTCACCACTGTTTTTTTTTTTTTAGAACCTAACACATTCAGTACTTCAGCAACATGCGTTCTTGCAGAAGTCAGAACGCGTGTGACAGGAAATCATGTGAGAGTGCTTGAGGGTCTGTGGGTGTCTGAATGATTCACTCTGCTGTGCTTAACAGTTAGCAGTATCTTAGCAGTTTAGGTTTTTTTTAGTTGTCATGTAAAATGGCCTGATGCAGCTTTAAAAGATTACTTCTCCATCTATTTTCCTTAATGTATTGTTTCACAATAAAACCCCCTGAGGATTGACAACAATAATATCAGTCCTGTGCTTAGACTCCAGTCTATTCATCAGACAATGGAGAGAGACAGTTTGGCATGTAGTCAGTAGGAAAGCAGAGCTGCCACACCTTCAATTAATGATTGCTTAATTCCATTTAGCTGCATCGATGTCAGGGTCCTCGTATATTTGCACGCTGGCCTCTTTCATGACTGACTGGCACACTCAAATAGAAAACACTGTCATTTATTATTTAAAGAAGAAGCATGCTGTTTTGGATCAATGTGAGTGTTTTTGTAAAGACAAGTGGAAAATGAAACCTTAACAAGGGATACTTATTTAAACTTAATGTATGATATTTTTTCAAGCAGGCATATTTGCCTTTTCATTTCCTATAATGTGGTTACTGTTAAATTGTCATCTGGTGACTTGTGCAAGGTTACCCTGGTCACAGAGGAAGAGTAAACTGTCTTGATGAAAATAATAACCGCAAACTTTCCTTTTTTTGTCTCTTCCCAGCATTTGTGATTTATAACTTCCTGAGTCTTTGCTATGAATACCTCGGAGGAGAGAGCGCCATCATGGCTGAGATCAGAGGAAAACCCATCGAGTAAGTGTCAGAGGATGAGACACTCACTAAAGACAATTACACTTATTGTGCTTATTTTCTTTCACTGCTGCTGCTGTAAATATCAGAGACATAAATGTTTTATTTTGTGCCCCTCAGGTCAAGCTGTATGTACGGCACCTGCTGTCTGAGGGGGAAAGGCGTACTCCATTGGCTTCTTGCGGTTCTGTAAACAAGCCACACTGCAGTTCTGTGTGGTCAAACCACTCATGGCTATCATCACTGTGATCCTGCAGGCCTACGGCAAATACAAGGACGGAGACTTCAAGTGAGTTCTCCGTACAGGGAGGGAGGCTGGAGGGTTATCAAAAGTACTGTAGCTTCTTACTGGTCATAAGTTAGAAGTACAAGTTTTACAAATATATAATAATCAGCACAGAAAACATGTTTAATGATGCCAACACAGAGATACCAGGAGCTTATCATGGCGTCCTCTGTTTATCATTTCAACTCGGGACGTTCTGTGATTAGAGATCAGCCGTCAGCTAACCGACAACAGTAGCAGAACAAGACATCCTGTAAATCAGCATCACTGAAATAGTTTTCTCTGACTTCTTCACTCACTCCACAGCGTTGCCGGCGGTTACCTGTACGTCACCATCGTCTACAACATCTCCGTCAGCTTGTCTCTCTACGCGCTCTTCCTCTTTTACTTCTCCACCAGGGAGCTACTCCGCCCTTTCAGCCCCATGCTCAAGTTCTTGATGGTCAAATCAGTCATCTTCCTCTCTTTCTGGCAGGGTAAGACCTTTCACTGCACCACAGACATAACTATTCAGAAATGCATCAGACGATTGTTTTTAGCTTCATTAAACGTTTTCTTTCTTTTTTTTCATCAGGCATGTTGCTCGCCATCCTGGAGAAGTGCGGGGCCATCCCTCAGATTAACTCCGTGGAGGTGTCTGTTGGCGAGGGTACGGTCGCTGCTGGTTACCAGAACTTCATCATTTGCATCGAGATGTTTTTTGCTGCGTTGGCTCTGCGCCACGCTTTCACATACAGAGTCTACATGGATAAGAGTATGGATTTACAAGGTAAGGGAAGAGAAAAACATTTACCATTAATGTTTTACTCTATTTGTACTAAAACAATGAAGGCTCTATAGACGTAGAAACCTTCATTTCTTCATTTTAATTCCATCCTTTCTCGTCAAATGTCTCCTTCTTTTCCTCACTTTCAAAATGTTTCTTCTTTATAGTCCCCCTCACTTATTTTTGTCTTTTACATCATGTTTACCTCTTATCCTCTCATTACTGCTACTCTTTTTAAAATGACTTCTGGGTATTCTCCTCCTGTCCTCTTTCTGCACATCCATCTGTTTCCCTCTCTCTTTCTTGTCTGCTGCGTGATAAAGGACCTGTCCTTACATATGGAGAGTTTGGTAGGTTAATCACTGACAATGTTCACGCCATACTCTTCACATGCTGCTACTAGTTTGTTTTTGTTCTCTTTTAAACTCTTGTTTTTGAATGTGATGTGGTTCCTCTCTATGCAGCTGTTATTTTAAAATCAGTCCTCTTCTCACTCCTGATCATAAATCTCTTCCATCCTTTTATTTTCCTTGTCTGACCAGGCTTCCTGTCTTCTATCGATGTGAATCCTTTTTCTCTTTTTGTTCCCTCTCTCTAACTCACATCTGCTGTCCTCAATTCTTTTTCATATGTCCCCTCCTTTTGTCTCCCTCTTAAACCCCCCTCTGAAACTCTGATGTATGTTCTTCTCCTCTCATTCCTCTTCCCACTCTCCTCGGACTCTATTCTTCTCATCCCTCCTCTCACCTCTATTTTCTCTTTCACTCATTCCATTGCTTACTCCTCGATCTTTCCTCTTCTAATTTGCCATAAATCCTCCTTTCCTTAATGTTTCCCCCTCTTCATTTCTTCATTCACCCCCTTCCCTTCTTCTCTTTTCTTCTCTCCCCTCTAAATTATATTGCTCGCCTCCCTTCACCTTTTATTCCCTCTCCCTAACCTCCTCCTCTACCCGTTTACAATTCCTTCAAACCCCATTAACTCCTTTTTATCGGCCCTCTCTCTCTTCTTCTCTATCTGCAGGACGCTGCGCCCCATGAAGAGCATATCCAGCAGCCTGAAAGAAACCATGAGCCCTGGCGACATGGTCCAGGACGCCATCCACAACTTCTCTCCAGCCTACCAGCAGTACACCCAGCAGTCCACGCTGGAGCAGGGAGCGCCGCCGCCCGTCTCCCGCACGCACGGCACTGTCGGAAGCCACGGCGACTCGGAGAAGACTTTCCTACTAAGCTCTGATGACGAATTCTAGAGCAACAACTAATAAGACTGTTGTAGCGCCAGATGGTACTTCATCCTCCTGTGCAGCCAGTCCTCTTCAGTGATTGGAGAGTTTGTTTTTTCTTTTCTTTGAGACTGAGGATGTGGACCTTCCTGCAGAGACATTTCTGCACCCATACTCCTGAAGCATCTTAGTCGGTGCTCACTCTTCAGGGTGGTTTTTATGTTGTTTTTATGCCAGAAGATAAAGTGTTGTGTCCGTTTTTGGCACGAGTGTGTGTGAGTGAGCCGCACTCAGGCAGACTGAATCATACTCGACTTTTGGCCTGGAAAGATGCTTAATTTCACATTTCAGTTCCATCTCATTTCTTTTGCTCTAATGTGTCTTTCTCAGTGGCAATATGTTGTCCTCATGGACGTTTGAAGTTAGTTTGAAATGTAAAGGCTCTTTGGTTACCAGATGTTTCCTGGTTGTGTTTAACAAAAATGTTCCTGGTCATGAAAACACTTCAAAAAGTAACACTTGAATTTTCCTAAGATCCTTAAAGTTTGATTTAATTGTTGCACTTTGTATAGAGATTTTAAACCAAGATATGAATTTACAATATCCATGAATGTGCTGAAAACAGAAGACGTCGTTACTTCAGTAGGAGGCATTGCAGGAAAACAGATAGTAGTGAAATATAAAGTTATAAAACAGATGTTTATCTGATGTAAAAGGACATCCTCACTGCAGGCTGGGGATGGATTTAAAGGAATCTCATTTTAAAAAAAACATGGGTGAATGTCATCCCCGTGGATCAATGTTATTGATATTAATGGAGCAGACGAGAAGCAAATAGAGCCGATTATAGATCATAAAGCACATGTGCTGCAGCAGACTGGGCTGAGTCTGTTGGGATTAATCTGGAGTAATTGGGGCATTATTTCAATGGCTGGGTTTAAAGCTCGAGCTGGCCTGCTCTGGTGGTAGACTTCTGCAGACCATGATGTAGCTTAACTGGATTGAGGGAAAACAGAAGACAAATATAGGTTAAGCTAACTTTAGCTGCCTTTTCTCAGTAGAGGAGAGTTAAACCTTTCCAATGTTAGAATACCCGCATGATCCAAAAGTCAGACTGAGATTTACATTGTATGTGTGTTTAAGTAAACCTAATGTTCATAATGAATACATAAGGACGATAAAGTCCATTAAAACATGCTGAGGTTCTGCATTTGACCAGACACACCCCCCGGTTATGTTTTCTTTTTTTTCAGGTTCCAGTGGGGCTCTAGTAAATGTTTCACATTGAAGGACCTAAATCTAAACTCTAAATATGCTCTTTACATATTAACCCGTTCTGCTTTGAGCTATGGTATAAAGCTAAATATCATTCACAAACTTTATGTTAGCAGAATAATATGGGACATCATACTCTGCGTGGTGTAAAGAGAAGTTAAATCTCCTCTCAGCTAAAAATAACCTGTGCAGTGTGAACGTGCAGCTCTGTCCCTCCTGGAAGTCTTTTTCTCTGGAATCATCGTCACCGCAGACAGAGCAGCTTTTTTCTTTTCTTTTTTCATACACATAATTGAAGTTCTTGAGTCATCTGAATGAGTCATAGTGAGACTGCCAACGTGTTTACTGTAACTACTTTCACTGCTCTGCTGTAGCTCTGTGTAAACACGAGGGGGCGCAAGCAGGCAGACTGCTCAAAGCACACTGTCAGCCTGCTGCACATGTGACATGCTTGTCCAAGCAGCAGTCTGCCACTTTGTTGTCTTCTTATTGCTCGGCGTGTTTTGAACTGGTAAATACAAGCCTAGCCTCAGACAGCTCTCTTTGTCTTTTTTGATTTTCTGCTTCAGCCTGACAAAATATTATTTATAAACAGGAAGGGAGCCACGTCTGTGTGTGAAACAGAGGATTATTTTTAGACACTACTGAGTGTTGTCTGGGTAATTGAGTTTCTACATTTTGACATGGTTACAAACAGGATTATTTTGATCCTGACTGAGCTTCATCCAGCAGCACATGACCCTGTATCTTATTAGAATAAAATCACTCGTTGCACTGTACCAACACATGTTCATCTTTAGCCATGAATGGACCACCTGTGTTTGAATAACAGCATCCTAGGTATTAAATCTAAGCAGCTACTAACTTTCAAAAAAATATAACTGTAAATTTCAGGCTGGAAATGAAGATGATACACAAACTGATGCAGGACAGCAAACACAGGTCCCCTTGTCTGATATTGTAATAATAGCAAATGACCGCACTTTGAAATCCATCACACACTTTCCAAGCCTACGACACTCTTCATCCTCTCTGCTGTATCAGGTGACAGGAGAATAAAGTTGGGGAGATACTGTAGGTTAAAGTTAAATCAGCTGTAAGTGCTGCCTACAGAAGGAGTAGTTGTGATATAGTCACATGTGCATATACGTATATTGAATATAGTGTAGGTGGAGCTGAGGAGAAAAAAAAACAACTTAGTTTTCTATTTTCATTCATAATTTTTGTATTACAATTCCCTCTCTTTTGTTTTTTTAGTACTTTGTATAATTTAAAGCTGCATAATGCTATTCTGTGTCAAATGGATCTGAAAAAATAAAGATATTTAGACTGACGTGTTTATTTGTTTCTTATTTATAAGAAAGCCATTTCAGGGGCGCAAATGGCTTAGCGGTAAGGTGGGTGGCACCCCGTGTATGTAGTCTATAGTCCTCCAAACGGGCGGCCCGGGTTCTAGTCTGACCTGCAGCCCCTTTTCCGCATCTCATTCCTCTCTCTCTCTCTCTCTCTCTCTCTCTCCTGATTTCCTGCTCTGTCCACTGTCTGGTCAAGTAGAGGCAAAAAAGAAAGCCCCAAAATAAATCTCAATTTAAAAAAGAAAGCCATCGCAGAAAACATTATACAGTATTATTTTATTACCTGCTAGACGTCCCTTCTTAAAATATTTTTAACCCTAATGTGAGCATTTCATTCTTATTGTACAGATTATAACTTTGACTTCACTGAAAGGTGAATACTATGAAATTAAGGTTCCAAGTGTCTGACATAAGGGTTATTATGGGACGAGAATTGGCTCCAAACACGGTGTCTACTAAACACTGCTTGTATGTCTTAAAGCTGCAGTGAGGACCTTTGGTTTCAGTTTGTGTTGTTTTTTTTCACCCTTGTGGACAAAGCATTTCCTAATATCTCTTTGTTGTCCAGTCTTGGTTGTGCTTATGTGCTATACTTGTTTATTGTAAGGTGCACAGAGCTGTGTGTTTTCTCTGCACTTTAGCCCAAGGTAAATTTCCTCCTGGGGACATTAACGTATGATTAATCTAAAAAATAAAATAAAATAAAAAACTCCTTCTGCTTTCTTTGAATAGTGTAATGTGTCTCTCACTTTGAAGCGTTGCTGTTGAAAATGTAAGAAGTTGTTTCTGCAGCTTGTTGTGCATCACTCTATAGACATAGACATTGTCATTCACAATGCTGAGAGTGTTGTTTTGTCATAATGAGGCATCAATATTCAAGTATTTTTCATAAACACTGACCAACTACTCACAGGAGCTTTAATATCAGATTAAAGGAAAGCTCAAATAAATGATTCCCCCAACAGCAGATGAATATTCAAAGTGTCAAACACTACACTCATATTTAGAGCCTAGGAGGACTTCAAACATCTTCAGCACTTTAGACATTTTCAAGGTAAATTACATCCATCAGGTGCCATGTCGAGCATTTTTTAGATTATCTTTTAGAGAAAAGAAGGTAAGAGTCAGAAATCAGGCAGAGAGAGAGAGAGAGAGAGAGAGAGAGAGAGAGAGAGAGAGAGAGAGAGAGAGAGAGAGAGAGAGAGAGAGAGAGAGAGAGAGAGAGAGAGAGAGAGGGAGGGAGGGAGGGATGACATACAGAGGGAGCCACAGGTTGGATGCCTGGAGGACTATGGCTTCTGTACATGGGGTATGCACACTAACCACTAGACCACTGGCCAAAGTGTAACATTTTAAACATCAAATTTGATGTAAAGATGTCGACAGTGATTGACCAATGTGTTAAACCTCAAAACTTTAGTAAACATTTCTCAACCCTGTTGCTTACGTGACAATTATCTTATCACCATCTCTCGATGTGAAAGTTTAAAGCTTTAATTTGTCCTGTCAGAATGTAGATCAAACTAATGTTAAACCTCTGTAAAAGTTTCCATGCATTAAATATGTGCTTCATCCAAAGTGTAACAAGAAACACCAGCACATGGCTGAAATGCCCAACGAGGGGAGATTTACCCTCGGCTCTTTGCTGCACGTCATCCCCCCACTCTCTATTTCCTGTCTCTCTCCAGCTGTGCTACCCAATGAGAGCAAAGGGACCAAAAATATAAGTAATATAATGAAATACCTAACTAGCTGATCTCAAGCAAACATCAGCTGGTTGAGTTGAATGTTTTTAACAGTTGTTAGTGAAGTGTGTCTGATAATGAAAATATATCTGACTCATATTAAAGTGTAAAAAAAAAAAAAGAAGCGAACATTTAAAAAACAAACATGTAATAAATAACATCTTACAGTCTTAAAAGTCTATTAAAAAAACAGAACAAAACTTGAACTTGACTTTTTATCTCCTCATCAGAGAGATCTTGTGCAACACATCCTGTAGATCTGCTTCCTTTATGTACCACGTGTGTGTGTGTGTGTGTGTGTGTCCTCCTGCCCAATGCACCACAAACACACCATATTATGTACAATATGTACAACATTTATTATAATTAATATATAAAATAGACAATGTACTTAAATTTTCACAATAGAAAAAATACAAGTAATAAATACAAAAAACATTTTTGTTTTGCGAGTATTACAAAACATCCAGCACAGTTTGACAGAAGTGAGACGTTAAAATATCGAGAATAAATGCTTTTGCCACACTGATACTCATATAGCTAAATATATGCCTCATATCTTTAGGAGTTTATTTGTCGACACGGTCTAATGAGTTACAATGCCTGCTTTAGAAATGATATTGCTAGCACTATTCAGTGGCCCGGACTCCATGACAACAGGCCTGTCAGATCACGTCTCCGCTGCTCCTTGGCTGGTGGTGGTTTTCAAGTGAATAAAGCACCACCTCTCTCTCTCTCTCTCTCTCCAAGTCTTCCTTTCCTACTTTCTTTCTCCATCATTCAACAACTCTTGAACCTTCTCCTCTCCTCTTCCTCTTCCCCATCTCAATCTTTCTTTCCACTTTTCCTTTAACACCCTCGTGATCCTACCCCACCCAGCCATTTCAGTAGTGACCTTGTTGTTTTTTTTTCAGACAAATAACATCATAACAAATCATCATAGAAAAATAAAATCCCTCCAAGAATCCACTATGACAAGCCAGGACAGACATAGCAAAAAACACACACACACACAAAAGTCATCATACAGCAATATGGCCATTGGCTTTGAGCATATTTCTACATCGCTAATAATAATAATAATTAACATTTTGTAAAGTAATCATCATCGCCACACAACACAATAATTAGACAGAGAATATCCCCAGACTAGTCATAAGTAAGTACTTCTGAAAACATATAGAACATCACAGCACTCATTAGCTTGTCTTCTCATAATATCTACCTTTAAATACAAATAAAATATAGAATATATCTCTGATAAATGTCACTCAACATCTTCGTCTCTCAACAGCACATAGAAACGGTACAAATAAAAGAACACACAACGGGAATGTATGCAGAGGATTTGCTTTGAAACCTCAAGCGTAATTCCTACCAGATGGGACTCTGCTTTTACACTTTCTTTTTTAGCAAAATGACCAACATCTGTTGTTGGAAGTCTAGCAGGTGTGAAAAAAGGGGGGAAGCCATAGCAGACTGTAGCAAAGTTACTGCACAGTAGTGAAATGAGAAATGAGGGAGCTCAGCAGAAAAAAAAAAAAAAAAAAAAAAGAGGAGAATCCGGTGATCCTAGACGGAGAAATGTGCGGTCGGCAAGGAGTGATTACAGTCTGTTTTTAACTTTTTTTTTTTTTCCTGCAAGGTTTTGCAATTTTGCTACTCCAAAATACACTGAAGGCACTGCATTGATGTGAGAAATGTGTGCACAAGCAGTACACGTCTGCTCTCCCTGAACATGGATGGAGGGAGGGAGAAGTGGCAACAGGTGAAACCCAAAAGAGAATACGATGAGAGGAAAGGAAAGCTCGTCGGTATTCACAAATGCAGTGCAGCTCAACCTTTTTTTCTGAATGATCATTTCTTCTTCCACAAGCTCTTAATCGATCATTTCCTTTTTGATTTCTACAACAGAGCTGTAAATATGTCACTCAAATCTCGCACGATCTTGCCAACACATCAAGTGAAACCAAAGTTGAGAAACTCTTCATTGAGGACTAAAATAAAAAAAGAGACTCTCACTCTTTGGGACACAGAAACAGAGACACATGAGCTGTGCTGGAAATAAGAAACAACCAGCAGCTACAACTGTACCAGGAATGCAGATACTGTACAGCTGGAGGAGGCTGCTCAAAACGTCCACTCCAACCCACTTGGTATTCTGCCGTTGGTCAGGTGACATGAGGTGAAGCCCCTCCCCTCCCCTCCCCCCGGCCTAAGTGATGCATGCTGGGAGACGGTAGCATAAGGAAGTGCAGTAGCTCTGGTGGAGCTGGTCTGGCTTCAGTCAGAGTTCAGGTTAGTCCATGTGTACATCTTGTGTGGAACTGGGCGATGAGTGTGAGGTTTCTGTGCATGAGTGTACGTATATATATGTGTGTGATGACTCGACTCGTTCACATTAAATATGCTGTATCTTTTGCAACATAATCCTACATTTTTTTTGATAGCTAAACACACTAAATTAAATTTCAGTCGACTAAGCTGCAGCGTGTTAAAGTGGAGGACACCTCCACTGGTCTGGATGCTTTTTAACGGTTTCTAGCCTTTGCTTTGGAAAACTCAGCTCTGTTGTTGTCTGTTAGGTGATGTCACACACACACACACCTCTGTCAACACAGGTCTGAATGAGTCCTGCACATGTTATTCTACAGAATTGGTGATAGAAGCATAAACTGGGGTTTAGTATTTTTCTACTAATATCGTCTTTCTGTTCTCAGCTTGTGTGTGTTTTATGTTTGCAGGTGTGTGTGTGTGTGTGTGTGTGTGTGTGTGTATATATGCGTGTGTTTGCATTGCAGGTTGTATGCTCCCCCCCCCCCAGTCTGGTTCCAGCAGCTCCTTCTAGGACGGCTCCTGTTCTCTCTGTTGCTGCTGCTGTGGTGGACTCTTCACGATGGTGATGACGGAGGCGGTGTTGAGGCGGGGGGCAGTGGCCAGTAGGTGGCCTCCACCGGCCTCTAATCCCCTGGCGAACCGCTGCAGTGCGGCGAGACGCGCGCCGAGCCCCTCCAGCTCTTTCCTCATGCCCGCGTTCTCCACCCCGAGCCGGTCCACCTCCCTCTGCAGCTCCGTTTTCTGCTGCTCCAGCGCCTCACGCTGGGAGACACGTTTGACCCGGCAGCTGGCCGCGTAGCCTCGGTTCTTTAAAGTACGGCGCCGCTGTTTTAGCTTTTGAATCTCATCACGGGAGAGGCCGCGCAGGTGGAGGTTCAACTCTCGTACTGTGAGGGACATGAGCTCGCTGTCCGACAGCATGGGCACATTCTCGCCACATTCCTGCTTCACCTGAAGAGAGGAGGTTATAGGGAGGAGGAAAAATAGACATTTGACCAATAATGCAAAATAAACATAGGGATGGGCAAAATTAATTTTAAACATTACGTCAATTGATAAAAATGTAAAGTGTTGATTTATGGCCGTGTGTTACCTTCAGGGCTTTGCTGCTTCTTTCTGTCGTCATGATCGAACTGTCAAAGATTTTTTTTCTTCCCCAGGCACCAGCCAACTCAGTTGCACACACTCTGGAAGATCGGAAACAGGACAAACACACACATTTTAAAACAAAGGTACATTATCACATGTGACCCAGGACATCATGCTGTTTTGGTCCAAGTTAAGCCTGACATTTACCATCCGCTCACAAGACAGCCAGTCATGCACGATAAAGAAAAGGAGAACCCTGTGCTCTTTCATGCTTCTCCAAAAACGCACTCTCTCATTAAACCCGGTGGTTACATATGAAAGAAAAAGGAGGTTTTGAAAGCAACATGCCTTTCTCTGTTAGCTGGAATTTTGAGGAGGAAGTTATCATGTGTCTGCCCTTTGGTTGCTCAAAGCAGGTGTCCTAACCAATCCCCTCAACACTTCCTCTTGTCAACACAACACCAACGGCTAAAACGTTTTATTGTGAAAGTGTCTGATGACAGGCAGCTCTTCGGATGAAATACATTTCTCACCTTTTCAGGTGACATTTGAAGCAGAAACAACCTTCATGTAGAAAACAGCTGAAACCTTTGAAAATCATTCGGTATGACTAAAACGCCAAGATTGTTTATGCAGACTTAAATTGCAGCTTCCAGTAACAAGATGTAATAACAGCAGTAAGAATGTTTATTTAAGTCTGTGCCGCCTTCACTGCTTTATTTGGAAGTTTGCTCCCATTCTTCTTGCTTAACAATTTCCAAACACTGCGTAGAGACTTCCTACACTCAAATGTTGTTTGGGGTTAAAGTCCAACATCCAATTGGACCAACTTGACCTGCTTTTTTCCCCTCTTAGTCACTTGGTTGTTTTTTGCCTTGCGTTGCACATCACTGTCACGTCTATGAAATGACTCGGCACTTTAACTGAAAGCAATCCTAGCTGTATTAATTCCACCTCCATTGTGACTCGATCACTTAAGATGCTGATAACGAGTAGCCACACCTGTGGACTGTGAAGCCAAAATATCTCAACCTTTCCCTGAGTCTGCCATGTTTTGCCCCGACATCATTAAAGCACTCGGGTGTTTTCCCACATTGCTTTCAGAAAGTGAACGTGCTCACTTTCACTTCACATCTTTACAGCAACGTAGCTTTCATTTAGTTTAAAAAAGAAAAATGTGACAAACAAGAATTCTACATATGCATGGAGTGACCAATAGGAGTCAACTAGAAACTTTACCCATGAGCTCACTGCATGCTCTGTTTTCTTTTTTTTTTAAATAGATGCAGACAAGATAAAGCTGCCTGTAAATTCCTTTTTAACACCTCCTCCTTTACATTTTCGCCGGGTGACACAGTGTATTCATGATCTTTGATCCAATTTATCTATCAACAACAAAATGTTGAAGATAAGGTCATGTTTTCAGGAAAACCCCTCATTGTCAGAACCAGACTCAAAATCTGTGTGTTCAGTCATTTGAGTTTAAGTTGGCATGTTTAGTTGTTTCCTGAGAGGTACAGACTTCAATACCATTTATGACCCTCAGTTGAGGTTATTACGCAAATTTAAAGAGGTATTTTCAATTTGACTTCCATAACTGTATATTCATTTAATTATGCTGGGGTCTTCTATTAAATAAAAATACAAGGTGTTTGAGTAAATGAAAGTAGTAATATTAGGCCTACTTGTCTTCAAAACAGAAGAATATGCTTAGACAGCAAAAGTAGGCCAGCAACACATGTGAAGAAGGTTTTGGTAAACAGAGGGTAAATAAAACAGCTGTTACAATAGTCTGTAGTTGCTTAGAATAAACTGCATTTCCCGACAGGCGTGGGAAGTGGAAGTTGCAGCAACAGTGTCGTCCAACCCGCCGGTGGACTGTAAACCGAGGAGACCGCCGTCGTTTCGTAAAGTCAGGGTGATTCAGCAATAAACCGTTTGCTCAGCTCCTCCGAGGCTACCAGGCGGTCCAAACCCAAGAAACCCAGCTGTAACCACGTCCTCCTTTATTATTACAAATACCACAGTATATCCACGTCGATACTTCACTATAAATATCACTTTAGAGGACATAGTAATTCCGAAAGGAGAACGCAACAAGTGAACGCAACACTTCCAAACGTTCATTTACACTAAAATCACCATTTAAATGTATTTATTTTTTTACACAAAATGACTAATTAGGAAATGTCGAATACATGCCACTCCTGGAAACTGTATTTACTCGTTTAGCTACATGAAGAAACCAGCCGTATCCTTATAGGGAGAGGAGCTGGCCAGCCTCGAGTAAAAGCTCTGCTGCTATAGTAAACAGCCATCACGAGTGAACCTCGACATCCATTTTAGTAAGGCTTTAAATAACCAATTTAAATAGTTACAAAACATACAGTCAAATAAGGAAGTGGGAAGCCCCTCTGACTGTCAAATGTTACATGTATATAAACGTGAATGTGAGGACCGGGGCTAAATAATCCGCATCATCTTAAACATGCTAGTAATGTTAGCACCTAGCTCCGCCGAGCTAAAGCAGATTAAACAGCTGCCTGCTCGGTTGGCCAGTCCCCGGCGGTAATGGCTCCTTTTGTGTTCGCCTGTTATTAAAGGAATTCAAGCTTAATACTAAAACCTTAATATTTAGAGAAAGATCATATTTTACCTGCTGTGTCGAAGCGACTCTGGCGACAAAATGTCAGTCCGCCTTTTCCCGGAATTACTCCGCTGCTTTCTGAGGTTGGATTCCTTCATTCATAAAAAACACAGGCGACAATGACGTCAGGCCTAAAGAATGAGGGCGGAGTCAACCCCGCCCCCGCGGCGTACTCCGAGAGGATGTAAACAAGGAATCCCTGAATCCCAGAACTTTTCCATGACCGGCCCCTTCGCTTTTTCCAGCAACAACAACTTCGCTGGAAAAGAGGAAAAAAAAAAAGTGAGTGTGGCTCACGCTTACCCTTCACAGAACAAAATGAAGTTTATCAGCCACAAGAGGGCGACAAATGAATAATAATAATCACAATAATCATAATAATCATAACAATCAAACACTGCATCTTTGCAAACTCTAATACAAATACTGGAAGTTGTCAGAAAAATAAAATCGTTTGTAGTTTCCATACCGCCGTCATATGTTTAACTCAAAGGAAATACAATTCTAATACAAGGGTTGGCTAACTGTTTGGATTCACTCTTTTGTATATATTTTTTCTTAATCCACCTTTTCCAAGTACATTGCAAGTTGGCAAAAAGGGAAATCTGAAACTGCTTATAGTGAAAACAAGATACACAATTAAAGAAACGCTCTATTAAAATATATCCATGAGAGGCCAAATGTATTTCTTATTTATCTATACAAAATTAGGATAATACAAGTTTTTTAAACTAAACTGTATAAATAATGAGTGAATGTAATAATGTCAAGAAAGAGCAGAATAGAACCGATAATAATAAAGATAATAAAAAGTGGTATCCCTCCTTGCTTTGTCATTGTACATTATTACTGCTTTGGCAGAACATTACACACAGTAAAAGCCAAAATTGCGTCATACAGTTCATTACACTATTATGTTACATTTTCCATATTTACTGCACCCAGTCACTACCAGGGGGGGGGGGGGGGGGCAGTTTTGTGGTTTAATTTGTAACAAATGTTTCATGTCATGTACGTCTTTGTAACCTGCTACTGGATGCTTTGAATTTCCCTCTGCATCAATAAAGTATCTATCTATCTAACTCAGGGGTGGGCAACTGGCGGGGCCATATGCGGCCCCATCGACCCTCAACGGGGAGCTCAGGACAATTTTTAAATATCAATTAATTAGAAACATGAATGGCAAAATCTGCCATGAACTCATGAAAACCAGTAATATGTCCACAGTAATATTTAATCACTGGTATATGTTGAGTTAAATTTGAGACATAATTGATTGTAATTGTTTTTGTATACTTCTATTTGGCCCTCTGGCAGTGGGAATTAAATGAATAAGGCCCTTGCTGTGACCAAAGTTGCCCATCCCTGATCTGACTAGTCAGTAAATAACAAAACTGTAATTAAACAGCCACTACGGCAGGGGGCGCAGTTCACTTTCTGTCGCAGTACAAAGTGACCTCTGCCCTGCACTCGTAATCCGCCTCTTCCTCTTCCCTGACAAGCATCACGCTTTCCCACTGTGACCTCAGACTGTCGTTGAGCCAATGCATGCCTCCTAGCACAAGTTTTAATGAAACCTGAAGGGAGAGCATCATAAATAAATTGAACTAAGTATCGGCTTCAGTATTTAATTGGTGACTTGTTCAGCTGACCCGACCCGACGGAGACATGGCCGAAATCGAAGAGCTTTCCCCGGCGTCGGGCCCGGTGTCTACCCGGCCCCCCGAAGACGAGATTGACGACGATGAAGATGAAGATGTACGTTACCAGTCCTCGTTGAGTAACTTTGAAATAAGATGAGAAAAAATGAAATGCAACAAAAAGTCGCATTGCTGTTTCCAGCGAGGCAGCTTGACCAGCTAACCATGGCTAGCTGCATGCTAATCTATTAGCTAACCAGCCAGCTGACTGAAGTGACCAATATGTGATAAACTCTCTTTGTGACAAACAAAACCACATTTTGGGGTTTTTAAAGTACAGCTTTCTGTCTTTTCATTTTCACTTAATGTTGAATTTTAATGAGAGATTGGCAGTATGTATTTAAATCATGATATTGTTGTAACATTTCCTCAGGTATCTACTTCTTGATTGCTCACTTTCAGTATTTTCGTCATGTATGTTTTTTTTTTGTCTCTTAAAGCTGGATGAGACATTGATGGAGAGGTTGTGGGGCCTGACAGAGATGTTTCCTGACACTGTTCGTACAGCAGCCGAGATGTCTGCACACTGCTCAGTCTCACTGGCAAAGAAGTTTTACAGGTATGTGTTTTAGTTTCACATTACCATTGCACTAGCTAAACACCACTGTAGCTCAATAGACAAAGAGACTGACTTCTTGGAAGTGGGTTTGATCATCCTCGCAGCAAACATTGAATAAGTTTATTATTCTCAATGGCGATGCATTTTAATTTTAACTGCAACTAGAATACATTTGAAACATGGGTGTTCTTGGTCTATCTTGGATATTAATCTGTTTTTTTTTTTAAACTCTTACCAGTTTCTCCCGCTCTGCGCTCTGGGTGGGCACTACCTCCTTCATGATCCTGGTGCTGCCTGTCGTGTTTGAGACAGAAAGACTACAGCTGGAGCAGCAGCAGCTTCAACAGCAGAGACAGGTGGGTGTCCATCTGAGTGAGCATTAAGGCAAACTATTACGTTTTTACAGAAGTGGTTTGTTTGTATATGAGAACATGAACCAAAATCTTTTACAAGGGTAAGTAAGATGTATCGACATGAACTCAGGAGGAGGAGGCAGTATGAGTGGATTACTGTGCTGACCACAACACAAACAACCTGATTGATGGGCTCTTTTTTTGTTGTTGTAGATCCTGCTGGGGCCCAACACTGGAATGTCTGGTGGGATGCCGGGCATGATGCCTCCTGCGCCCGGCAAGATGTGAGAAACAACGAGGAGCCGTAAAGAACCTGAGATCCACTGCTCACGATGCCGCATGGCCGGCAACGAGGAGAGACAGAGAGACCTTGGAGAAGAGCAAAGAACTGCATTTAAATGTGAAAGAAGAAGAAGAAAAAAAAAGCTGTATGTCAACGGTGAAACATTTTGCTCACTCCAACGCATTGGATCGTCTAATGTGATCGGAGGAGGAGGAGAATGTGATGCGTTTGTAAGCCTTCTCCCTCGCTGTCTCTCCTTACTCTAACATCATGCAAAGACTTATTCCCAGGAGCACTGCTTCTGTTTTTTTTCTTTTCTTTCTTTTTTTTAAAAATATAAACTGATATCAACATGAATAATGTGTTCTTTTGGGGACAGCAGGTACAGGTGGATACATTGAAAGGAAAAATAAGGAAGTAACCCATTATTTGTCTGTTGTGGCAGTGTGAAAAAAAACACATGTATAGTATGTTGGAGGTTTTGTTTATCATGGTTGCTGGTTCCTCTTCTTTGTGATGCTAAGGACATCTCAAAGACTGATCTGGTGCACATGTAGACCTTGTTAATTAATACGAATGTCGTCTACAGGATGGCCTGGTGCAGTTCTACCACTGAAATGACAGCCCACGTGGTGTGTTCTGTGCCTCAGTCTTTACAATACCCCCAGTTCCTCATCTTTCTACATGTGTACAGTAAAGTAGAGTTGCAATGCCTCTCACTTCCCACCTGCAACAGTTACTAGTTTTATTATTTCTCTGTCGCTTTTAAACATGGATCACATAATGCAGCGACACAATCTGTTATTAAGCATCAGAAATAGAAGAACATTTACTTTGTCATAAAAGAGAGAAACCATGTCTGAAGTTACTTAACAAAACAACACTCTCTGTTGTCATACATGTGATAATTGAGAAATCCCCTTCGGTAAGCAAAAGCCATCTCTGTTTTGTCTCCAACACGACTGCAGTAATTAAAACTCCAAATCAAGTGTAAAGCCAAGTGTTTCCTTTTTTTTTAGCTGTGGTTTTGTCCTCAAATTTACTGACATGTAAATTTGACGTGCCTAAAACAACTTGCATCGCCTTGACATTTTCTTAAAAACATTTGGCTCAGTGGTCATCGCTCAAACAGAAGGACATGGGGGCTGGATGTGTCCTTGTGCAAGACACTTAACCCCAAGTTGCTTCGTCGTTGGGCGTCTAAATCTATATGTAAATGGTATTAGTTAATATGATGGAAACTTTATATAGCAGCTTCTACGATCAGTGTGTGAATGGGTAGGTATGGCCTGCAGTGTGAAAGTGCTTTCAGAAGTCAGAGGACTAAAAAGAAAGTGCTATACAGGCCATTTACCATTTACAACATTTTAACTTTTCATAGCACAAGTTTCATGTAGCACTGCCAAAATTATTGTTAGAGCTTTCTTCGACTTTTCCTGGAAGTCTGTACTGATGAAACTTAAGTGGGCACCTCAAATGATTATGAACCATACCCACACTTTCAAATATTACAACAAAATGTCTCCAGTGCTACATTCACTGCTCTTTCTTCAGCTCGTAGTCCTGGGTTCTAAGGGGAACATGTTTTAACTCTATAAATAACTTAATGGTGTTCATGTTTTCATTATCAAGTAGCATTGCCGCATTGACTCTTAAAGCCATGACTTTTAGCATGTAACAATGAATTCAAGGTCTGCCTATGTTAATACGGCCATGGTTTCGGCCTGTAAAATTCCGACTGTACTTGAAAGCAGCAACATTTCACGAATTCCCGCCAGTTGCCGCTCGCGAGCTGCTTCACGAACAGATAAACACTCAACCTGTAAAATAACTTTATAAGTCAGGATCTCAAGGTTTTGGTCATTTTCCGGTCGAAGTTCTTGGACAGGACTTATTTATATTTTTTATACCATCACTGTTACTCTTCAAGGTTGCTGAAAGGTCAGAGAAGAAGTGAAAAGGTTACTTTATAGTTTGTCAAATTGGCGCTATGAAGGCTAATGCTAGTTAATTTAACTTTACCATCACTGAGCAAATAAACTTCATTTTACCTTCAAAGATTTTCCATAAATACATTGAAAATGAAATCTTCTGAGGATCAGGTTGTTGAAGTAAATGGTTTCCAAGATGATGAGGTGAGTTACCATATCACTGTACTAAATTAAGTCTAAACTATACTACAAAACATAATTAGGACAAACACTGATAAGTGTGTCAGATTCATATTTAGAAATAATTCACATCATGATGTGATTTATTAGATTTGTTTATTCGGAACACATAAACTTTACAAGCAAATCCACTGTCAATATGAACATTTTGTGGTGTGTTTCAAACAGACACAAAAACATATAAATAAATAATAATAATAAAAATAATAATAATTCATGAATAACCAGAGAAAATCTAGATGTATATACTTAAATAGATTTAGCAAGTGTACTTCTAATATACCCCTATATCAATTAGGCAATTCTATATAGTTATAATAATAATACTATTAACAACAGCATCAATAATTGTAGTCACAACAATTACAATAATAGTACCTATGCAAAGTAACGATTGAGAAAGAAATAAGAGAAAGAACATGCAAATCCAGTGTCTATTCACTTGTAATATATCTAATTGTAACAATTGCTATTATTGTTTTAAGTAATAATTATAAAAAGAAAGAATTTAGAGAAAAACAAAAAACTGGAACAAATCCCCCCACCCGTTGCTGCTTCAGTGGTTTCTAAGGTTTAATGTAATAATCCGGTTATTCAACAAGCTCTTGTAGATTTTTTCCCCCGTTAAATCTTACAGGAATCCTTTTTCCAAGACATTGACCTCCTACAGAAACACGGAATTGTGAGTAAACAGCAGGACTGAAACAAATACAGAGTTTTCCATGGGATCAAACTGACCACCTCTCTCATCTATAATCACAGAATGTGGCGGACATCAAGAAGATGAAGTCTGTGGGTATCTGCACTGTGAAGGGTATCCAGATGACTACTCGCAAAGCCCTGTGCAACATCAAGGGCCTGTCTGAGGCAAAAGTGGAAAAAATCAAGGAAGCAGCTGGGAAAATGCTGGTACGATTACCTTTTCATCTCTGCACATCATGTCATCCTTCAACCTGATACTACTTCATTCTTGCAGCCTGAATCATCACTTGTGACATAAAATCCCTTTCAGTCCTTTGTCAGTGTTAGACATGTTTTCTTTACATTACAGAATGTTGGTTTCCAGACCGCCTTTGAGTACAGTGCGAGGAGGAAGCAGGTGTTTCACATCACAACTGGCAGCCAAGAGTTTGAGTTAAGATCTTTACCGCATATTCCAAGTGGAAGATATTCGTTCAAAAGTGTAACATCTTCAATTGATCAAATATGAAGATATATCTTAGATATTTTATGCATATGACTTTTCTTGCAAAGCAATTTAAACAATGATTGCATCCGTTTTCTGTTAATTTCATGCTTAAACATGAATATTTCCCTTTGCAGTAAACTTTTGGGGGGAGGTATGGAGAGTATGGCGATCACAGAGGCCTTTGGAGGTGAGATGTCCTACTTAAAATAATCTTTGTGATTACCTTCCTTATTAAATTTCACTCCGTTTGCAGGTCTGGCTAAAAGCCCCTAACATTATATTTCATCCTTCAGAGTTTCGCACAGGGAAAACACAGCTGTCTCACACTCTCTGTGGTGAGTAAAGAGCTTTTATAGCCCTTCTTACAGGATTGATAAAAAACAACCACAATTAAATTATATATATTAACTAAAACTGATTCTGTGTTTTTGTAGTCACTGCTCAGCTGCCGGGAGAGGACGGCTACTCAGGAGGGAAAATAATCTTCATCGACACAGAGCACACCTTGTATCCTCGCGGTGACGGCAACAGCCACAAAACCACTACAGTTTACACGTTACCCCATGAATGACAACCAACATGTGCAGATTAAACAACAAACTACATTCAAAAGAAACAGGTTAATGACTCAGACGGTATGCAAGACACTATCAACTGTTGTACCACTTTTCTTATGGTTGTGTTTCAAACTATCCTTGACTCGTTCCTGCCTCGTTCCAGCCGTCCAGACCGACTGAGAGACATTGCTGACCGGTTCAATGTTGACCACGATGCTGTGCTTGACAACGTGCTTTACGCCCGCGCCTACACCAGTATGAGGATTGGGGTCATTTAGATCAGAAAATAGAAATTGTGTGGTGTGCAAAGCTAAAGAAGTTATCCCCTGGAAAGGTTATAATATGTTGTTGTATAAAGTGTTGATCTGCTCGTCTTTCAGGCGAACACCAGATGGAGCTATTGGACTTTGTAGCAGCTAAATTCCATGAAGAAGGAGGAATGTTTAAGTTGTTGGTGAATAAAATGATAAACTTTACAAACATGTTTCAACATTCACATCCTTTATTTGTTGTCCTTATAACTCCTTTAAACTATTGGGGGACATGAAGAGTTACTTTCATTTTATTTCATTGGAATACAAAGTCTAAAAAAGTAGTTTTCCCAATTGTCTCTCTGCTTCTCCATGTTGTCAGATCATCGACTCCATCATGGCTCTTTTCCGAGTGGACTTTTCTGGCCGAGGAGAGCTCGCCGAGCGGCAGCAGAAACTGGCTCAGATGCTCTCCAGACTTCAGAAGATCTCCGAAGGTCTGATCCAGGAATGGGCTTTTGTGTATTCACCACAACCATCAGCCATTCATCTTGTCTGGCCAACACATGGTGGCCTCAAATGTAATGGCCCTGTGTTCTGGTTTTTCCTGTGTATCTTATTTGCTGTTGATTTATGTTTGTTTGTAGAGTACAATGTGGCCGTGTTTGTCACCAACCAAATGACAGCAGACCCCGGGGCAGGAATGACGTAAGAGATGGAAAATTCTGTAATTCTGAGAGTATTATGAATGATATCCTGTTACTTCTGCTGACGCGCTTTAACGGGATGTTTCTCTTATTTCTTCTTCCCTTTTTCAAGGTTTCAAGCTGATCCCAAGAAGCCGATTGGTGGCCATATTTTAGCCCACGCCTCCACCACTCGAATCAGCTTGAGGAAGGGACGTGGAGAGATGAGAATAGCCAAGATATTTGACAGGTAGTAGGCAGTTTTTTTTTATGTGGCCCATAAAATACATGTTAATATGTAAGATTATATCACATTTGTAAGAGTGAGATTTCCCCAATGGGATTTCTTAGAATTGAAAGTAAAAGCTCAATTTCCTGTAGCCATGTTGTAAGATTAGATAACAAGCTAAATTAACAGTGTTGTGATTTTCAGTTACAAAATAGATGAAGAGATAGACCGTAATAAGACGGTTCCCATCCATCCTGTCATGTTACAAGTTTCTCATCTCACAAAGCCACAGACAGGGTGTTTACTTCACTTTAACATTTATTTTTGTGAGGACAAAAGCAGTATGTACGGCTTCTTAAGAACAAAATGTATAAGGTAGGTGTGGTCGGTTGTATGGGTAGAACTGAAAGACTTAATAATAAAGTATTTGAATCCAACCCTGACTTTAAGGTAAACACTTATGTCATTGGAGACTCACATTTGTTACCGTTTGTCGTCTCTTCTTTCTGATGTCCTTTAGTCCCGACATGCCTGAGAACGAGGCCACTTTTTCCATCACCCCTGGAGGAGTTGCTGACGCCAAAGAGTAACCGAAAAAGGGAGAAAGACCCCTATGTAATCACTGTTCATGGTTCCGGGCTATTTAAAGTAATTTATAACAATTTAAAGGACTTATTTATTCGTTTTTTTTATAACTTATAACCTTTTAAGTTATCGTGTGATGGATTCTTGATGCATTTATTTATTTGTCCGTTATTTTTCCAGTGTTTCAGAAATTAAAAAATAAAAACACCCAAAAAAGACAGTAGTTGATCATCTTTTCTTATAGTTTATGTGTGTGTGTGTGTTTTTTAACCGTCTTTATTGACAAATTTAACATATAAAAAAACCTTAAAGAGGATGAACATACAACAGCAAAATACACAGGAACAAGTTAATTCAAACATGAATCAAGACTAGGGGGGATTATATATACAAATGAATAAATAAAAATCTAACTTTTCCAAAAGAAAACATCAGGCAAATGTAAGCAGACAACAAACTGGAGCAAGGACAAAAAAATTCAACAAGGGCCAGAAATCAAAACAAGAATTTCGATAAGTCAGCACTAATCTTTCTAACAATCCTAGATTTCATTTTTTTCAGAGACACGAAAAAATATTTGAAATCATTTATAAACCAGTCAAAGGAGGGTTTGCTGTTTTTCCACTTACGACAGTGAATATGTAATATGAGTAAAATAACATTTACCATGTCTGCAATTGAAGATAGTTTATATGTGTGGCACTGGGATTCCTAAAAACTACCCACGGGGTCAAAGGTAAAAGGTGTGAACGCCCTGTGTACACTCAGCGTTAGCTCAGTGCTGGCCTCTAGCGGTGTTCCCCGGTCCTGCAGCAGCTGAACGAACTCTCTTCGTCGGGTACGGGATCCATATGCTGGTGAAAGCAAGGCTTAACAAAGCAATGGGAACTTCATCAAACGTGCTGCTAAGAGTCTAAAACACATCAGCAACTAAAACTAGATCGCGGGACCACAAATATCAACCACCCTCCCCGGTTGTGGACAGCGTGTCAACTCTGAAAAAGGAGCGATGGACCCGACCGACACAGCCCCGGATTCGTGGGAGCTGGAGGAGGATGCCGAGGCCCCGGCCACCGCGGCGGGGCTTCAAAACGCCTTCGCCGCCCTTAACGTGAACGCCAAGCCGTTTGTCCCCAACGTTAACGCCCCGGTGTTTGTACCGAGCTTCCTCCAGGCAGACACCGACGAGATACCGGCCTCAGACGGTAAGCAAACCAGGCAGCTGGCTACAAGTTAGCTTCACTTAGCTAGCAGGCGTGCTAAATCAGCTAAGTTAGCCTTCCTGGCTCCAACTCGTCAGAGCCACAGTTATCTCATTTCACCACCTAATCAACAAGTCGGCTTAAGTTTAACAGTGTTCTTAAGGTGTAATAGATGATTAATAACGCAATCGCCGTCAGCTTTTCGCAAAACGTGACCTTCCTTCTCTAATAAATATTTATGAAAGTTTGACATGCGTTTTTCTCTCTCCTCTAAGGTGCCCCTGGTGCAGTAGCAAGCATGGAGGTGGCAGAAACAGCCGGTATGCATCCGCTGCTTTGTGGTCCGGGCACCGCATGTTCACATTATTAGATAACAAATCAGACATGCTGTGCTTAAGGTTTCCACATTTAACTCTAAAATCAAACCTTATTCACGCTAGGAAAGCTTCAACGCTGAGGTTTGAGCCTTGTAGTTTCACATTACTGGGCCTTTATTTGGATTGCTGGCATTGGTAAAAACCCATGTGCACAGGCCTACGTAAAATGTGATGCAACTTCACTTGTCCCTGACTGAAATAGACATCAGTGTGTGGCGTTCACTGCCGGGGATGTGTGTCAAGGCCTTCATCTGCTTTATTGACGTATTAGGTGACTTATGTCAAACTAGTAATATTACATTCCCTAATGGGATGTCAAACGCCTTTTAGTTACACAGATGCTGCTTTTGTTTGTGTTTTTTCTAACCAGTGGCTGTATCAAAGTGAGTGATCACATACATTGTATGTAAGAGAGAGACAATGACAGTCTTCTTTACCACATTTCCAACAGATGATTGTTTTTCACGCTTACCGGTACCTTATTTTCTGAAATAATTACAGCATGATGTGATTGTTGCCAAAGCAAAAGCACATATTGGCGGTCTTGGCCATGAGAAAACATCTCACAGGCTAAGTGCTGAGGGTTGAGGAGAAATTAGACTTTGCACATGACTGGCTGCATAATTCATAGTTCTCTTCATAGTTGCTTCCTCTGCAGGGTACACCAGAGTTCAGTCAGTGTAATCTTGTTTGTTTGAACGGAAGTTGCTGTATTGAATGTGTTTCTAACCAGGGAGCAGGGCTAATTAATTACAATTAATGATTAACTGCTGACTAAACACAGATTATCCGTGTGAGCTATTTAATTTTCCGCACTAGAGCTTCCTCCAAGGTTTGTATACAACATCCTGCACATGTAGATTTATGACACAGCTCTGATGGAAATCAAATACTTCACTCAGAATTGTTTCAGATTTACTTCACCATCAAGCACTTCAAATATCTACAGTTGTTCCGATACTGATGCGTCAGATATCGCCTAGTCCTCCAGTCGTTGCACAAATATGATGCTGTCATTTATTTGCATGAATAATATCGACCTCTCACACCCAGAGGTCAATTCTTCTGTAACTCTCAAAAACGGTTATATAAACAGAAATTCGTACTTTAACACCACCGTGGATGTGGCTGCTACTGTTAGTTTGTGGGTGCTGGTGAGCTAGCGGTTGTGTCACACGCTCCATATACAGAGACTGTATTCTTCGTCACAGCCGCTGTGGGTTCAAATCCGACCTTGTGCCCATTGATGTATGTCTTCCCCCCCCCCCACTCTCTCCTCCCAACGTGTCCTGTCTCTCTGCGGGAAAAAATGTCCCAAAGAATAACTTTAAAAATAAAATTGCGGTTTCACAGATTACAGAGGCTGTTTGTAGTATTGGTCTTGAGCTTTAAGATAATTTTTACTGCATTTAAATAGGAATGGTACGAGGTGTTAAACACAAGTTCAGGTATCTGAATCATAAATGATAAAACGGTTTCAGATCATCTCTTAAAAAAAACTATGTTCTCACACATTTAGAAGTTCGCTGTAGGGTTGAATACAAATGCTGAATTGAGCAACTGTTGTGACAGCTAACGAGCTGTTTTCCTGTTAAAAATAGATATATGGAAGTTGCAGTTTATTTCGTTGAAACCATAAAATGTGTAAATAGTGCCAAGCATCATTCGAGCAGTAAAGACCATACGACGGCAGAGTCATTGGAACATATAATCAACTTGTTTGTTGTTGCAGCTCCGGTGGAGAATGGAGGCACAGAGGCAGACATGACCACAGAGGAGGAGACGTGGGAGCAGAAGGAGGAGCCGGGGGGAGGCGGAGGAGGCGGAGGCGAGGAGGACCTGGAGTCGGGAGGAGCCTGTGAGGAGGGCGGCGCTGGAAAGAAAGAAGATGAGGAGATGATGGAGGAGGAAGAGGAGGAGATGCCGACCCCCAAAGTGGCTCCAGCCCCACCAGATGCCCCCAAGAAAGAGCATGTGAACGTGGTCTTCATCGGCCATGTCGGTGCGTTCCATTGATATTTGTATTGTGCACAATTTTACCCAAAGAAGATTTTTTGTGATTTATTTTGCTTTAATGCCTGTCTTTGTAGATGCTGGTAAATCAACTATTGGAGGGCAGATCATGTGAGTAACAACTCTTTAGTTTCCTGTAGTTACTGATCACTGCGCTCCAGCGCTGCACACTGAATTGAATCTTGTTTTTGCTTTCCTAGGTATCTAACTGGAATGGTGGAGAAGAGAACTCTGGAAAAGTACGAACGAGAAGCGAAAGAAAAGAACAGAGAGACATGGTGAGAGCAGCGTTGTCATTAAAAATGTGCTAATGTTATGATAACAACAGGCTTGTTTGTCATGCACGTACAGCTGTATTAAGAGCTCCCAGCACTCGTTTGTTAAACATGAGTTAATCATTACAATTGGTTGTTGCAGGTACCTGTCGTGGGCTCTGGATACAAACCAGGAGGAGAGGGACAAGGGGAAGACTGTGGAGGTCGGCAGAGCTTACTTTGAGACTGAGAAGAAACACTTCACCATCCTGGATGCTCCCGGCCACAAGAGCTTTGTCCCAAACATGATTGGAGGGGCGTCACAAGCCGACCTGGCCGTGCTGGTAAGATGGACAGGAACATCTGGACAGTCTCTATAACGTTAACTAGCCTTAAAGATAAATCCTGTACGGACAGCTCATACACTGTGCACTCTGTGTACATTGATCAGTAAGTCAAAAAGTACAAACAACACACCATGGAAACTTCTCAAACCCCCTCTGCATTACTTTAAACATCATCTTTTCTTATCAAAGACAAATTCAAAGTAGCTCCAGTTGTTTGTTTCTTAAAGGTGCCATTACTTCTGCCTAACTCGTTTTCTGTTCTCAGGTGATTTCAGCAAGAAAGGGCGAGTTTGAGACCGGCTTTGAGAAAGGTGGACAGACACGGGAGCACGCCATGCTGGCTAAAACTGCCGGGGTGAAGCATCTCATTGTCCTCGTCAACAAGATGGATGACCCCACTGTGAACTGGAGCCTAGAGAGGTGAACATGGGCTGAGTGGGAAATGGAGTTCACCACTAAACTAGTGAATTACAAAGATACTGTAAAGTCTTTTGTTGTATTCTTTATTCTCATTAGTTATTTTTAGTTCTTAATGCCCTTTGTTCCTTCACTTCCCGGCAGGTATGAGGAGTGTAAGGAGAAGCTGGTGCCGTTTCTTAAGAAGGTGGGCTTCAACCCCAAGAAGGACATCCACTTTATGCCTTGCTCTGGACTCACAGGTGCCAACCTCAAGGACCCAGTATCTTCTGAATGCCCCTGGTACACGTAAGTCTGCGCTTGGGATGGGATCAGAATGGGACCACAGTGTGACGTGTTCTCAGGTTGTCTAATCCACACACACACACACACACACACCAAGTTTTTCTTGCGTTAAAGTGGAAGATATTTTAATGTATTTTGGGGACTAAATTACACTCAGGAAGCTTGTTTATGAATGTGATCAAGTCTGATGATGCAGTCTCTAATGTAGCTGCTTGTGGGCGCACTCTACTTGAGCTTATCCCAACTTTTTTTAACCCGATAGTTATTTTTTTAAGAATCGATGTAAATATTAGACGCAGTAGGTTCAAAATTGGCAAGAAGTCTGTTAATGCTGCATCAATATCACCTTTCATTTCTTTGACATTTTTGCTGATTTTTTCCTCGAAGGGAATCCGAGTTATGTGTGAGCATTTTGTTGACATCGTTGGAACTAACACAGCATTGATTCATCACATTGTCTCTGTTGATATTTTCATTTTTTCTACTTTTTTAACACGTGGAACATGAAGCCTCTCATCAGGACTTGTTCTTTTTTAGTGTCCACATTAGAAAAGTTGTCCAAACAACACCAAACCTGTCATTACTTCTTACATTCAGCAAAGACATGGTAATGAAATGACCTTCTTTTCTGTTCTTCATCAGGGGTTTGCCATTTATTCCTCACCTGGACAGTTTGCCAAACTTCACCAGATCCAACGACGGACCAGTCAGACTACCTATTGTTGACAAGTACAAGGTGAGCAGGTGGAGGCCATTGATTCTGTTCGTAAAGAGCAACAAAACAGAAATCTGTGTCAGCTCGTCTACTCTGCTGCTCAGTCCTCAGCAGATGAGTGGACCTCGTGTGTCTCTGGGTTTGTTCCATTCACCAACAACAACAAAAAATTCCCTCTCCAGTTTGTCATTCTCTATCCTCTCTGGTGATTTTCCAAAAGCACAGCAGCATATTTACGCACACTGCAGCCTCTGCATAAACACAGCTCTTTAAAGTAATTCAGCTTCTTGGCACTCGCCTCAGTTCAGCTGTTGGAGGCGGTTCAAAACCGACTGCAAGTGTCGGTGGAATGGAGTTATTTTGAAGCTCTCATTTGTCTGTACAAGATTCTTTTTCTTTTCTCTTCATCCTCTTGTCTCTCAGTTGTTTCAATAGTCCTCTCGCTCCTTTTCCATAAGAACCTTAGGCCGTGGTTAAGTAGTCCTCTCTGGTGTTCTCCAGATGTAAGGGGAGTATGGTTCATTGAACTGAGTGCTGCATACTAATGACAGAGACAAGTGCAGTTACACACTGCAGTAATAACAATGAGTACAGAAAAAACTTCAATATTTATTATTCAGGCGCTCAATATCACGATGGGCTACTATGGTTATAAGTCTTTATTTACATACAGACAGCAGGTAGAATTTCCCAGTTTAGGATCAATAAAGTACATCTATCCATATAAACGTGTATTTTACAATGCATTGGTCATCCCTATCAAAAGCTATAGCTGCCTTTTTTTTAAAAATCTGAACAACCTTCTATTGATGAAAAGTAAAAATAGAACATGTTTTTTAAATATATCAGGAATTCAATTTCACCCTAACTACTGGTATGTGTTCAAGCTTTCTTAAAACACTGAATCATTGTAGTTTTATTTTCTTACATTTTGAATGGTACTGTTGTCATCTAAGTCAACATCATTTAGCTTTACAGTGGATGGAGGCAGACTTTGTTGAGAGAGAGAGGGAGAGAGGGAGGGGGAGAGAGAGAGAGACAATGGGGAATGACATGTGGGAAAGGAGCCACAGGTCAGCTTGGAGGACGAATGCCTCCATACATGGGGTAGGCGCACTAACCACTAGGCTACCAGCGCCCCCCCCCCCCCCCAATTCAGCTTTTTTTTTGTCTAGAGCCAGATATGGAAATCTATATCACTCTCACAGCTAGCTCCAGCAGCAGGTTACCTTTGCCAAAAACATAGAAAGAAGGAGGAAGAACAACCCTGGCCCTGTTATAAGATACTGAGCTATGTTTATTAATTAATGAGCTTTCAAGTGCTTTCCTTAAATTTAGAAAGAGCCAAGCTAGTTGTTTCCTGCAGTCTCCAGTCTTTAAGCCAAGCTAAGCCAACCAGCTGTTGGTCATAGCTTCATATTTACTTTTGTGACAGGGACTAACTGGCCGAGCAAGCTATTGAGAGTATTTACCAAAATGACTAACTATACCTTTAAAGAGTGCATTTGTAAGTAAGAGCTGAAACATTCTGTCAAAGCTTGGTGTGAAAACTAAGTCAATGGTGATGGTTTGTGAAATTGTGTAGGGTTTTTCATTACACTTGGATCAGTCTACTCTCTGGCTGAAGTTTAAACACTCACTAGATTGGCCTAAGCTGCTTCTATGATCAAACCTGTTCACCGTATGAAAAGCTTGTGTGAGGTCAGGTCTGATTGTTTTCTTGTTACAGGTGTATTTACTTATCATTTTTGGGTGTACCAATGAATCATTTCTTGCATGAAGGTGATGTCTTATGTGCATTAACTGATGGTGTGTTTGGGCCTGCAGGACATGGGGACAGTTATCCTGGGGAAGCTGGAGTCTGGATGTATCAGTAAAGCCCAGCAGCTGGTCATGATGCCAAACAGGGTGAGAGATCTCCTCTGTTTGACTTTTTCTTCATCCAACAGAGGACCAGAAATCCATTTAGCAGAAATAACACCAAGTCTTCATACCTGTGTGAGAGAGAGACAACAGACAGAAAATGATGCAGGAACAAATGGTTTAGTTCTAGTTCAAACACCAGACACATGTCCAATACAGCAATGATGTTTGTGTCTTTCATGTAAATATTTACACATAGCTATGTGTGTGTGTGTGTGTGGCAGCACACAGTGGAGGTATTGAGCCTGCTCAGCGACGATGTGGAGACAGACGATGCAAGTCCTGGGGAGAATCTGAAGTTGAGACTGAAGGGCATCGAGGAGGAAGAAATCCTCCCTGGCTTTATCCTCTGTAGCCCCGACAACCTCTGCCACTCCGGTCGCACCTTTGATGCACAGGTAATCGAAATATCTAAGACGACGTCTGCAAATGATCAGACCTTCTGACTTTACGTGTGGCTCTGATGGTCATGTGCTGGATGAATGAAAGTCTTTTGTTTGTTTGTTTGTTAAGATGTGGTCTAAAGAGGGGAGAAGGATAGACAGTTTAATGATCTTTTTTCTTTTAACACTTTACAAACTCATGAGCATGTCAGATTAAACTGTGATTTGTGATGTTTGAAATGTGACGGCTGATGGTCTTCTCCTTCTCTATCAGATCGTCATCATTGAGCACAAATCAATCATTTGTCCTGGATACAATGCAGTTCTTCATATCCACACCTGCATCGAAGAAGTGCAGATCACGGTTAGTTTCTGCTCGGCTTTTCCAGCTGTTCAATGCATATTCTGTTCTGCTGGACAGTTTCCTGTCATTACTGAACTGTGGATGAACTCCTGCAGGCCTTAATCTGTCTGGTGGACAAGAAGACGGGGGACAAAAGCAAAACACGACCACGCTTTGTCAAGCAGGATCAGGTGTGTATCGCCAGGCTCCGGGCAGCAGGAGTCATCTGCTTAGAGACCTTCAAGGACTTCCCTCAGATGGGACGATTCACGCTGAGGGACGAAGGTAAGAGCACTGTTGAGATGTGTCCTAAGTTAAGAGCTTACATAACTTGCTCACAGACACAGCTACAGCAAAGATTTAGTTGGTTTATTTGTTTTTGTGCATGTCCGGGTTATATTTCCTTGTCACAGTTTTCTTCCTCACTTCCATTTCTACACTCCTCCAACAGGTAAAACCATCGCCATTGGCAAAGTGCTGAAGCTGGTGCCAGAAAAGGACTAAATGCAACCGTGGCAGCATGCATGGAGTTCTTCCAGTCATTACCAGAGGAGAAACGCTGCTAGAGCCGACCCCAACAGCTACTCTCTCTTTACACACAACTATGCTGAGGAGAAGATCAATAAAGAGGAGAATCAAATTGCATCAGATGAAGGAATCAAGACTGAATCAGTTTTTTTGATGAACAATATGTAATGAGAGACCAAGTCCAGTGTGTCAGCTTTCTCATATTGAGAGCTCAGCTATGCCACTAATGTAGCTACAAGTCCCCCCTTCTGTACTCCCATGGCTAACCGCACTGTCGGACGGCCAAGCCATTTGTTTTTAGAATGGAGCTGGATGCAGTGTCGTGAGTTTGGGGAAGAAATACAGAAATATCCTGCTAAAGACCAGTGTAAGCCTGTAATTTTGATTTGCAAAGTTCATCTCCCTGTCTAAGAGTGGGATTAAGACTCCAGAGGACATTTTATTTGGTTTTTAAGGGTTGCTGCACCAAATTATTTTAGTTTGGTCTCTCTCCACGGGAGATGGTTGACTTGGATTGAGCTGACATACTTCTCTGATTAACCATGGATAAAAACACACACACACACACGGACAGCTGTTACAGATGTAATTGACAATAAATGATCAAGCTGCAAAAGAAAGGTGTATTGGTTTTCCTTTGAATAGGTATAAACATAAATAAATTCATATCAGCAGAAATACTCCATTCTCATATTTCCTTTTGAAAATGATTAGACCCAGAAAATGACTGATGATAGTAGTTTGCTGCATTGTTTGAGAAAATATTGACTGAAATGATTTCTAAAAAGCCTGTGGTTTGTTTCATAGCTCCCTAACATAACCAATCATAAACACGTGTTTAATAGAATGATAACATTCAAGTGCAGAGACTTTAATATTAACTTAAATATCTCTATTCATCATTTGAATTCAACTTTCCTTCAGAGGCAACTGCACTGTCCTCATTGTTCCCAGTTCCTGTTTAAATAAAGTTGACTTTGTATCAAGTGACGTGGTAGTACTCCTCTTGCGCATGCGTGGCTGCTGTTCACACGTGAAGCAGACAGCATGGCTGAGGGAAAAGGAGTTGCGTTGGACCGGGCACAGGTAAAACTGTGTTTTTTTACTTCAAAACTCTAAATCTTTTTAAGATCAACATTTCTGTCGATAGATAAAAACAAGACTGTTAAATAAATAATGTTATTATCCGACAGCAGCGCTTAGATAGCAAGCGTTAGCCAGCGTGTTTGCTTTAGCACTGAAGCTAACTCAGCGGATCAGTAGAAAGACTAAACCCCCTGAAGACAACTTTTAGGGGGCTGTGTTTTGTCTTTTTTTTTTTTTTAAACTCTACTTTCAATGTATCTGTCAGGTTAAAAAGGCAGTACAAGCCTTGCAGGCATTCCTGAAAACAAAGTCCACCCCTGACGCTCTTTTCCTGGAGGAGACTCAGCAGGTCAGCCTGCTCTTCACTCTCTGGAAGGTCCCTAAAGAGGCACAGACCATCCGCATGTGAGTCCACGAGGCACGAGCATCGAGCTGTCTTACTGCCGTTTACTTTTTGTTTTGTTTGGCAGATCTTTCCATGTCATTATTCTGAATTGACTTCACTGATGTGAACTTTTTGTTTCCGTCCTCAGTCCCCTGCCCCATGGACAACGACCAGACACAGACGAGATCTGCCTCTTCACCAGAGATGAGCCCAACATGACCTCAGAACAGACACAGAGGTTTTATAAGAAGCTCCTGGAGGTGAAGGGAGTCAAAAACATCTCTGAGGTATTTACCATAGAGTACTGTCACAGATGGAAATCTTACCTGTAAAGTGTAATACATGTTGAATACACAGACAGTGGTTAACTCACAAACCACTGTTCTAAATAAAGATCTCTAATAATGGCTTTTATTGTTATTGTGTGTCCCTGTATTCGTTGCAGATCATCCCCTACAAGGCCCTGAGGACTGAGTACAAACCATTTGAAGCCAAGCGTCGTCTCGTGGGGAACTACGATTTGTTCCTCTCTGATGAACGCGTCCGCCGCCTGCTGCCATCCCACCTCGGGAAGCATTTCTACGAGAGGAAAAGGTAAGCGATGTCCTACTCTCACTGGTGTTTTTACATCTTAAGTTCAGTCATGTTCATGATTTAAAAAAAACTGCTTACAAGCATTTTGCTGGCTTCTATGTTTTGACCTTTGTCAGCTCTGTAATCACCAGTTGTTGTTCTGCTCCGTTAAATCAGCACACAACTTTCACTGAATAACAACAACAAATTGATTTATTAGCTTAATAACCTCAGGTGCAATAAGAGATATAGAAAGTTGGAGACAAGAAAACATATTTATATTTTCATTTCATTGTACAGTGTTCCCCTTTGTTATTTGTTTTGTAGTATATCTTTGCTTTAATACAGTGTATAGCTTCTGTAGTTTATTTTAATTTACTTAGCTGTTACTACAACTTTTTTTTTTATTTTTTATTTGTACTTTTGTACTCTATTTTTCTATTTATATAAAATTTTAACTTTGTTTTGTAGAAGCTGACTCAGGGAGAAACGCACAATAATTCCAATGTACCTGTACTGTCCTGTACCTGTGCAGATGGAAATAAACATCTATTCTATTCTATTCTATTCGAGCTGCTTGGCTAAAAAAAAGAATCCCTTGCATAGTGGAGGCAAGCAGGATCATAAAATGGTTAAACTCGTTTGTGCAGCGGCAGTAGATGCCTTACCTCACTTCTGTCTTCCCCAGAGAGCCACTGTGTGTGAACCTGCAAAGCAAACAGCTGGCCAGAGACATCCAGAGAGTCATCCAGGGCACCAGCCTGAAGGTTACCAAGAAGGGCTGCTGCTGGTGAGATTTACACTCCTGCTTCTCGTCACCCAAATGATCAAATCAGAAACTGCTTTGTTTGGTTGTTTATGACACAACCTTTTATCCCAGCTTCACAGAAAATGTGGTCATTGTTGTTGCTTCAACAAGATGTCAAACTATGCATGAAGAGTTTTACAGACTGTTTAAATGTTTTGTAGCACCTCTCAGCAACCCTGTCGATTCTGTGAAGTGTTTGATACGGGCAGTAGCTGGTGCTAAAGAGAGTCAACGTAAATCCAGACGCGCCTCCTCATCCTGTGGAGCCTGTCTCTACAACTTTGATACACAACACTCATGAATACTGGAGTCCCTTCATACCAATGATGTTTGCAGAGTCACTTTCTCATGTTTGAATTTTTTGATTTTTATGATGTGCTCTTATTTTAGCATGGCACGCGTCGCCCACTCCGGGATGACTGCAGACGAGGTGACAGACAACATCGAGGCCGCCGTCCAAACAGTGGTGTCCAAAATACGTGCAGTGAGTGTGCTGCCTAGAGAACTGTCTTTTCTTTTTATATGTTTGGTTTAAACTTAGACATATTCAACAGAGACTGTTAATGGACTGACTTCTATAAACATATTTGAACTCATAATGATTGGCAGTTCAGCATGTCTCTCATAGTATCTCGGTTTTATCCTGACATTTGTGTTCCTGCTTTCTATATTAAGTCTATGTTTGGGTGTTTCTTGAGGCTGTATACAGATTTTTTTTTTTTAAACTTTTCTCCACCCACTCTGATAAAAAAAAAACCTCAACTTTTCCACATTTCTGATTTTTTTGTTTGCATTTCCACTTACAGAACGGGCCAGTGATGAAGCTCATACATTTAAAGAGTCAAACGTCAGTGGCTCTGCCCATCTACACCTCAGACCTGAGCAACCTCGACTCGCTGGTGAAGAAAGAGAATCCTACTGACCTACCCAAGAAAGAGGTGAGCACGAGTTGACATCTGGTGTCTGAGTCACATATTGTGACATTGTGTGAAATTACCAGCTCACATGTTTGTTTTTTTTGTTTTTTTTAAGGCAAAGAAGAAGAAAGCCGGAATAAAGCAAACAGATGCCACTGGAGAGGAAGGAAAGGAGGAGGAGGAAATCCCACAGTTGGTTCCCATAGCAACACCTAGCAAAAAACCTAAGCTGGAGGTCAGTGACTTTTGCTCGATTCAATTAGAATATTTGAAATGTTATTTTGGAGAACCGTCTGCGGTGCTGTGTCTTCAGTGGGCTGATGATCTATCCTGATTACATTTTCTCTCTGTTGTAGAAACGATCCAAGAAGAAGAAGCTGGAAAAAGCCCCCAAAGCCGCCAAACCCCCCGTGTCAAAGAAAGGAAAAGGAAAAAAATCACCAAGCAAACTGACCAAAAGAGCAAAAAGAAGGCCGGCAAGACGGACACAAAAGTGAAAAGAAAAGTGCCTCAAGTGAAATGATTCTGAGTAAAGGCTCCATGAATACCACATTCTCATCATGAACAATTTTCACATCACACAGAACCAGCGTTCACAGAATGATCCATATATATTCAGTCAGTGTCTCTCTTTTCAGTATGAATGAAAACGATTATAAACTTTGTTGTCTGAAATATTCTGTGACCATTTTGTGTTTCTATTAATCAGGATGTGATTCGTCCGGGTTTATCTGGAATCTGGGATTTTCTGACCTGAAAAGTATTCCCATGAGACTTTAGTCATTTTTCAGTTAAGAGCTTTATTGTCCCTCCAAAGGGAAATCCGATTCACATCAGTGTGTAAAAACACAATATATAAAAAGACATAGGGCAGTGCAACACAACCTCATAATACAACCAAGAAAAGAAAATGTAACCATTAGGTAAAAACAATACTTGCAATAATAAAATGCTATAGTGCTGCTGGAAAGAGCAGTCGAGGTTTCAAGCTGATAAGTGCTTACATTGCACGAGGAATAAATGGACATTGATATCCTGTGCAGCCTGTACCTTCAACAGAGGGAAGAAGAACAAGTTCATCCAGGAGAGGACGCATGGAGCTGGCCAACACTGACTTTGCTTTCCTCATAAATTGTCCGTTCCTGATCTGACAAGGAAAGATACTGCGTGCCAATTATCTTACTGTCTGTTATGCCTTCTGGACAGACGCAGTTTGTTGTGCCTTGAAAGGTTACCTTACCATGAGATAAAACAACATTTTAAAATGAACTCAATAAAAAAAAAAATCTGTAGCATAAAATCATCAGTGTCCTGTCCACAGTAATCACTGCTTAATTATTTTGCCTACTTGTGCATTTTTCATTTTACATCTGAGCACCGTCGTCCTCTTAGATGATTAATGGATGTATCTGCGCTCTACAGTTCAACTTTGTGGTATGAGTAGCATCTGTTGTTATGTAACCCCTTGTTAATGCACGGTACAAAGCACACTAGTACAGAGCCACAAGCTGCTGAAATCCTGCAGAAACGAGAACTATTGATGTCGACATGTTTTTAAAGGACTCAAATTATTTCTTCTCTGAAAATATTCACACAGATGGCATTGACCAACAGGTTGTTGCTGAAGGCAAAGAAACACCAATAAATGTAGCCTACATAAACTACAAAACACCAATAACTGTACATCAAACATAAACTACACTTGAAGGTGGTGTATTTGTGTATTTGGACTTTAAGAGCGTTTTTCTACCTTTTTTTAAAGTCTGGTGCGAGTGTGTGTGTGTGTCTTTTTATCCTTTGTTTTTAGATAGGAGATGAACATTTGAGCTCATATTCCTTTCAGGGAAGATATACACCCAATCATATTTCTCAGGGACAGATATTACAAATGCATAACTGACTCAGTAACACCCTGTATCGTTCAAACTTTAAGAGCGTTTTTCTACCTTTTTTTAAAGTCTGGTGCGAGTGTGTGTGTGTGTGTGTCTTTTTGTCCTTTGTTTTTAGATAGGAGATGAACATTTGAGCTCATATTCCTTTCAGGGAAGATATACACCCAATCATATTTCTCAGGGACAGATATTACAAATGCATAACTGACTCAGTAACACCCTGTATCGTTCAAATGCAACATGCATGCACTTCTTAAAATAGGAGCCAACACAACATTAGCAGAATGATTGACTTACAGTGAATAGAGTGATAATTGTTTGATTAGTTCTGCCACGCTACGTTCAGAATTAGCATCATTTTAAGACTCCTTTCAAGCATTTAACAGCCAGGCTTTACAGGATGCTGAATGTCTCATACACCTTTTGATCACTTTAAGTGTGTTTGCCTTGAGACGTGTTTTCTGATGCTGAGTTTAGCCATCAGAGCTGTGCATGTGTATCAGATGACAAGCCTTTTGTTGACGAGCTTATGCCTGTGCTTGTACAGCTGCTGTTGCTCTCCACATGCAATATTGCCACATAGGCTGAACTACATGAGGCATTTAAAGATGACAAGAATTCAAACAGCTAATCTGAAATATGAATTTTCCTGCATTTCAACAGACTGTGTGTTTGTTTTAAAAGGACCAGGTGACCACTAAGGAGCCAGCCAATCAAAGGTGATGATATTGTTGTCAACAGGTGGGCTGGCTCTGTGTATTCATCCGAGCCCTACCTCTGCTGTGTGTGTGTGTGTGTGTGTGTGTGTGTGTGGTGGGCCATCTGGAATTACAGTGTTCACAGGTAGGTGGTCAAGAGGACGGAGAAGAGATATATCAAAATATACTCTCACTCCGTCATGTGACTGCTGGAAGCCGGCTGTCAACAGGGACTAGCTGAGCAGACAGGACGGCTCCAGACGGATTGAAGAAGGAAAGTTGTGGATTCTTTGATGCTCAGCGATTGGTGTTTCCATTATTCATGAGGTAAAGGCTCTCGAAGGGAAGAAAAAGTGCTCACAGGTGTTTTTTTTTTTCTTTCTGTGGAGCAGCAATGGGAACAGTTGGGGAAACTTCAGTTCCAGAAGACTCTGGGAGTCATCATCACACAGGTACTTCACAAAGTCCCAGCTGGGCTTACCTTCACAAGCCTATCATTGTGTTGGTGATGGGATCACTGATGTGTGCGGCAGGTGGACTCCTCTTCCTGCTCCAGTCGTCTGAAGCGTCCCACTCTGTAGCCTCTGCCTGTGTGTCCGTAGGGCTGCTGTTTGTGGTGATGGGGCTGGTGTGGATCCCAATTCTGAAGGAGAAGCGGACACGTAAACGCTACGCTATGGAGGTGTGAATCAAGATCGAAAACACTCTGGAATGTGAAATACTGTCGGCAGTGAATCAACCTATTTAATCATTTTATCATCTGTGTAGGGCCAACAACACTTAACATGTAAATCCAAAACACACTCTTTGTTAGAAAAGATACAAAGACCCAACATCAGTCTACCAATGAGCAAGCACCTGGCAACAGAAGAAAAGAAGACCCTCCCTCTAACAGGCAGAAACCTCAAGCAGAACCAGAGTCATTGGTAGACATCCCTCTGATTGGCTGGGATAAAAAAAAAGTGTGCTATAGAGCGGGAGACAGAATCGGATCATCACATCATGGAGATATAAACATGATGCAACTTTTAACGCAGTCACACAGCAGGGCTGGTTCTAGTTGATAACACTTTGTACTTTGACCTGTGTCGCTGCAGGTTGTTTCATGTGTTTCTGCTCGTCAGTGAGGAATACTCCTAACTATCCTGCAGCTGCCCGCACACTGACTTCCATCTGGAATCGACTTCAGGAGACAGGATCCCCGCTGGCACCATGTCCACATCTGTGCAGGTCGAGCCGGTCATGGAGAAAAGCTACGAGGGAGTGGGTCGCTGCAAGTGCTCGTTCTGGTTCGCGGTGGCCCACGACATACTCGGCGTCTTCATCATGATGGTGGGGGTGTTCGGCGGCCTGGTGGTCCACGACTTGTTCATCTACGCGGGCGCCATCATCATCTTCCTCAGCCTGATCTGGTGGGTGTTCTGGTACTCGGGGAACATCGACGTGCCGCCTGAGGAGCTGGAGGACGACGTGGGCATGATCAAGCTGAAGAACCGGGGAGTGAGCCAGGCCGTGAGGCGAGTGTCCGGACAACTCTCCAGCAGGATCAGGAACTCTTTCAGGAAAAATGGCAGATCTTTCAGAGAGGACAACAACAGAACTTCAGACTTTGGTGCAGATGTTACCTTGTCCACTATTTTTAATAGCACCATCGCCTCCTCCTCAAAAGAACTCTACAGAGAGACACTATCAGTATGAACCAACGCAGCACAGACTGCACAAGAGCACACTGAACTTGGATCTTTGGATGTGTTTCCTTTAGTTCATTTATTCAGATGAAGGGGATTTTGTGTTTACTTTACCAACATGCACTAGTAATGATTAGATAACACCGAGTCCATGTGGGGATAAGATCAACAAGATCTTATCTGGCTGATAAGGTTTAAACTTTGCACACAATAACTTTGTTGCTCACCACTCTGATTTTAACCACAACATGTCATCATTTACTTTTTTAAGAGTTGCTGGGAACTGATTCACACCATAGACTGTAAATATTAAGATTCACACAAACTGCAGATTGGTGACCATAGAAAATAAAAAGGTGAAAGGAGGAATTTGTTTTGATGAAGCAGAATTTATTTAGATCATATGTGGTCAGATAATTGAGAGCTACCTGAAGGTTAAGTCATATTTATTTTTTTGTATATGAAGCTTAAGTTCACCTTTATAATAATATCAGCCATCAAACAAATGAAAATACCTTTCACTTTAAGGACGTTTGTGCGGCGTTAAAATTGAACTCCAACTTAATTCACACAGAGAATCGTGTGCTGGTTCTGTGATCATAAGAACGTTTTCTGAGTTTCACTAAGTGTCAGTGGTCGTGCTTGATCAAATCTTGCTCTTTCTACAAAGTGGTGTGACGACAGCCTTTTTGGTTTGAAGTCAAATAAAGTTGAAATGCCTGTTACCCCAGGACTTCCACTGGAGGTTCTTTTGTTCAGGGCTTCATGGGCGGCAGTAGCTCAGTCTGTAGGGACTTGGGTTTTAAGAACCGGATGGTTGCCGGTGCAAGTCCCAGTGCGGACCAAATTATGGAAGTTGGTTTGATAACTGGAGAGGTGCCAGGTCACTTCCTGAGTACTGCCGAGGTGGTCTTAAGCTCCAGCGAATCCACAACAGCTCTCACATGCTCACTGTGTAGCAGCCCCACTCTGACATCTCTCCACTAATGCATGTCCACAGGTCCTGCTGTGCATGTGTGTGATCCTATGTGTGTATGAGCAGCATGTTTCTTAATGACAGAGTGTAAACCAGAATTTCCCTCAATTATAATTAAGGTGTGTAAAATTACTTTAGACAACACAAAAAGTTGTAATATGTTCTGATTATTATTATTATTTCAATCATTTAACTGTCAGAGTAATTTTTCTGTTTAGCTGTTTAGTTACAGGGATGAGGTGATGGGAGGAAAATGTAATGTGACACATACAGACAAAAAAAGCGACTCTACGTTTGACCAAGATTAAGAGTCGACAGCCCCACAAGTCAGTCCAGTTAGGCTGTACACAGGCACAGTGATGCTCTGAGATGAGCAGGGAGCGCACCAGAGCTGTTGGGGGTTCAGTGCCTTGCTCATGTGCACCTCAGCAGTGTTTGGGAAGTGACCTGGCACCTCTCCAGCTACCATTTACAACCACTTTGGTCCACATCGAGACTTGAGCTAGCAACCCTCCGGTTCCCAACCCAAGTCCCTACAGACTGAACTACTGCTGCACCAAAAGTAATAACCATGTTAATCTCAGGAATCAAACTCCTACCATCAGGTTGACTGAGTGGTTTTACCCACTGAGCTACAGAGCCTTCCCACATCCTGTCTTCTTGTCCCAACTCCTCTCCTCTCTCTAAAAAAACAAACAGCAGATAAAAGGGGAATAAAAAAGTAAAGACCTTTAAATTGTGAACAGATGAAAAGCCTATGCATTTCCTTTTTTTGCTTGACAGTTCACACTTCATGCCATCTTCAAACATCTTCCCCTCCTCCTCTCCTCTTCAGACAACTGAAGATAAAAGGATAAAAGAAACATTATACATCATACCTCGGCCACCATCCAAGAATAGGATTTAGAATGGTTTAAGCCCGGAGGGAAAAAGAAATCATGCTCAAAAGACTGAGTGTCAACATGGTGTGTGGATGACAGCATTTACCAGGCAGAGAGGGTCTAACATGTGTTACTGTATTCATGGAGTGATGTCATTTTTAATGTTTTAAAATTCTCAACATAACCTGAGATAGCCTACATAATTGTTTGACAAACGCCATTAGGATGATTTAAAGTGCAGAATAAACATGTTTCTTAAGAACCCAAATGAAATGTGAATAGTTCTCATTTTAATATATGAAATGTAATCTGCCTTTAATATTCAATTGGTTAAATGTAAAAATAAATAAATAAATCATAAATAAATGAATATGTTTACCGTGTCTATCAACTCGGGTCATTTTGGTGTTTTTAATAATCAATCAATCAATCAAACTTTATTTATATAGCACCTTTCAGACAAATGAAATTGCAGTTCAAAGTGCTTTACAAGAGTGCAGAAAAGTTATTGACAAAAGTAGTTTGTAAAATCATTGATAAAATCATTGAGACACACCAATAAGAATTAAAAAATATGTATAAAAATAAATAAAATAAAATACGAGACATAAAAGCAACAAGATATTAAAATAAATACATAAGAGGAAAATATTTAAAATTGCAGTAGGATAAAAAAGACAATACAGTAATGTTAAGATAGAATAGAATAGAATGACTTTATTGATCCCAAACTGGGAAATTGTGGATTGTAGATTTGAATTGATATAAATATAAAATTGATATAAAATAATGCGCCTTTATGATTTTTGTTGGCATGAGGCTCTCTACAATAGTTCTATCAAATAAATGAGGAGTGAAAGACATAATTTGGCTCAAAGGTGAATCAACCTCAATAACTTTTGAAGCTTCCTGATTTTAACAATGACTTTTATTTTAACCCAAACTAAGTATAGTATTTCCCCCCTAACCTTCCTCTTACTAGGTTACCTTCAGCTTGGTAAATCAGCCGCATGGTCTCATGATTATGACAAGTGGTCTCTGCATATCAAATAACCACTACACACTAACTACGGCGAGCGAGGAGGGTCTGATTAGTTTAAAGCTTTCCGGTTTACCACTGTCAACACTTGGCTCGCTGCTGCGGAGCAACGACGATGTCGGAGCAGGAGTCTCTGAGGTGCTCCAGTGCCAGAAACCGTGGAGGCGTACAAAGGGTGGAGGGAAAACTGCGAGCCAGTGTAGAAAAAGGGGATTATTATGAAGCACATCAGATGTACAGGACTTTATTTTTTAGGTAAGACCTCGTTTTACGTTCGTAAATGCGGTTGTAATTGTCATTTGGCTTTGGGGCCTGCCTGTTCCAGATCATTCCGCTGTCAACCTTGCTTCTATGCCTGCCGCTTTATGATTGGATAGTTTCACCGTGGACCCGCCCACCCATGTTGGTCCGCGTGTTTGTGTGGTCAGCTGGGATGTCGATCTTCTCAAGTCACAAAATGGGACTGCCATCTGCAGCTAGTGTGCTAGCAGCTAGTTACGTGTTTTAGCAACAGAACTAATGATAGCCGAGTTAGCGTAACTGCTAATGTAAGAAAGACAGTCATACAGTGTTAAGCTTAACTTAGAACATATGCTTCACATGCTAATTACAAAATAAAACATCGGCTTACAACTTTGTTAAGCGTTGACATTTCACAAACGCTGTTGAAGCTGCCCAGCTGTGTTAGCATTCATCTAGATGTACTGATGGCCGCAGACTGAAATAAGATGGATAGACATGTTTCTGCCTGCTGCATACTTTGTCTTCTTGAACAGTGAACTACAGCTGGATGTGCTTGATGACCACAAGTCAGTCTGGGAAGAGTCAAGCCAGAGTTAATTACTATTTTCCAATGTCTGCACATTTCATTCATAGTCACACACTTTCTAGTGTGCAAAGCTGCTTCAATACAGTAAAGACATCTGGAGGCTGTTTGGGCTTATGAATAAAATATTTATCTGCCTGCAGCTTAGTTTGCAGAAGAAGGTGGTTTCTTCTGAATCCAATCCAGTAAAAGCCAAATACAGTCATGTATGTAATATAAGGTCTGAAATCCTCCCATAGTTATAACATATTGAGTCTTAAAGAAGCTGTAACCGTCCCAATGTCAAAATAATATGCAGAGTAATGTAAACATTCAGACCTGGTTTATCTTGAGCAAAACTGGTGTCCATGCACCTTTATCTTGCTGCACCATGCATGGATGGTTGTTAGTGATCTAAACGAAGCAGGTGTTATCTTCTCATGTGTGATTCTGACATGATGTCTTCCCTCAGGTACATGTCACAGGCTAAACATGCTGAGGCCAGGGAGCTGATGTACAATGGTGCTCTACTCTTCTTCAGCTATAACCAGGTACATCCTCATTTACATTTCCTTCTTTGCCATTTTAAATTGTGGAGTGTGCAGAAGTTATGTTTAAAATAGTATTGTGGAGGGGGGGGGGCTATATTCATTTTCTTTTTCATATAATTGTAGTCCCAGAGTAATGTCTCTAAATCATAAGCAAGTAAAACCACCCATATCATAGGTGTTTGTTTATGTTATGAGGTCCATCTTTGCTTGCATCAGTGTGCAGAACACTTTTACATTTGACTGAGTACAGGTCACACAGCTTATACACTTTGTTTTGAGAGCTGCTTCATTAGTGCTACACACACATCATCAGAAATATTTGCATCAACTTAAGGTCATTTTTTTAGTGTGAATAAGCTAGATAATAGAAAGGTAAATTCAAAGATAGGTAGGTTACGCTTCATGTTGTAGCCTTGAGGCTAATTGTGTAAAAGAATAAAAAAATGTTTCAAAATCATGGATTGAATGAAAGATAATATAGTTTGTTGTGTTTTAATCTCCAGCAAAACAGTGCAGCAGACCTGTCCATGCTGGTTCTGGAGGTGTTGGAGAAATCTGAGACAAAAGTTGAAGATGATATATTAGGTAAGTGACGACCTTCGTTCTATTTTGTATGAGATGTGTGTAAGAGGGGATAGTTGCTGGACATTTTCTAATGTATTGTCTGTTCTCTTTCAATTTTGTGAGAGAGAAACTTAATTATGTCTCTGATCTGTTTTTAACATAATGACAGTACTTTTTCAACAATATTTATTTACACAAAACAGTAAAATAGTTTCTTTTGCCAAACGGATTCCTTTGCAACTGAAAGATTCTTTGGAAAACTAAGCAGTGTGACAAAAGGACATATTTAATGGAAGTGTATAATGCAAAACAAAAAGAAGGTATCCAATATGTATGTGCTGATGTTAGGAGTAAGTGTAGGAAGAGTATTTGTATGCATTGTTTACAGTGACCTCAAATCTTTATTTGAATCGGCATCATGAGGCAGCTTGTTAAACACCTCAATGTGTATAGCTTATTCAGATCTACTGATTTGCCGTGATACTGTTACTGATCTGCTGGATTCTTTCCAACATCTCTTGTAAGGGGAATTGCATTAGATAATTATGCATTGAAATATTCATGACATTACATTCACAGATGCTCCACTTTTAAAAGTACAACACGCCAGCACATTTGACATTAAAAGGGGCATTATCTGATCTATGTGTGTGTGTATGTGTGTGTGCGTGTGTGGAGCAGAAAGCTTGGCTAAGTTGTTCAGCCGGATGGAGCCGAACTCCCCTGAGAGAGTAGCATTTGTGTCCAGAGCCTTGAAATGGTCCACAGGAGGATCTGGCAAGTTGGGTCACCCGAAACTACACCAGCTGCTGGCTGTCACCTTGTGGAAAGGTAAACAATTTATCACTGAGTTTAAGAAGTGTAGAGAATGATAACAATTATTAATTACAGGTTAAGAGTCCAAATATGAATAATATAATCCAGAAGCCTTCAGAAAACAAGCCTAACTAAAGATAAATACACGATGGCAGTGTATCATGTGCATCAAAATCATCCTCTGAATTAAGCTGTTTTTGTAAGCCCACACACCAGCAGCTTCATGATGTGTGACATCACACGTCTAATTAAGCCACTGTCTCCACTTTACTGTGACACTAGAGAACTTTCCAGAGCGATTTACTGCAAAGCAAGTTTGACACATCAGACTTTCTTTGCGTCAGCCGGCTTTACAAAACCTTAAAACCTTCTTCAAAGATAACTGGTGACACGACTGTGGTTATCAAATGTTTCTGTTAATACAGACTGTCCTCTACATGGCTGTGTTCACATACAAAGAGTGTTGACAAGAAGATTTAAAGAAATATACTAATCATGCGTATTCACAACTTCATATAGTTATTTTTACCACTTTATTCACTCTCCGTGCCTCCCATTTATTTCCTGCATGTTATCAGCCGTGTCAGATTTCTTCAAATGTAAACCTAATGTAAAAATGTAGAACTTTATACTCAAGAACTGCATGACTTTGTCCCATGATTTAGGACAGGTGAAAGTTGGAGCATTTTACAGCCAATTTGATTTTTAACATAATATTTTACAGAGCAGGCTAGGTGTACTGCCTACGTTATCCAGCGGTGATTTTGCCAAGTTAAGAGAGTCAACTTGTTGGCACTGGAAACTCTGGCTTTAGGCTACTCCTGAAATTGTTAATCCATTAACCTTGCTTTGTAGAAGCCCAAATCTGATACCAATCACTACCTAGACTGAATAATTTAACAGCTAGAATATTTAAAATCTTTTGTGTGTCCAGAACAAAACTACAGTGAGTCTCGTTACCACTTCCTGCATTCGTCTGACGGGGAGGGCTGTGCGCAGATGCTGGTGGAGTTCTCGGCCTCTCGAGGCTTCCGCAGCGAGGTCGACATGTTTGTGGCGCAGGCCGTCCTACAGTAAGTGAAGTGTCACAGACGCACTTTCTGAATTTTCTAAAAACCTTCAAAAACTACATCGCCATCCATGTTCAGTTAAACCAGAGAATGAGAGCAGTTGGAGCCGTCAGTGTTTAGTAAATGTAATCTGATCAGATTTAAGGTGTAGACTTCAGAATCTGTATGTGCCGTCCAGAAACTGATATCGATGCCTCATTCTCCATCTTGCTGGTCTGCAGTCATATCAATTTTTGCCTGAGCACCGCCTTCTCTCTGTCTCTCTCTCTCTCTCTCTGACTGATGTGACCCACGAGCAGTTCATCATAGTTTATTATAATGTAGAGTGGAAGACACACTGATTTCAAAAAGGAGATGTGTTTGTCACTGTGTACTCCAGTCTACTTTATAAATTACAGTTACATCAAATCAGGCTTAGAGTCAGAAAGGTTTGATCACTCTTTGTCACTTTTTTTTCTCTCTCTCTCTCTCTCTCTCTCTCTCTCTCTCTCTCTCTCTCTCTCTCTCTCTCTCTCTCTCTCTCTCTCTCTCTCTCTCTCTCTCTCTCTCTCTCTCCTCTGTATCACACCCTCTGTCACGTTTTCTTTTCCAACTTCTACTTTTTGTCTGGTTCCTCTGTGTTTTTACATTTTTTTTTTTAAATTCCTGTTACTTTCTCCTGCAAACCTCCACCCACCAGGTTCCTCTGCTTAAAGAACAAAAACAGCGCTTCCGTGGTGTTCAGCACATACACAGAGAAACACCCGTCCATAGAAAAGGGCCCTCCCTTCGTCCAGCCTCTACTGAACTTTATCTGGTTTCTGCTGCTGGCAGTGGATGGGTGAGGAAAAACTATTTCATTTTAATGTTCACCTCTATGCCATTATAGTAATCTATGATGTGAATCGAATTGCTCTGCAATAAACCTAAGCATGCAATGAGCTAACTGAGCTAGTATTAGCTGATCTCTTACTCCCAGAGTACTTTGTAATAGTTCACTGTCAGTTTAAAAAACTAAACATTTGAGGATTTCACCCAATCACAGCTGGGATTGACTCCAGCCACCTGAGACCCTGAATGGGATAGAAGATGATGTTTGGATGTTTGAAGATGAAGATATCCATTAACTCAAACTTTTCCTCTTTGTTTCTTCAGGGGTAAATTAACAGTTTTCACAGTGTTATGTGAGCAATACCAACCTTCTCTAAAGAGGGACCCCATGTATAATGAGGTGAGTGCTGCTGCTGTGATGTTTAAATATCTACGTAAGCATGTATCTATGTAAGCGTAGTCAAGAGTCATAATCATGTCCTCTTCTTCCTTTTCCTCAGTATCTCGACAGAATAGGACAGGTTTTCTTTGGCGTTCCACCCAAACAGTCACCATCATACGGTGGACTGCTAGGTGAGTGGACCAAGACTTTGATATTAATGTACAGTATGTATACACATATCGGCTAATCACAAAATAAGTCTTAATAGGACCCTTCAGTGTTGAACATCTGCCAGGTTTTAACCAATCCTCCAGTTAGTTGAATTGGTTTCCTCTTCTCAAAAACAAACTGACCCAGTGATGAAAGTCAGTAACAACACTGAATTGAAAAGTTTCACATTAAAAGTCTTACTTTATGATGACACACTTAGGAGTTGTTGTTGGGGCTGGTGGCAAAGCTGTAATTTAATGACATTATTTGTCTGATAAATTAATATGTCAGATGTCTAATCCTTAATTCGTTAAATGATCTTGTAAGAAAAAAGTTGGCCGGGAAGACATCCTGCGCTTATGGAAGAGAGAAATGTGCATATTGACTGTAGAATATGAGACTCATGTAAAGGTCACATATTCTCCTCCTTTTCAACCAGTTTAAATAAGTCTCAGAGCTCCCCATAACATGTGTGTGAAGTTTCTTGCCAAAAACCCCACCCGATCCTGTATTTTAGCATTCCTTTAAACCCCTCTATTTCAGCCCTGCTCAGAACAGGCTGTTTCTGTGTCTGTAGCTTTAAATGCAAATGAGCTGTGTCTGACCACGCCCCCTCTCTGGAAAGATGAAGGGTGGATTCGAATTGTCCCTCCTATCTCCTTTCACTATCCTCTTTACCTTAACCGTGGGGAAAACGTCATGAGGTTAAGGAAAGATGTTAGGAGAATTCATAAAGGACTTGGGGAAAGGCGATTGCGTTCAGAGTCAGAATCTGACCACATTTCCACTAGGTGACGTAATTATGGGACGGTGGAGGTTAATGACGTGGGTCTGCCGAGGTGAAACTACAATGTTCTGAAAATGGACTACAAAAAGCGCATCTAAAACACTTTCCTGTGGGGAGGATGGACTTTTCTCATAATTGGGGTGTTTATAGACGGACTAGAGACACGTTAGTGTTAGAAAAACGCAGTGAAGTGTATTTTGCACAATATGTGACCTTTTACAAAGGTGTTAAAATATAAATCTATTCATACATGCATCTCTTTGTTTGATCCTGCAGGAAACCTGCTGAACAGCCTGATGGGTTCAGGTGAGGATGATGATGGAGCTGAAGAAGCCCAGGAGGACAGCAGCCCCATAGAGCTGGACTGAGCCTGCGACAGCCTGACAAGAAATCAAATGAACAAAAAAAAAAAAAGAAGAGGAAGTCCACGCCGCCTCTGTCCTTCACCTCCACAACAAGGATGGGGCGAGGTGCTGGACTGTGTTTTCAGAAGCGTGCTGTTTCCAAAAACCCTTCCCCAACCATCAAGTCTAAAATCAGAGCAAGTATCCGGCCACAAAATTCTCCCTTCAGCATTGCCGGGACTGACTGCGCCAAACTGCAAACTCTTCCGTGTTGATTTATTGTAAGATTATATTATTTTATTTTAACCATGATTTTTGGTTGGTTGGGGACTCTCGCTCTTTGTTTATGGTGTATGATTTTTAAACATAACAAAGCGCCCTCTCCCTGTGATAACCTGCTCCAAAGATGTGGGAGTGGTTTTGAGTCTCTCAGTGGAGAGGATAGCATCACATGTACACACATCCTCTTCATATTGTCGACTGCATCATTAAAGGAGGGTTCAGTCCACTTACTACATTTATCCAGATGTTTTTGTTTGCCAGACAAGCCACATGGAGCTACATAAGAAACAAGTTGCTGCTGTTATTGGGATTGTCCGTTAAAAGCTCTTCTTTGAGTAGTATATAACATTTCTTCTTGTAATCAAGGCAACCTTTCATCTCCTCGTCTTGTCTGTCTCATTAGACGTAAGGACACAGTGAAAACAGAACTGAAAGTTCTAACCTGAGGTCATCCTGCACCTTTTAATATCAACCAAACACTCTCTGATCAGTGTCTCCTTCATGGGTCGTTTCTAATCATCTGCAAACACACAGCTGTCCGGATACATTTAGCTCCATTGTGCGCTGGCTGAACTGCTGTCTCAGCTCGAGGAATTATCCGGAGTTCTCTTCATTTGTGTTCCAGTAAAGTACGAAGCGCTTATAATTTAGATTTCACTGGATGTTGGCTCTCACTATCTATGTGTCACTGTGAAAAAAGAAAAAAAAGCCAGATGTTGGAGTTACCTTCCAAGTTTGTAAAATGATAAGAGACACTGTGAAAACCTGTCTGTTGGAGTGGATCTTTGCTTTTTCATGTTATAAAATGCTAACACCCAAAACCAGCCTGTTACCTGACTGCTTCTGGTTTAGTCTTAAACGCTTTGTTTACTCTTCACTTCAATTCCTCTTCGACTGCTGTGTAATCTAACATCAGTTCAGCCAGTGCACAATCAGAAGTTCCTGTGTACAGCTTTCATATCTCAGATTTTCAGCCGTCAGCTTCTTTTTTGTCCTCAAAGTGACATCAGCCCAGGTCTTTCAATTAAATGCAAAACTAGAGAAGTGCAGAGGTCTTCCAATGTAGGTTAACATATCTTACCACTTTATTATGATCTCTGAAGGACCATGGATCACCAGCATGGCCAATACTAAGTAAGAAACGACTAAATAAATATGTAAATGAACCAGAAAAGTAGTGTTAAAATGTAACTCATACACAACTTATTTTAAGTTTCCTTTATCAATGAAAAGTGAAATAAAAAAAACTCTTAACAAAGTATAGGTGAATAATTGAAAAACAGGCTGTTAGTAAGTAACACATTTAATGACAAAACTTTATTGTTACTCTAAGAGATTATAGATTAATTCAGTTCTTTGTTTCATAAGATGCTGGTTGAAGATTGGCTGTTTTTGGTACCACATACAGGACTGGCTTGATGTTGTAGTGCTGCAAACGGACAGATGGAATAGAAAACCTGCAAACAAATGTTTCAGTGACTCGGCTTTAACAGTGTTGTTTTCAGTCATGAAAGATCCTATTTTTAACGGCGGGGCGACGAACCCTGCAGGCTTCTCAGTGAAACCACTGAGGTCTTAAAGGGAAAGTCTAGTCAAGCGCACTGTTCCTTTTGTCAGTCATTCAAATCACACGAGTCTTATTATTCACAACTCTCATGGGTTCATTTGAATTTAAGAGCTCTTGTTTTGCTCTCCTAAAAGTCAGGTGTTTTAATTTTTTAGTATTCTTTAATATTTGGCGGTAAAAAGGTGTGACCAAAGACTCCTCCATGTCAGAGAACACTATCATAGCTGCTGTTGTTGATCATTATTTCTTCTTTCGAGAACTAAACGGGAGTGTTCGCCCTTTTTCGATGATTCACTAATTGTGCAAATAAACTACAACTGAGAAGAGTTTGAGAATGTCTTGAAACAAAAATGTGTCCTGTCCTCTTTTTAAAGCACAATCTTTGTGACCTGTGTGTTACTTAGTTTAGTTTATTTTGCATTAGTCATACACAACACAGCTGTTGGGACAGAGTTAGCTATAATGCTAAGTTACATCTGTTGTCTATGGGCAGCAAGATGTAAAAAGAAAACTGACATCTTAAAAACGTACCTATGAGCAGAACGTTTGTAAAATCAGCAACTATAGGTGTTTTCAGACCAAACAGTTCCAGGGACTTTTTGCAGAGGACCTATCCACAAAGGAGTTCCCTGAGAACTACACATGAAATCAGGTGTTTTTCAGACCATAGGAACTTCTTCATAGTTCCAGGAACCCGCCTCCTTATTTATTCATTTTGCACCGCAGGAACTATGAACTATTTTAGTTCCTAGAACCCTTTTAAGAGGAACCTTTTTAGCTCCTGCCCGAGGCAAAAAAAAATCACAGGTGGCCCCTCCAAGCCGCATTCATCCCCATCATGTTTTTTTGCAGAAGTTCTGCATTAAAGTGTCTCTAGTCCATATTTAGAGGGCTGGACAAGCATCAATCAGTGATTTACTATTATACGAGTGAGTACTGTAAGATGGGGCCCCTTTAGGAAGGTTTTCTACTGTCATGGCAAACGTTGCACATTTTGAGCCACTGCTGTGGTTTGAAGTTTGTCAGACCTTGGGGGCCCCACGCAGCTGCCTGTTGACAAGCAGCACCTCTAATGGAGACAGGAAAAAAAGTTTCCATGGTGTGTAGTGGTCAGGGAACTCTGTACACGGTAGTGGATAGTTTCTCTTCAAAAAGTCCCTAGGACGCTTTGTTACAAAAACACCTATAGGGGACTTTTTTTCTGTCTGCATTCACACTGCCATTGTACCTACTCTGAAGCTAAAAAGGTTCTTCTAGACGGGCTTATAGGAACTAAAATAGTTCAGTGAGGAATTAATAAAAAAAAGGGGGGGTTTCCAACAGTTCCTAGAACTATGAAGAAGTTCCTGCAGTCTGAAAACACCTGATAATGCTGTCATGTTCATGTTTTATTAAATTAAATAACAATGTGAGAAAAAAAAAAACCCAAACTCATGATTGGTATTAAATACAAAGCAGAACATTTATTTCTACAAATTCAGCATGTTAAGAAAATGATACTTCAACAATAATGCTATGTTAACTGTATTCACAACACTACGTTACAGAGCATTGTCGAGAACAGACGGGATATATTAAGATGTTAGACTGTGACACCAGATGTTACTAAAGTCCAGAAATCATCCAGAATCATGTCCTGATTGTATCTTTGCACCCTCTTAACTATTGGATGATCCATCGAAGGGTTTTGCTACTTACTTTTATTTAATGTGTGAAATATTGACAATAAACAGAAGTAATGAACAAAACTAGTGAGAATTTTCTCCTTGTATTCATTTTGGACAAAGCAGTACCTTTTATCTCTTGATGATTTTCTTCTTGTGCATGTGTAGGTAGTGTTTCCTGACGAAAAATCTCATCCAGCTGTTTTATTTTTTAAAGTCAATCTTATAACTCGCTGCAAATCTTTGCTGAGGAAAATCTAAACAAAGTTTGTTTCTGCAGTGTGCTGTAACTCACTTGGTCTGACAACGACCCCTCAGCAATGGTGACAAGCGTTTCAATTAGTTTTATAGAAATTATCCATCTGGTTCATCATGAAGAGGCCTCAATACCAATTATAGTCTGTTTCATAACCAGATGAAACAGCTCACAGGAGCTTTCATTAGTTGTTTTTCAAAGGCTTGTAAATCACAAAAAAAGGAATTTTGGAAAAAGAGCAGATCGGTCTTTGAGAAGCAATATGGTTCTTATTTTTTAACAACTCACATCTCTTCAGATGTTCACACACTGTCCTATCAGAAGAATTCATTATATATACATAATACATTAAGGCATTCCTTTTCTTCTGTAATGCTTTGACTTGTTTGCACTTGTTGCACAAACTTTTCACAAACGCTGTCGAGGTTTACACTCAGGTGCGGGACTGCAGCGCCAGCCTCTGGACCGTCTCTGTCAGGTGATTCATGTCGGGCTGCTGAGCCTGGTGCTTGATGTACTCCAGAGTGCGGACCTGGAGCAGCGAGAGAAAACAGGAAGTCACTAAGGTTACTTTCACAGGAAGCACGTTTACTGGTGTTTTTACAAACAGTGAGAGGAATCAGAACCAAGTACAGCAAACGTTTAAACAGTTATGGGCAGAGCTGCTTGAGAAACACTTCAACATCTCTCAAGGGGGGGGTGTATGTGTGAGTGAACTCACTGAGACCCGCGTCTCACAGTATCCATGTTTGTGGCCCAGATTCCACAGGTTGACAGACAGCTGGCTCAGCTTGTTGTTCCTCAGATCACCGTGAGCGAGCAGGACGCCGAACAGGGAGAAGGCCAGAGCGCCTTGACGCCGTGTGCTCTGCTGCAATGAGAAAACACCAAGTCAATGCAATGCTATTAATGAGTAGAGTGAAGCAATGCTGGACTTTTCCACCTGTACCTGAATGCAGCATAATAGAATCAGATACATGATTTATCTAATGAGGGAAACTCTAAATCTGGAACAACGGCTGCTTCAACGTTAACAGAGGTGACTTTTTTTTGTGAGCCAAAATACAATTCAAATGTTAGTAAATAAAAACTGCATCACCTCATCCCGACCGAGGGCCTTCATGTGGTCCAGGATCTGTCCGATGAGAGTCTCACACAGCTTGTTGATCTCTGATAGAAACTTGGGATCACCTCCATAAAGGGTCTCGTTGGAGTCAACTGAGACCAGGAAGGAGAAAAGGTTAGTTTAGGTTTAGTTTTTTTTAAACCAGTAGGGATGCTAAGTTAAATCCTTGATGTATAAATCTCTTCATTTTCTTATTTTTTATATTCTAAGTGCTTATTTAATGTATCCATTCTTGTATTGTTTTATTTGATTTGATAACCTGCTGCTGTAACACCACAATTTCCAAGTTTGGGATCAATAAAGTCATTCTATTCTATCTATAAGTGTAAAAAAAATTGAAAATTGAAGCCTCCTGTTCTGCAAAACTTAAACCTGGTTGGTTCAGAAACTAACCATCAGTAAACCAATTCAGAAGGAGTAAGATTCTGTTCACCTAGATTTATTTATTGGAGTAGAGTGTATTTCTGTGTGCATGTACCTTTAGGGATGGAGTAGAGTGTATTTCTGTGTGCATGTACCTTTAGGATGGAGTAGAGTGTATTTCTGTGTGCATGTACCTTTAGTGATGGAGTAGAGTGTATTTCTGTGTGTGCATGTACCTTTAGGGATGGAGTAGAGTGTATTTCTGTGTGTGCATGTACCTTTAGGGATGGAGTAGAGTGTATTTCTGTGTGCATGTACCTTTAGGATGGAGTAGAGTGTATTTCTGTGTGCATGTACCTTTAGGATGGAGTAGAGTGTATTTCTGTGTGTGCATGTACCTTTAGTGATGGAGTAGAGTGTATTTCTGTGTGTGCATGTACCTTTAGGGATGGAGTAGAGTGTATTTCTGTGTGCATGTACCTTTAGGATGGAGTAGAGTGTATTTCTGTGTGCATGTACCTTTAGGGATGGAGTAGAGTGTATTTCTGTGTGCATGTACCTTTAGGGATGGAGTAGAGTGTATTTCTGTGTGCATGTACCTTTAGTGATGGAGTAGAGTGTATTTCTGTGTGCATGTACCTTTAGGGATGGAGTAGAGTGTATTTCTGTATGTGCATGTACCTTTAGGGATGGAGTAGAGTGTATTTCTGTATGTGCATGTACCTTTAGGGATGGAGTAGAGGTAGGCTTCCTGGCTCATGGCGGCCAGCAGCGGCAGAGCACTGACGTAGACGCGCACCTTGGCGTCGCTGCTGTCCTCCCAGGTGTAATCCTGGACCATGTTGAGCAGACCTCGGACCAGGTAGAGCACGCCATGCTCAGGATGGTCCTGCAAACACAAACTTTCAACACTTATCCTATTGGTTCTTTACTTCATCCCCGTTTGACTCCGTCCCCATACCAGAAGAGAGAGGAGAGGTGGATCTTACCGGAACGACGAGCAGTGTAGACAGAAAGTTGTTGATGAAGTCTAACAGGAAGTTCTCGGAAGAACGAAGTTTTCCCTCCACACTGATGGAGCGAGGAACCTCCGGGAGAATACCGACCGCTGCTTTGAGGAAAGCATCCGCTGTAGATGTGGGAAAAAAAAAATGGAGGAAAGGAAAAAGGAGGGGGAAAGGAAGGCAACAAGTTAAATGTGGGATGGCGATAAGGAAAATGAGAAGGTAGGAGAAAGGAAGGTCAGAGAGTAAAAAGAGGGACGAGTGGGAGATGGAAAGTGGTGGAGAAAGAGAAGAAAGATTTGAAAAAGACGAGGAAAAAGGAATGAGAGAGAAAAATGTTGGAAATGTTAGAGTAAAATAAGTATTGTAATTTCATCTTTCAACCCCTCAGTGTGACCTGAATTTGACCCCTAGTTTTAATGTTAAAAAAAGGCAGCTCCTTACCCTGAGAGAGACACTGGTTGGCGAGTGCGACCTGGCCGGACAGCAGGTAGAGGCTGAGGCGACTGAAGATGCTGCTGAGAGACGGGATGGTGATGAAGCTGTACGCAGCACACGCCTGCATAAAAAAGGAAAAAATGAATTAAAGAGCAACGGTTGGTTTCTCTGAATGCGAGGTTTCCCTCTTCCCTCTGCACTGCTGAAACCTCTTCCTTTAGGAGAGTACGGTGGCCTGCAGGGACCAGAAGCTTTGCATTTCCACTCACCCTGACAAAGGCGGCGGTTTTGCGGGAGTGACTCCCTTTCATCACCCGACTCGTCTCCATGGCCAACTGGTTCACCGTCTGGAAACAGCAAGGTGAGCATTCAGCATGAATACCACACACACAAGTTAACACAGAACGAGAACAAATCACACACAAACTGATTTTTACTGACATGAATGAGCTGCACCAGCACGGACTCCAGGTTACAGAAGGTGGCTCTGGCCTCCACACAGAAACTCAGCTGCTGCTCAAAGTCACGGCCGAAAGAAACCTAACACACAAAGAAAGAACGTAATGAGGTGAGAAAACAGAGCTCCTCTTACCCAATGAGTGCTTTTTACACAATTTACTGGAATTGTACATCACTTTTTATCATAAGAGAATGGTTACAGGGGTCACATTAACGTGGGAAAGTAAAGAATGATCTGTTGACTCGGTCAAAAAAAACATTTTAAATATGTCTTGCTATCAAATTACATAAACTAAAAAACACACACATGAACCACATTGTTTACTGGACAATGCTTTACGTAATTACTTCTTGAAGCACCAAGTTGTTGTTTTTTTTATACTTTTAATCTTACATTTTTTTATTCTATTTTATATATTGTAATATCTTCTTATACTGTATTATTTAAATTGTTGCTAGTTCTACTTTATTTCCTTGTTCATTGTTTAGCACCAAAACACCAAGTCAAATTCTTTGTATGTGTAAATGTACTTGGCAATAAAACCTGATTCTGAAGTTGTTTATTTAGTGAATCCAGCATTCACCACTAAGAAGAGAAGCAAATGTGTATTCATCCCCAGCTGAAAGTAGTCCCAGACATGAAGACTATTCCCACTTGACTGAGGAAATCTTCCAAAAAAATGTCTATGCAAAAATACAGATAGCTCCTGAAATACAGAGACACACAACATCTGGACAAGTGTGAGCTTTCAGAATGTAACCTTACATAAAGCTATATGATCTGATAATGTGATCTCATGTTCTTATTAAGGGAGGTTTCAGTGAAGTAAGAAGCTTAGGAATAACTTTGATCTAGTTCCAAATAAGTCTCAAAGGAGAATTCACTAAATGATATATATGAAGTTGCACACTTACAAACCAAATCTGAAAACTGAGGCTGAGGCCTTTTCTTTTATTTATTTTTTCGATGATTTTTTAGGCTTTAGCTTTTATTCAGAAGTAACAGAGAGAGAGGAAATGTTGGGTGAGATATTGGTTTGGTTGAATCATGGGATTTGTGTACATTATTATGTTTGTGATATGTGGCTCAGTTGGTAGAGTCGGTTGTCTCTCAACCAGAAGGTTGTGGGTTCAATCCCCTGCTCCTGCAGCCACATGTCTGATGTGTCCTTGGGAATGGGATAGCTAATACTGACGGCCGCAACCAAGAGTGTGTGTGAATGGGTAGGCGTGACCTGTGGTGTAAAAGCGCTTTGAGCAGTCCGAAGACTAGAAAAACGACCACAACAAGCTCAAGTCCATTTAGCATAACACTGGTCTTATTTTGAAATCACTGACTAAAAGGAATCTCACCATGCGGATGAAGCCGATGATCAGCACAGCCAAAGATCTTTTCTCGTCCTCCAGAGTGAGAGCGCTGAAACACAGAGAGCAGACAGGTCACACTGACTGAGGGCTGGCAGCTGTGAGGTGAAACATCTGTCCACACTGACAATCTCTATAAGCAAATGAATTCATAAAATCACTGACGTCAAGTCAAAGTAAAAATAAATAAAACGGCCCTAAAAGTGCAGATATGAAAGTGATCATATGCACAGAACAGACAAACACACACAATCAAAAGCCCTACTTGACAGAGTCGTGCATGGTCTTGCAGATGTGCAACATGGCGTTGAGGATGACGGGGTCTCTGGTGGGCTCCATCTGATGTCTGCAGGAGACCAAACAAGCACATGGAGACAATTTCATTACATGACCGTGAGACTTGATTTAAAAAAGGTTTGAGCGACGGTTTCACAGCTGTGGATAATTCTCTAATTGTGTCTCACTTGATGAAGACCTCCATGATGGATCTGCAGACCTCCACCCTCACACTGTCTTTCTGGAACATGTCTAAAAAAGGTAAGAAACGCTCCTGCAACACACAAAAACAGTTTGGCAACATTAGGGAACAATAAAAGTCAGACTGTGAAGAGCTTAATCATCTTTTAGTGGGAGTTGCTCACCATGGAGAAGAGGACGGAGAAGTCGTTGAAGTAGGTGAGGATCTTCCTGATCACTGACTGCAGCTGCATATAGAAACAGAACACAAACACAGTCACTGCAGAGCGGACAGCAGGATGAGGATGGTGTTTCATGATCCTGAGGGAACCAATGAGCTGCTGACCTGAGGATAAGCGTCCTCAAACGCCCGGTCAGGGGTCATGTGTTTGATGATGTCAGCCAGGACGGTGTTGACCTCACGTTTCTAACAGGAAGGGAAGAAAGTGATGCAGACTTTTAATCTCATTTCATAAAAAAAAAAAAAAAAAGTGTCCCAACCCCCCTTCTTCCTTCTCCTCGGTGTTTTACTCACTGTGAAGTGTCGGCAGGTGAACTCCACCCAGATCTCAGCACAGTTGATGTAATCCTTAAAAACCACAAACAGTTATGTAAACAGCCTAACCTGAATATCTTTATCAACGTGTGAGCAGCATTATTGGCTCAGTCACCTGAGGACTGCGGACTTTGGTGACCACTTTCCAGGCTTCGTTCAGGATCGTCAGTCTCTCCGATTCTGGAGGGTCGGCACAAGCCAGACTGCGACCCAGTGACCCGAACAACAGATGCTGGAGAGGAGACAACAAACAAGCCTCCAAGTCACACGTCATGCAGATTCAGACAATGCTTTACTTTATAGTGGAATAAAAACTCCAGATTCAAAAACCTCACACATGAAAATCACTGTCAATCTCTGACCTTTGGGAATCCGGCCTCGTCACAGTCTTTGATCATACTGATGAAGTCGGTGGCTCTCGCCGCAACAAACTCCGGCCTGAACGCCCTCATGACTGAATTCAGCAGCAAGGCACTATGGGAAACAGGGACATGCCAGATCTTTTGTTTTCAAAGGTGACTGACACTGACTGAAAGATTTGTAAAACAGTCATACATTTCTGAGTATTGTATTAACCTAGTAACACTTTCTGTGTCCATAATCTGGAATTTCATAAACGGCTTCCCAATTGTTCTGACCTTTTCTGAGATTAAGAACTGATTTAGATAAGCAAATGTCTTTCCAAAATAAAATTGTAATTTAGTGAGGCAGAACATTTTCTTTTTTCCCGAGCTTTCCTTTCCTGTTCCTACTTAAGACTCCTGAGATTTATCTTGCACCCTTTAGAAGGTGTTGGGGACCAATCCACTACATAAGCTGATACTTTATGTCCAGGGACAACGAGATGAAAATGAGCTAGTTAAGCTAAATCTGACACAAAGCATCATTTCTCTTCTGAGACTAGTTTTATTTTCTCCACTGTCTCTGATTCAAAAAAAAAAATTAATGATGAAGTAGTATTTCTCTCCTGAGGAACATTTAGACATGGATCTTTTGTTGCACCTCGTCTTTAACCATCAAGAATCAACGATATTTCCCTCATGATTGAAACCACTCACTTGTTGCCCAGCTTTTTGCATCGCTCCATCATTTCTGTCAGCAAAACCTTTAACGGAAAACACAAAATGCTGTCTTTTTTTTTTCATGTTCTGCAAATATTCATCATCTCTCCGTTTAAGAAGATGTAAAAATAATGTATGAAACGTAATGTGTGTGTGTGTGAGCGCTTGCCTCTGGAGCTCGGTAGGCGATGCACTGCAGGATCCAGTTGATGGCGGGGGAATAAAGTGTCAAGTACTCGGGCACCTCCACCCTCTGCTGGACCAGCTGGTTCTGCACGCTCTCCCCGCTGACCTGCCGGAAGGTCCCGAGCAGGTCGAAGAAGTTGCGGTTCAGGCTGTCTTTCAGCTGGGGGGCCACCTCCATGCCCACCTGATGGGAGAGAACACGGTTAACTGACTTCAGCAGAGCTACTAGTTTATTCAGACACCTTTATTTATTTATTTTTTATTTTACATACTTAATTGAGAGACATTTTTCTCACACACATAGACCTGAAATACACACAAACACAAACAGGAGCTGTGGACATGCATCAGTGGAGAGATGTCAGAGTGGGGCTGCTACACTCCGCTAAGCAGGGAGTGCACAAGAGCTGTTGGGGGTTTGATGCCTTTCTCAAGGGCACCTCGGCAGTACTCGAGAAGTGACCTCTTCCACATCTCCAGCTACCAGACCAACTTCCATATTTTGGTCCACACCGGGACTTGAGCAGGCGACCCTCCAGTTCACAAAGTTAGTCCCTACAGACTGAGCTCTCATGTTCTGCGTATCATTGTAATTTTCATGAGCCTCTTTGTACTTATTTAACTTCTTATTGTGTTTGTGTCGATGTTTTTCACTATCTTTGCAGTTGTTTGGTGTGTCTTTGTTAGAATTTCTGTTGCTGTTTTATTGACTTCTAAAGAGCAATTGAAAAAGTGACTTTAACCTAAGGATCTGTGGCTGATGACCTTACAGTGATCGGTGATTATGCTAGAATAAACTGGATAAACAAACAAATCAGCTAACACACAAAGGACACTTTACTGTTTGACTGGTTGAGCAAAACAAAACGAGGATAAACTTTAACGTAGTGAAATGTAGTCGTCACACAACATTTCTCAAAACATTAAAAACAGGTAGTTTTTACCACCAGTGGAGAATTGGCTCAGAAACAGGAGGCGCTTCAAGAAGACAGCGAATAACGACTGAGGATAAATGGTGAGAAGAGAGCTTGTCTCACCCTGCAGAGGTACGCTCTGGTGTACGCTGCCACCAGTGGGTCTCCGATTCCTCTGATCATGGCCGTCAGCCGAGGGAGAGTCTCCGGAATACCACTACACGAGACAAAGAGAAAACCTGTTCATAGTCTGAATGATAATAATAATAACTTTATTGATATAGCACCTTTAACACAGGTTTACAAAGTGCTTTGACAAACAGTAAAGGCAAACACAAGAACAAAGCAAACACAGAAGAACATAAACAAGAGCAAGAATATAACAAATGCAAAATACTCAAAATAATTATAGACAATCAAACAGAAAAGAACCCATATAGCAACATACCCAACAGACATATATAACCTGACCATCATAAGAGCCATTATAAGAACCAAGGCAAGACAAGAACCCAACAACACGAGCTGAGACCAAGAGGACCAAAGATTTAAAAAGATGTAAGAAACTAAAAGAGCTAAAAGCAAATAATAATAAGGAAGAAGGAATAAGAAAAACAACTATTATGCAGAAAGGAAAAGTTGGTGGGTCCAGTGTAACAAATATATGCATATCATTCAAAAGAAGAGATTGAGTGATACTAAGGGATTTAAATTAAACAAAGGCAGCATATGTAAGTATAAGTGATGAGGGGAACTGACAGTACGTACGATTTGTTCAGGAAGCGGTTGCACTTAAGAATGGCAGCTTCGACATATCTGTCAACAGAGTTCAGGAGTCAAAGAGTCTTTTATGATGCATAATGTCACAAAGACAACATTTATCATTATTCTAATAAAGGATACAGCCGGGGCAGAAGCTCTCTGATGGAGGCGATCTTGAAGAACCAGTTGAGGCAGGTCTCCTTGGCGGTGTCGTTGACATCGTCCACTGTGAACGACTCTGCAGCAGGAGGACACCGAGCAGATACAACATTACCTTTGGACAACTAGAAGATCTTAATGCTATGGCCTCGATGCTATTGATCAAAACAATAATAGACTGGATATCGTAAAACTAACATCCCATCTGTACCTGGTAAGGGTCTCGGGTCTGAGCACATGGTCCAGATTCTATCGTACACCAGCCGGCCTACAAAAACAGAAAGACTACAATCAGAAAAGAGATTTTTCTTTAGTGAACTGAAAGAAACACGGCTTCTACACGCACCAAAAGTGTCCAGGATGTCGGTGATGAGGACAAACTTGCTGGGGTAGAACTGGATCACCGAGGTGTCCGACAGAAGCTTGGAGCACTGGAATACAAACCACAGATCAGCACTACTGGTTAGGACGAGACTTTCTCCCTCATTATTTAGAGGTAGAGTGTTTTGTTTTTTTAACAGCACGGTTACCTGGATAACGATCTTCAGGGCTTTGACTTTCTGGTCGGAGGCCCAGGCCTCCTTCAGGGACTGGTTCAGCTCCTCGATGCGGTTGGCGTAATCCTGCTGGGAGAGGTTCAGCAGCTCTCTCTGGGAACCCTGAACACAAAAACACAGACCAAGAAGTTATTACTGATGATGAGTCAAATGATGAGTTATGAAAAACAAAATCTCTTCATGCTTCAGTTTATTTTACTGACAATGAAGGTTGACATTTTCTTAGTGTTTGTCTCACACATGCTGTACAAGCGATGAAGCATTTGAAGAGCTCTTTAATTCAAGGCTGTCAGAATCAGGAGTGCACATGATTGAAAACTTTAATTATTTAAACCTGCAAGTCATTATTCAACAACTGACCCTTTACTATACAGGGACACACATACAGTGTATAAAACCTGCTCCCATGTGTGAAAGATGCACCAGAACATACTTCCTCAAGATCATCCAGCTCCTCCAGGCGAGTTCGAACTTTCTCTGAAACAGCTGACGATCCCGGACTCGGAGCTTTACCTGCAGTGACATCATGAGTACTTTGTTAGCTGTTAACATGGTTCAAATACTACAAATAAATACAAACTGTTTTTAAAAGGTTACTTAAGAGAAATTTGTTGAAAGTTTTTGGCAGCACAACAAAATAATAATTTTTAAAAAATACTGACTTGTTTGCAACCACGCCTATTTACAACTTTTCTGACTTTTTTGACATATATGTAAAAAGAACTGTCGAAAAAATCATTCTCTGTATGTTCTATACTAAATGCCACCCCTTTCAAATTCAAATCATTAGTATTAAAGTCCCCATGAAATGAAAAACACGTAAAGAAATTGGACAATCTGCATTTCAGTTTAAAGCTCCCTCAGACTGGAACAATCTGTCCGATACACTCAGCTCTCCTCTCTTCTCTTCAAACAGCTTGCTCCTGTTTTTAGTGATGCTGATATGTGGATTGATACGCTCAATGTAAAATGTATACATTGTTTCTAAATGAATGTGGGCCTGTGTATCTCTACTCATTATAACTACTGCAGGTATATCTGCATCTCCAGGTGGGTGAAGGAGGGCTCTGTGTATGTGTGAATGTTAACGTCTTGGAAAGTTTTCTATCTAATGTTCATTTTTGTCTTTTCATTTGTGTAAAACGAGATGGTGCATCTCAAGGGGGTTATCCTTCCAATAACATTTCAACATATTCCCCATCTAAATTCAGCGTTCCTGTGGGAAATGTTCATTTATCCCGCCTTCTGTCTCGTGATTGGTTCTACCCTGTTTCAGTTGGAAAATCCATCACAACCCAGCAGTGAGATACTCTCTAAGTTTCTGTTTCATGAGGACTTTAATCGTCTTAGTGTCAATATATTGACATCAGCGTTAATGCTTTATTTCTAATGGTAAACATATAGCTGTATGGTATTGAACAGATAGTTCTTATATGACAGCAGTAATTTATCAAAAACCTGGTCTTACCTCTATCAGAACCCATGAAAAGATTCTATGGAGGAAAATAAATTAGAATTAGTTTTTTGTAAGTGCAAACACAGGCTGTTTAAAGATATTACTTCTAGTAAAAGGCTGACTCACTATTGAGAGTTTCTCAGTGGTGGTGAACCTTGCCAAGATCTCTCCTCGTTTTGTCGACCAGGACTCAAAGTCGTGTCCCACCACCTCTTCATCCTTCTCCTTCCTCTTCCTCCCAAGGTCCTGAAGGCAAAAAAAAAAAAAAAAATCCTTAAAAATAAGTTTGCCATCATCTTCTCTTCACGTCTTAGTGAACACAACAGCATATCTCTAAATATGAATCGTTCTGTGTGTGGTGTGAACTGACCCCTGTGGAGGCGCTGTGTGACATGACGGGGGCCTCAGTGGCCGAGGCTGCAGCAAACATCGAGAGGGGGTCGGTCCCGTCCAGCATGGAGCTGAGGGGATCTGCAGGCGCGCAGGAGGAAGACGAGGAGGACGAGGAGGTGCTGCCTTTACGAGCCCCACGCCGGGTCTTTGTGTCTGTCACCTGAGAGGAGAGCAGAGTGGACCATCAGTCGTCAGTAACAGATATAAAAGCTGCCTTACTAATTCAAGAAACAATTTAATAATGCATTCACAACATGCAGTGTTCCACTTCAGTTTCTGTCACTTAATATACAGATTGGGTTTAAATATACTGATGATAACAGCAGATAGTCTACCATGATGGGTTTGAGGGGGTGATAGTCTCCAAACTCGACCAGAGCACCTTCAGGTCGACATCTCTGCAGCTCTGCCTCATAGTTGCGCATGCAGGAACGCCTTGTTACACAAAACACAGACAGGAGACAAGATGAGGTTCAGTACGTCCATTAAAGATTCAGTTCAACACTGAATACTCACAGCTGTAAAGAGAACACATCGGTTTACTCCTAGTACTAAAAGTGATGCTAACACAACATATGTCGAATATTTGATTTTGTTTTTGGAAGTCCAACCAGGATCTGTGTTGTTGCCTTGAGCACAAAAATAAAAGTCTGTGGTGACAGAGGATATCTAGCTTTCTTCATAGGAGGCAAATGTCAACTCATGACAGAGACACAACAGAGCAACCGTTACATTAAGCAATGACACATTCCCAAAGTGATTGAGGTAAATGCACTTTGGCTTGCACTGCAAAAACCTGAAGAAAACAGGTCTAGCATCAAATGTCAGACATTCTCACATTGGGAAATGACAGTGCTTCAAAATCACTGAACCAACTTTGACACTCTCCCATAGGTTTTGTTGGGCTACAACAGTGACACAGCCAACAGGGGCCTCTGAATAAGACCATCACAACACTTGATCATGCATATAACTCCTGCAAAAACAAAACTGTAAGAGAAGTTGACCTTTCTTTAAGACGCTGACACGAACCAGCTCTACATGTACATTCTCAACTCTGCACATTGTTAATACAAACATGATCGAACAGTTTCGAGTAGATGAAATAGTTTTTTTCATATTGAGAAAGGAGCATCTTACCACTGCACCGCAGCCATTTTTCTACAATCATATGACACTTGAACACTTCCTGGTTACGAGCACAGTTTCTGGAAAATGCTGGTTGTTGCTTCTGGTTGTTGATCAGTTAACTGTTTATTGTTTATACTGTAGGAAAGCTCTTATGAATGGATAATATTTAGTTGTTTTACCAATTGTTGCAACGAAAGCGTAAACGGAGAGATGTTTCATTAAATTGTTGTAGCTAAATTAAACTTCATTTCCCAGAACACATTGGGGCTAGAGGAAGAAAGAGAAGAGATCCCACTTTGAAATTATTTTCCAAGCACCGAACTCCCTTAAAGATTTTTTTGTTTTCTGGCTGACGGGCTACTTTAATAAAATAAACTAAAGTAACATAACCATGGTAGAACCATACACTGTTCAAATCAGCAATGACACTGATTAAACCATAATTTGACAGCCGTCATATTAGTTGAGGGGGATTCGTGTTTGGTTGCTACTATAGAGTGAACCTTCTGTTTAATAGAGGATCTTCGTGCGCCGCCGTTCACGCTGCGGGTCTGGAGTCCTCGGTTGCTAGCTAACACATTAGCCTTACCATGACTTGACCGTAGTGCTTCAGGCTTCTCCGCCTCATTCACCTGACCAGGTACAGTATGTCAGTGTCTAGTTTGGACCGTGTAGGTGTCCTGTCTTACTTTAAAATAAATGTTAACACGGGCGGGCTAAAGGTGGCTGGAGACAGCTAGCTAGCTTGGATTCGAGCATGACATATTGTAGCTAATTGAAAGGATGATCTTATCTACTGGATAACAAGTCTAGATTCTTAGTGGGCAAACAGATACAGTAAGAACTGTCCTATCAAGGACATTTGTTATAATTCCTCTCAGTTGTGTAATTAAATCTTCAGCCCATATTCAAACAAAGAGCAAAGACACAACAAATACTGAAAATACAAAACAATCTAATGAAGATGCTTTTGTCTCAATTCTTATCCTTTTGTTCTGAACAAGGAAACTGGATGATGGTTTAATGTTTCACACTGTGTAAAGGATTGGATGATATAATGTTAGAGATACAAATAATCATTTTCAATGAATGTGTGTTTATGTCCCTCATGTAGAGCTCTAGTTTCAGAAAATCATCATTTTAATGTAATTTGACCTTTAACACTGGAAAGTACATATTTTTAAAGTAGTAGTATAATAATATTTGGGTTCCATGCTACAGTTATTGTCATCAGTTTAATCTGCAGATATTTGGTCCACATTTAACCATTGATAATAGATTAGAATAGAATTACTTTATTGATCCCTAACTGGGAAATTGTGGCGTTACAGCAGCAGGTTGTACAAACACACAATATGAGCAGAAAAACACAATGTTAGCAAATTTAAACACAATGTAATATTAAATACAAAGTAAATAAACACTATAAATATCAAAACTAAGAATGAGAATATATACAAGCAGGATTTAACTAAGCATTACTAGTCTAAAATATGAAAGATTGAATGTATATGTGCAAAAACAGAGTTGTAAATGGACAGTATTGACATAAGTTAAAGTGCATGAGTGTAGACATGATAAGCAGAAACTATACAATATAACAGCGAGTAGACAGACAAATGAAGTGAACATGAGTGCAGGGATAATTTGTAAATGTAACATGTGCAGAACAGATTACAGTATGGAGAGACAGATATTATCATGATGACAGTTCTCTGCTCGCATGAGGTGATCAAATGTTAGAAAATAGTGAAACATCAATACAGTTTCTCAAACACTGCAGGAGTGTCTGTTAGTCTTATCATTAAGCCAATAGATAGTCAATTGTCTTTTAAAGGAAGCAGGACATGCTCATACTGTGGACGATGAACAAGAGGTTTGTGCAGATGCATCGTCGTCCTTTTCTTTCTCAGAAAGGCAGAGACAGCAGGACGAAGCAAAGCTTATTACAGAGGGACACACAGGGCGGGAAGTGATCGCCGTGTCTTTAAAGACCAGATTTAGGGCAGCTGGTTGCCATAGAGACTGTTGTGCCCTGCTTTGTGTCACTCTCTCGTGTTCTTTCTGTCAGATACTCAACATAGAAACTCAATTAGCATTTAACACTCTTTTTTCCCCCAGCATACAGCCTCCCTGTGCCACAAGCAGAGATAATTCTTAAATTATTTTCTCTTTCTGACACTACCCTATTTATGATATCGGCTTAAATCATTGCATCCTAATTGTATCAAAATTAATTCAGCATCAATCTTCTTCAAGTTAATGCATTAGCTCTGTTTCTCCTGAAGAATAGCGCTCTCTCTGATGTTTGTCATGATGAAATCCAGCAAACATGACCTGCTGGTTCATCATAAAAGTCAAATACTGACTAGAGGTGAAAGGTCTCATTCGTATGGAAGACATTTTCTGCCATTAAAAAAAGCAAAATAAAATGTGTAAAGGAATTCTAAACAACAGATAAACATCAGTTACTGACAGTGATGCATGCCACATTATCTGCCCGTGGTCGTTGTTTGTCAACAGGACTGATATCAGCTGATATCAATGTTCAACTGGTGCATCTTTACAACTGAGAGATCATTCAGTCATTTGTAAAGTCAAACATGATCTAGTTAGGCTGATTTTAATTATGTAAGAAATCATAATCGTGATTATTTTTGATCGATATGGAGATCAAGGTTATAAAACACGATTTTAAAACATCTGCATCACATCCATTTATTGACCTGAAACACACTGAACACTTTGAAAAACAAGCAATACATTAAAAAGTGAAACAATGTAAATATATATGATCACAACAAATACAAAGAAACAATGTTTTTGAGGTAATGGTGGTGAACTCTGGGTGTCAAACTATAAACTACAAACACTGAAACGTTGACCACACACGACAAAACCTGTGGAGAAAACGAGCACAACACGGCACGTGGCACAGGAATGGTTTCATCTAGATCATGTTGTTTTTATGATCGTGGGAAAACAACATCGTACATGAAACTGAAACTGGATCAATTGGCCAGCGCTATCATCTGTCATTAGCATCTCAAGTATGACAGGTTTCTTAATTATACATAACTTTCACCGACTAAATGATCATAAAAAGCTGCAGACTGATGGAAGTAATAGTTTAATTTATTTTAATTTTTTTGGGTGATCGTGGGCTCCCGTACATCAGTGACGAGTAATTTCACTAATTATGTGGAATGTATACGGCCATTATTTATTTAGCTTGAAGCAACTTTAATTAAGGATCGAATGTCAACCTATCTCAGTGTAGTCGAGTGAGACCTCGACAGATGGGACATGAGTCACATTTCTTTATTAGGATCTCTTTGGTTCACAGTGGTCACTACGGCTAATTTATGAGCAACAAATAGTAAAGAAAGTGCAGACAGTCGTTACTGTTACTGTCTGGTGAAGGTCCTGGATCTCTCATTATTAATGGCACTCTATTAGGGAGTACCTGAACAAGCCTTATCAGTGTAACCAAAGCTCACTTTCATGAAATGATGCCCTGGATCAGGTAGCCACTTGATTTCCTTCTTAAGATATTCATCCGTTTGCATTCCCTCTGATAAGGTTACCACTCTGCATCTCCTCTGCAAGGACCTCAGAGGGCTTTGGCCTGGAGATCTGGATTAGCTGTGCATTATTAACGAGAGGAGTTTATTCAAAGGAACTGATGGGCACAGCTCATTACCTGTTACCTGTTCTTCTTTTCATTGAGGGACATTTGTCTAACGGGCGATGCTCTTACCAGAGGTTTTGGGCTTTCTCTAAGGGGAAACCCCTCGTGCTGCTTTTGTATCATTGCGCGTCAGTCCTCTTTGTAGTCCACTTTTCACTTTCCCCTAGAAGAACTCTCGACTTCTCCTCAAGGACGCAGAAATGACGATGGAAACCTCGGAGGTCATTAGGTTGCGCTACGAGGAGCTGCTGTTTTTCGCTGCCTGTGTTTGTAACTGCTGGGGTGTGTGTCTGTGTGTTTGCGTGTGTCTTGAAGGCAGAGTGTGTAGGAGAGGAGGCCGCGCTGGCATGCGTTTGGGCAGCAGCTTGAGGTGGCAGCTCTCCCGGGCCATGCGACTAGCGCTGCGCTGGTGCCGTCCGCTCAGAGGAGGCCGAGGCGGGGAAAGCAAACCGTGGATCAGAGGCAAGTGTCTGGATCTGTGGACCTACAGCAGACTGCTGCTACGCTCCCTTTACTTCAACAGCCTCACTAACTCGGACACTCTGCTGGACTGTGCGTTTGAACCTGTCTACTGGATTGTGGACAATGTGACCCGCTGGTTTGGAGTGGTGAGTTGTTGATTTTTATATTCTGGGTGCTTTTCTTCTGTCTTCATAGTTGATTTCCTCACCCTCTCTTTCTCCTCCTCTTAGGTATTTGTCACTCTGGTTATAATGTTGACCACCTCAGTCGTGGTCATCGTCTACCTGTTCGTCATACCCATGATCCTCAGCACCTACCCCGTGTACTGGATCGTCTGGCACCTCTGCTGCGGCCACTGGCTTCTCATCATGGTGGTCTTTCATTACTACAAGGCCACCACCACCTCCCCAGGACACCCACCCAAGGTACCAAGTCCACCACACGACAAAAAAATGCTTCTACGTTTAGCAAGATTTATAGTTTGTATGTTCAGGTACAGCTCAGCCAGAGGAGTGTAATATCGTTGTCGTAGTATCGTTCGCTTTGTCAAAAAAGCCAGGACTGATGATATAGTAAGGTCATTTCATGATTTAATTCAGTAGATATCTTACTATTGGACCTTTAAGTCAGCAGCAGAATGTGCAGCAAAGTAATCTTTCAGTGCAAATGCACTCAATCAAAGTAGAACCAATGAAGTTTCTGTTTTTAAAAGAGCAATGTGATAGCTTTTTTCTGTCGCGGTTTTTGTAATGTTTCCAGACTCTGTGGATAACAATCTTAGCCTGTCAGTGGTAAGAAGAAGAAGCTCTCTAAGCTGATGTGCTTTGATTGGGTGCATTTGCCTCAAAGGATGAAACAAATAACTGAAGAAAGAGTTTTTTTACTACAGCTTTGGTATTATTTGTTTCAGTTATATTCTTTGGCGTCTAACAAGGCGTCACTGTCACCAGATAACATGTGAAATAGACTGACGATAATACATCCTCTTATTTTCTCTGCATCTTTCAGGACAAAATTAATATTCCCTCAGTGTCCATCTGCAAGAAATGCATCTCTCCAAAACCAGCCAGGACGCACCACTGTAGCATCTGCAACACGTGAGCAAGTCAAACACTTTTCTTTGTACGTTGTTTTTCAGTCTTATATATTTATCTGTGTTTTTATTTTATTCATAGGTGCGTGTTGAAGATGGACCACCACTGTCGTATCCTTCTGAAAAGTAACAAAACAGAAAAATGAAAAAGTTACATTTCTCTTATGACTTTGTTCAAAATGTTTTGACATGTGTTGGTAGTTTTTTTTAAATTGTCATCGTTATCCACATTAACCTGAACATGCCTCCAGCCTGGTTGAACAACTGTGTTGGTCATTTCAACCACCGTTACTTCTTCTCCTTCTGCCTGTACATGACGCTGGGCTGCATCTACTGTAGCGTCAGCAGCAAGGACTTGTTTCTGGAAGCATACAGTGCCATAGAGGTGAGCATGGATGTGACGCCGCACTAGAGCCCGACCGATTCATCGGACAGCCGATGATATCGGCCGATATTAGCAATAACCAGTGGACAATCGGTATCTGCTAATTTTGATATTACAAGATTAATTCACCAGTTAAATAGCATTTCATTTGAGTTTTATGGTATTACAGTAGTAGTTCTCGTTCACCAGCAGAGGGCGCTATATGGATTACAACAAGCATTATCACTCTTCAGAGGGTCAAGTGATGATGCACATACATGCGCAGTTACTTCCTGTTGAGTGACCATCTGGTCTTCGATATAAATCTTTTCAACAAGTGTTTGATAACTTCATTTGAGGGATCAACACAATCAATGTGTATATCTTTATCATATATATTATATCCCTACAGGTCAAACATAAATCTAAGAAAGATATCGGCCGATATATCGGTATCAGATTTGTTTTTTTCTCCTTAATATCGAAATCATATCTGACCCAAAAAAACCTCATATCAGTCGAGCCCTACTGTGCACCATCACACCTGAACTTCTGTCACCCTGCAAAGAAACTGATCTGTTATGTTTGTTTGTTAGTCATTTACTGATCCAGTTAACTTCTAAAGAACCTGGATTTATTCACTCTGTCCTTAGAGTTTGGTGTATTGGCACTAGTAGAGTCCAGTTTGATTGAGGTCAGATGTAATGTTTTGTACCGTGACACCTGACAAAGCGTAGTAAGGCAGAACGAGTGGAGGTCAGATGGCCAGTGACGAATGGAACAGGAGACATGTAAAGGGATCTTTGCTTTTTGTCCTCATACAATCTCCTCTGATCCTCGATTACATTATCTCAGAGTTATTTGTTTACCAGCTTGTATATAAACAAGTCCAGGGCTCTAAAACCAAGTAGTTTCAAACGTTTAAAGTCGCCTATCACACATAGTTTAAAGTCACACAGGAAATAATAAAACACATCACCTGGTACAGGATCCAGCATGTAACACTCATTGCCACCAAACGACCTCATGAAGCAGTGAGCTAAACATCTATGATGTGATCTGAAAGTGACATAACTCATTTTAAGGCACCAGAGTGACTACATAAGACTGATTATTTCCTCTCCTCTTCAGAGATACTATCAGACCCCCCCACCCACTGAAGCCTACACTGAAACCACCGCTCATAAGAGTGTCATCTTCCTCTGGGTGCTGACCAGGTAAGGAACACATCAGCACACAGCGTGTTATTTGCTTATTTAAACTCAGTTGTAGGTTGATATCGTCATGCGGACCCCCCCCCCCTCCTCCTCCTTCAGCTCGGTGGCGGTAGCTCTGGGAGGACTCACTCTGTGGCACATGATACTTATCAGCAGAGGAGAGACCAGCGTGGAGCGCCACATTAACAACAAAGAGACCAGAAGACTGAGGGAGCAGGGAAAGGTATACACACTCATGTGAAGAGTTAGTAATGGACTGCTTTTATCTTTGGAGGTCAACAGCTATGTTCTGTATGCATCACGGCTTTAAAGAGCAGAGCACGAGTGATGGAGACATTAATCTTAAATAACTTTGATAACTCAGCATTTTTTATTTATTTAGATAAACAACTTTGTAACTGCTTCGTTTTGTCTCTTAACGTCTCTTCTGTTCTGATGCAGATGTTTAGAAATCCATATCACCATGGTAACATGAACAATTGGAAAATACTGCTTGGTGTGGAAAAAGGAAGGTGAGTCCAAGTGTCTAAAAAAGTAACAAGCCTTAAAACGTAAGTCACTGTTGATTCGACAACACCTGTGGTCACTGAGATGTTTGTTCATAGTGCTGTGGAGTCTTGACTGATACGAGCTGTGAGGCCGATGCTGATTTTGGAAAGGAAACATTCACTTATGACCAATACAGCAGTAGATGTAGTGTGAATCTGAGCTTGAATCATCTCTTACTTTAAATGGGGACCAATGTTTTGCCTCACTATGCAAAGATACTCAGAAGACTGCTTTCTTTGAAATAATAAACAACAAATAGTGTACGTATGAATATATGATGAACCAGTCAGACTCTGCAGTGCAGCCAAACTAACTGAGTTTTTTTTTTATGCATCAGCAACCAAAAATGTTTGGATCTTATAAAATGAGTGAACAGAAACCACATGGCAGCTCTTGAGTTGCAGATCATTTGATGTGGATTACATGCTGCAGTGTTTCAGGTGAATCCTGTGTACAGTTATGAATCCAGCCAGCGATGGCAGACTCCCCCACCGCTGAGAAAACTATGTTCAAAGATAACACAGGATTTTTAGATGGCTTTGTGTGACGTCTATTCAAACTTACTCTACATCACATTTAAAGAGGACATATTATACACCTTTTCAAACAGTCCCCTGTGGTCTAAATGAAACATCTGTGCTGTGCTTTGGTCAAAATATAACATGAATCAAGCACCAGAGGAGGTTTGTGACCCTGTATAAACCAGCTCTCTCAGAACGCTCCATTTTGGTGTGTGTGTCTCTTTAAATGCAATGACCCCCCCCTGAGTTTTCCCAGTAAACATCACTCCTTCGATTGCAAGAATAAAAATGGCGGTCTAGGCTGGAGGTGGAGTCCATGGGTGGAGATACCAGGGGAGGAGAGGGTATTTCTTTTTTACAGGAGCATTTTTCTCTGTGTTGTAAGACTTATGAAGACTACAAACAAAGGACTGGATGGATTTATTTCACATGTTGTGGATCAGTAAACACTCAGGTTACCCAGATATATGTTCAGACACACTGTAGAAGTGGATTTTTCATAATATGTCCACTTTTACTTCTAGCTTAAATTCAGGTTCTTTTCTTCTTGTGTTCCTCAGTCACTGGTTCACACGGGTCCTCTTGCCGTCGAGCCATCTTCCCACCGGAGACGGCATCATGTGGGACTACATCTTCAGCAGAAGAGACCCCATGGCCATCTGACCCTCGTCCTTTAATTTCAAACCATATCAGAAAGACTTGTGCAGCCTTAACATGCATTTATACAACAAGCAAAGGGACTCCTCTGTATCACTGTAGTGACCGTCCGGGGACACTAGAAGAGAAGCTTTACATCATCTGTTTTTACTGCTGCTTCACGACCGCCTCAAAAACATCCAAATAACCACAAGTGATTCATCTTCTTGGGATGTGTCATCTTTTCCCACCTACTGCCTGTCAGCGTTAAGACTTTCCCTCCAGCCGACGCCCACCTGTGACTGCAGCACTGTTGATCACTCGGAGTGAGAAGAGATGCTGCTGGCCAGTATTGCTGTTCGGCTCAAACCTCTCTCTCGCTGGTGAGGACATTAAAACCATTTTTTTGTACTTTTTGACTGAATTTTTTGAACCAACAGTAGAGCCTCTTGTGACCAGTGTGAGGGGACTTTAAGACTAGAGGACAGACAGAGTGGCTGTTTGTGAGCAACAAGCTTATAGGGACAACAAGGTGCTATGTGTTTGTATTTTCACACGTCAACACAGCACAGTAAACCTGTACCTTAGTATGAATGGTAGGGACTTTCTTTGTTGTTGTGTTGTTGTATTCTTACCTCTTTCAGATCGGACTACATTTCCCACACTCTACTGGCTTCTTTATGCAGGTGTTTCCCTGTTGTTACCTGAAGCCCAACATGTGTTTGAATGCATCATTTACACTGAAGGACGAGCTTTGGTTCTGCAAAGAGTGGAGCAGAATTGACTGGATGATGAAAGTTAAAAGAAAAAACATCATCTTCTGAGAGGTCTCATTGATCACAGCATCCTGATGAGCCAGAAGTCATGTGCTCATGGTTCATGGATTCAAAAAATGCAGAGTTATTGACACTGTATTGATCCCTGATACGTGCCGAGTCAGGGATGTGAGCGTGGACGCACTGCTCCTTTAAGAAGAGTTTTTTTTTTTTGTATGTTTTCTACTGTAGTTCATATCTTTGTTTTTAAGTGTGTTACTTCTTAATGGAGGTACATACTTTCCAAATAATTATTTTTTATTTTGTCCTGTGATCATTTCTACAACGGAGTATTAGAGCCACGTTAAAGAAAATAAATTACAATTAAGAGATTAAGATTAAGTTGTACTAATCAGATATTTACAGACCTCAAAGCAGATCATTACACAGAGAGTTCAAACTCAGTCAGTCTGTGTTACAGACTACACAAGGAAGGATTTCCTTGCCCGACTAGGGAGGAGTTGGAAATTAGCAATAGCTTTATACTCTTTATGCAGCACATCAGTTTCATGAATGTATTGAAACTATGTAAAATTGCATTGTCCCTTTTTAAATAAATAAATTCAATTACATGGGAAACTTCACAAGATGCTCCACGTTCCTCATTTTTGAACGGTCGGCTGCTGATAAACGAAGACTAAAGTAACAACTTTCATCTCGTAAATTAAGCCCACGACATTAATCTCGTAGATTATTATTAGAGTTTATTCTCGTAAATGTATTGCTACTTACTTTTTATGTTTACGTCTTCACTCTGAATGTGGCCCTAATACTCCTTCATACATTTCTAATAATTGTCTTTTAAAGATGCTTTCAGCTTTACTGCTCTGCATGTTTCCTGTTGTTTTTGTTGTGTTCAGTGGAGGAGGAGAGAAACTAAAGAGCGTTAAACCAAGAACTTTATTCACTTTAATTTATGAATTCAATCTTTCATCACTTTTAAATTGAGTGAAGAAAAAAATGAACCCTCACAGAACTCGGTTTCTCTCCAATCAGAACTCTTTGTGCCTTCTTTGGTTGTTCTGCTCTTGAATTGAGGCGCTGTGAGTCAATCAGGAACTGTGAGGTGTAATTCAAGATTTTTTTAATCCACTTTCATCTTTTCACCCCAACATGTTTTTACTGATTTCTTAATAATGGATTACTTGGATCTGTAGTTGCCATAGATACATCACGATCAGCTGTGGTATCATTTGTAAGCAATGGGAGCTGTGCTCCACTTTTTCATTTCCTGTGTCTTTTAAAAAAAGAAATAAAACATGTTTGATATTTAAAGGGTCGTCTTTAACTTAAAAAAAAAGACAAGTGATTGTTGTTTAATTACAAAGAAGTTTTAATGACATTTTAAATATTGTCTGTTTCCTTGGCATACGGTGTGAGGTCTAAAGTCAATCTTACTGCAGTGACCGAGCACTCTGATCAATCATCAGTGTGTTCAGATATTAAGAACATAGATGTTGACATATTATCCATATAACTTCATTCAACGTACATTTGCATCAACACAGAAGAGACGCTCAATCATGTCAAACGTCTTAAAATGGAAATGTCAGTGGAGGACGTGTAGAAGTTCTTCTTTCAGTTCACGCTGTGAGAATCAACAGGACGTTTGGCACAGTCATATCATTCCAGGTCTCAACATCCCCACCCAGCTGGCACACCAGAGTGATGCAAATCAACCCCCCCCCCACCAGCTGTCATTAATCAGGAGTTACACATTCATTCAGACGTCAAGATATAAACTGTCCGAGCTTCACTGATGTTCTCACTGGGTTTCAAGACATCACGATATGATAAATGGAGCTCCCTCAAGTTTCCACCAGAGAAATGATAATCCCAAATAACAACACAACAGTGTGAGCTTCTTTTCATTCAAAGCACATTTAACTGAAGCCAATTTTATATCAATATAGTTTAACAAAGGGTTAATAATAACTTTGTTTGAATTTGAATTGTATTAATTAAATTACAAAGAAAGAGCACATAAAACTTATTTTTCAAGATTTCTTTCTTTTTCAAATTAAGTATATCAACATCTAATAATGTTGTCCTTCATTTTACAATGACTGTACGTTTGTGTTGTTTTGTGGTGATGGTGTGCGGAGGTGTTGTAGCTGTTTATCTGACAGAGAAGAAAACTTTAAGATATAATCTGGGCTTTTATGACCGGCATTGGTTTGTGATGTGAAATGAACAATGACTAGATGCCTCCTTACGTCCTCATGACATATTCTCTCTAGAAAGAGAGATCCCCATTATATAATTATAAATAAGGCATGTAACATATTAAACCTGTCAGTCTCAGTCCTTTAACTTAATCCTCCCTCCACAGTCTGTCTGTATACTCGTATTTGTGCGTTCATCAAGTCAGTTACAAAGAAAGCGGTTTAATAAAAAGTGAAAGATGAGAGGAGGTGGATGGAGGGATGAAGACAGATCCACAGAGGACTGGGGGGAGCGGAGAGAGAGAGCTGATGAGTGGAGCGCACAGCTTTGATCTGTGTTCTCTGATCCCAGACTCTGAATCTCCATCATCAGTTTTCTTCAAAGGTTTATGGAGGATGGGAGATGGCAGAATCACCTTCCCCCAGGACTTCCCAACAGGAACCTTTGAGAAAAATGAGACGCCTCGTTATAAAAGACCCCGGACATAAAAAATCACAGTGAAGTTACTGAAACTGGTTTTATGTTTAACTGATATATAAACACCATCATAGAGATACACACAAAGCAAAAACCTGTCATAACTAAAGGGAGAGATCCTGATTTTTAGACTGATTTAAATCTAAGTATCTCTTATTGTTCATTTCAAACAGATGTTAGATTCTTACCATTCTCCTCTCGCCTGAACTGCCCCCCTCCTCACCAGCCTCTTATTATCATCCAGAGGCCGGGCCAGAGCTCGCAGCACTCTGGCACGAAACGGCAGGACCTGAAGCGGCAAAATAAATGTCCTTACTTGAGCTTTAGATAATCACATTTTTTTTAAAATAGGAATGATTGCCTCAATGGTTTATTAGCCTTAAAAAAAACAAAAAACATTGTCATTTATATGACATTTATTCTAATGAAGACGAGGTTAATACAAGTGGAACAGATTCTTTAATAAATGATCTGCTCTTTGAATAAAACTGAGTCAAGTTATCTCCAGAGTAATTTGACTTGAGTGTAATCTAAATAAAGACAACATATTATATGAATATTGTTAATAATGTACCTCATGTTCAGGGAAGCTGGAAACAGCATGGATGCAGCGTAAGGAGGTGATTCTGACGTTCTGCAAGACACAAACATCATATACATACTGGATTATTAACATATCTATGCTGTATAACATATCATATAACTGTAAACATTAGGATGATGATTAGTTAGCTGTAGCTTTAAGCACCCTACGATGCAAACAATTTGACCTTTAACTGTATAAAATGATGGAGAAGCACAACTTCACCAACTACCAAGCTGCATGAAGAGTGAAAGGTCCAGCAACACTCGTAGTATGAAGATCAACTTTATTAACTTTATTAGACCCACATGTTTCGGCTTGTGGCCTTCATCAGGGTCATCAGAAAATATATTGGAAGCATCATTTAATTAGTGCCTCACTGCTTCAAATATTAACATCAGAACAGAAGCATGAGTACAGAGAACGCTCCGTGGTGTGATCCACTAACCATGGCAGGACTGGAGGTGAGGTTCAGCAGTCTGTTCACCAAAGCTTCCAGCTGCCGGATGAGTGCGGGTGGAGGGTCGGCGAGAACGGGCTCCAGACAGGACAGAGTGGAAAGCTGCACGTCCTGGTCGGGACACGACAAGGCTTCCAGCATCAGAGACAGGAGCTGCACCAAAACAGTTAACACGTTTAACAATCCTTCACACAACGTGGTAAAAGACTTTTTAGTTATATTTGGAAGTGAAGTTGCTGTGAGCACAGCGGTTGATTCTTTACTCACCGCTGGGAGTTCAGTGATTTGAACCTGCTTGGGGAGGTTGTTGACAATGTTGGACAGAGCCTTCAGGTAGTTTGGCTTTTTCTCTGTAGGGGGAGACAAAACACACAAAATGATTTAAGTTTAAAGGAGAAGAGGTCAGAACAATAATCTTTAATCTGCAGTGACTACAACTTTCCCTTCATTAGGAGGTTCATTTCCTCATCTGAAGTTCTCCATATCTTTTTAAATATAATGTGTATTCATTTGAAGTTTAAAAGTAATCTAGATTGCATGGTAACTTACATTTATCTAATCTCTCATACACGGCACTTCATGGAGATGAACTGATTGAATCTAAAACTTTAGATCCTCTGTCCATATCCATGAATGATAAGAGCGAAAATAAGTGTCGACACTAGATGAAGGATTTTCCAAAGTGTTTTGAGTGGTCAGAAAACTAGAAAAGAAGAATTATAGAATAAAGACATGCTGTAGAAGTCGAGTCAGTGGTGAAGTTGGGCCTGAAGAAGAAGAAGTGGGTAAACTCTACATTCTCCCCCAAATGTATTTTTTTTAGGGTCCGGTCCGGAGGATTAACGGCCTTCGTTATAAACAGTGACATGTAGGCTCAGACTACTCTTCAGATTTACTTCACCTATAGCCTTTTTTATATTTGCACATCAAGACTCAACTTCTGCTGCTTGACTTCAGGGAGTAGAGATTGTAAAGAAGTCAACATTAGCCACAGGAGAGGAGCAGACTGTTATTGTAAGTGGCCAACAGACTAAAGGCTGGGACACCTTCGTACATAGATACATTTTGAGTGAACTATTCCTTTTTAAGCAGAGTTAAGGGGGAATGTGATACTCAAAGCTTAATATTTTCAAATATCACAGTTTAGGAATCTTGCTCTAGTCTGAAAAATGCATTCCTGTCTCCTGAAGTAAAACTTTACAACATGATATAAAATAAGCGTATACCTTGTGGTGCAGCGTTGAAGCCCTGAACCAACTTCGCTGAGTTCTCACTGAAGAAGCGCTGGCGGTACATGATGCGGACGTCAGCGTGGCAACCGCGGCTCAGGATGTCAGCGGAGTCGCTCATCAGCAGAGAGAAGCCGTCTGCGGCCATTGGACCCAGGTCAGCGTCATCGAGCAGAGAGAAGAGCTTCAAACACACAGATTAAGAAAAAAGTCAAATGAATGGTCTGAAAAGTCTACTTGTTCATTATCTCATCTCAAAAGGTATATATGTATTTCTTTAAAAGTCTGTAAAGCATATACTGTAGTATGAACATGTAGTTGCTCGAGTGCAGTTATAAATATGATTGTGTGTGTGTGTTGTTACCTTGTCAGTGAGGGCAGTAGACAGAGGGTGGTATCTGAGGAGTAGAGCCTTGGCAACCTGGAGACAAGAGCAACTTCACTGCATCATCAACTTCTTAAACCTACGTATACATTTTTATTTAGCTATAAAGCTCATAATTAAAGGTCACATATTAAGCAAAATACACTTTACATTGATTTTCTAACACTCATGTGTCTCTAGTCTGTCGACAAACCCTCCAATTACAAGAGAAGTCCCTCCTTGAAAAGGAGGAGAATATGTGACCTTTAAACAATCATCAAATTAAAAACAGTGTAACTCTTACCCAGATCATGAGGGTGAAAGCCTGAATGCATACTGATGAAGATGCAGAGTCCAGCTCATTGCAAACTCTCTTCATCGTTCTCTGTATAAGACTGTCGAGATCATCGCCTGAAGGAGAAACAGAACAATCACGTCTGCTTTAAGATGACAAAGTGAGGCTCTCTGTTATTAAGAATTCATACATGTGACTGATTAAGAAACAAACTGACCCTGTGGTCTCTTATTAACCAGGCCAGCGAAGCATTTTGCAGCTGAGGTGTACGAGAGCTGGTGGCTGCAGGAGCAGCTCATCTCCTCCAGCTCTGACAGCAGCTGATCCATCTGAGGCACCTCCACCTGGATGACATGCACCACACTTAGCACAAAGCACCAGTAACAAGAGCGTGTTTTAAAGATTTACACATTTAAGTGTTGTAGCTGAGACTCACACTGCGAGGTAACGAACACACACATCCCATGAGCAGACAGACCATCTGAGACTGGCTCCATGAGTCTCCCTCATGCTACCAGGAAAACAGAATAAATACAACTTCAATAACTTTTCAAGGTACAAGGATGCATAATTTATACAAGCATGTCTTATCTCGACACTCATTTAGAAAAACGTCCATGTCCACAGATACCTTGAGCAGCTGGATGTTTGAAGGGAAGGAGTTGTCGGGCAGAAAGGAAACATCACCACTCAGAAAGAGA